TATTTGTGAAATAACAACACACATGTTCGTTTTTTTTTGTTCGTTTTGTTTTGCTTTATGAAAAAGCTCAGACTTCGCTTCGTGAAAGTCAAAATCGCCTGACCTAGATAGGCGATAGCCTATCAACTGAGTTCGTGCAGAGCGCCAATGTGCCTTGTTCACATATATTCTTGTTCCATTTTTAACGCATTTGTTAGGAATTCAATATTCGTTCGGCAACACGTTCGCTATATTTTCTATGTCTTCTCTGTCCATTCGGTCGGTTTCTAGTTTCCATTTTACTCACAGTCGGGTCACAGTCCCTCTCAATCTGCGTCTCTTTACAACATATTTATTTGTACATCATTTCTAATATTACAGAGTTCTTGTCCTTACCTTATTCAAATGTTTACTAGATGTATCTATAGTTATGCCTATTGAATTCGTCACCGCTTCATCTCCCCTATATATATATATATATATATATATATATATATATATATATATATATATATATTCAAGTTGTTGTTTGTTGTGTTTCTGTTTATCTGTTATGAAGCAAGGGGAAAGTCTCATACACGATATCAAGGACGATATTAGTTGGGGTTACGGCGGCGCACATGCGCACTTTAGTATCTTTAACTCCCCTAATTCGCACTCGTTGTATTTTCTTCGCTAATCGATCTTTCACAATAGGGATCGCTACAATAAAGGCACCCTTTGCTTGAGTGGCGCCTGTCAATTAACGGCTTTGCTTTTTTCTTCGACTCCTTAGATCGCAGTCTTACCGTTATAGTTACTGTTATTATAATCACTGTCGTATTATCTAAAGCGTATGTATTACATTTTCGTGCTACTTCCTAGTCAAAATGTATGTTTGTATACTTCTGTATATTTTACTGTACTGCCCCTGTGACGTTATTTCTTCCATCGTTTATAAATTCACCAAGTTAACTCATCGCATAACGAACTTTGTTGTTGTTATTATTATTATTATCATCATTATAATTACCTAATTGCAGTGTAACACAGTCTTTCTGTGGGGCATGAAGTTTTTGTGGTGATTGCCCCATCTCAGTGCCGTGTTTCTAGTGGCCGCCCTACTGATACGCATTTCATTAATTCAAGGGCATAGTGCGTACACACCTACGTTGTATGATGCACATCTTACTGCCACGTCCAGCCTAAGCCAACTGTTTCTCTATCAATCTCGCACACATTCAAATTGTCTCCATATGAATCGTCGTCAGCTATTATCACTATTTTTATTATCATTACGATAATGATTATTTTTCTCTTAGAATTCTAATCGGCTTCATCAGCCAAGCCGACTTCCACGATCAATATTAACAATCGAATGGAAACAATCGATTACAATTAAAAGTACACAAATCTTAATCGAGCTCAATATCATCTCAATACCTAAATCTAGTGTAGTAGCAATTCACAGTATTGTTATCATTATACATATATAGGATTGTGGCAACGGAGACGGGCACAAGTCTCGTTTCGTTTTCCACAACGATTTCCTCTGCCATCAATTATCCTCAGACACGCGTCCTACAGCGGCCTACAACCACTCTATGCTGAATTAATTATGTCTATCAATAACGCTCTGAGCTGGGCCTAGCTGCATCAGGACCGTCTGTCAGGACAACCCGGTGACGACAATACCGATTGATTGATTGGTTGAGATACCTGGAAAATTCTGCGTTTGCGTTCGATTAGGGACTATTGCCCTATTTAAATTCATCTTCATATATACCATTCGCACTCGTCGATATTTCAATGATTAACGTTAGAACTTCATTCGATTTCATTCGATCATTCTAACTACGTAGTGCCTCATACACACAGCGTGCACTCCTTTTGTCGCCTCTCCGTCCTTGATCTAGCCTTGTGGAGGCTGTGCGCTATTGTTGCTGGTCGACGTGGTTGCTGTTGTCGCTGTTGAGACCAGCTGATGTTGTTGATGTTGCTGCTGCTGCTGAGCCGCAGCTGTTGTCGTAACTATCGTTTGATGCGCGGCTTGATGCTGTACAACAATAGCTTGACTCACGGCTTGAACATTCTGTGTTTGAGCTTGCACTTGTTGTGTGGTGACAACCTGATGAGTGACGACTTGAGCACCGCTCGTATTTCCCGTACTGGCGCCTCCCCCGGCGCCAGCCGCTGACGTCTGGTGTACGCTAGTGACGAGGCCGGCCGCGGCGCCACTACTGGTACTCACGCTGCCACTGGTTGCGGACGACGCCGCTTGAACGGATGTAGCCTGAGCAGCCTGCGTCACCTGGGCAACGGCCTGCGCCGTAGTAGCCGTTACCGCGTGATGTTGGGCCTGTTGCGCAGCAGCCTGTGCAGCGGCTACCTGCTGAGCTGCTTGATGTTGCTGGGGCGTCGAATGACGGATTCGCATCGTGTACGGTAAACCTTGGGGCGCCTTACCCTGGGCGGCGGCCACGGCTGCTTGCTGGGCTCGGGCAACCTGAATCGCAGCCTGAACGGCCATCGGATTGACGCTGCCGACCGATGACATCGGTATCTGAACGACGGCAGTCTCCGTGCCGTGCTGTTTGCCGAGCACTGCCTTTGGTTGACCTTGCACCGTGAGAATGCGAGTGGGCGCGCCCGTCGATGAGGGCGCCGTCAAGGTCACCGTAGCCACACCGCCAGACTTGACCCCCTGCTGTAGCGCGGTGAACAGCTGCGTTTGTGCCGATTGCGCGTGGGCGGATCCGCCCATACCAGTCACGCCCATTGCGCCCATACTGCTCGCTGTACTGCTACCGGCCGAGCTAGTTGTCGTTAACACGTAGTTACTCTGCTGTCCACTGGGCAGCACGTGCTTGATGATCTGTGATACAGCGACCGGCTTGATTGCTTGCGAACTCTGCGTTTGCGTCCCACCAATACCTGACGTACCCGGCTGTTGGTGGACGATTTGCACTGTAGTCGTTTGCAACCCGCCTGACGAGACTGTTTTGGCACCTGATGTGGTTCCTTGTTGAAGTTGCTGCTGTTTCTTGACCTGCTGGAACACAATACGTTGTTGGCCACCGCTTGACGACGGGCCCCCCTTAGCTGCTTGGGCCGCGGCCGTAGCGGCTGCCACCGGTAACGTGATTCCTGTAATAAAAAGGTATAGCAAATGAAACAGATACGTACACATGCGCTTTGACATTTTTGCACGAACACCCCCTATAAGTAAACCATTCATCTGTGGCCCAGATGACATCCATACATTTTAAACACATAATGCGTCGCATATACAACCTCATATGTGCGGAGACTACGACTGCTGATTTTTCTAAGAACTTTACACCTTTAATAACTCAATCATTTTTTCTCACTCGTCTTCGTTACCTGTGACCGTGACCGCTGACACGGGTAAAGGCACCCCGCTAGGTTTGACGAGTGTAGCTCCTGTGGCAAGAATCTTTTGCTGGCCAGTCTGGTTGCGCTTTAACAACTGGGTAAGCTCGCTCTCGTTGACAACCGTTCGAGCCCCTGTCGCCGTCTTAACCGTTTGACCCACCTGTCCGACGATTTGTCCGAGCGGGCCAACCTTCGCAACGCCTGCCTGTGTTGTGTGCGTAACCAGCTGGCCTGGGGCAACCTGAGACGTGACTTTGATCGCCTGGGACGTGACCACCTGCTGAATCCGTTTCATCTGACCGCCCGGCTCGCCACTGGTGCGAACCGTTGCTCCTGTGCCCTGCTGTCGAATCAACGTCGAATGTTTAATCGCCTGGAACTGCAGCTGTTGACTTGGCGTCACGCTACGGTTAGCCATACTGCGTTGTGCAGCTGCCTGCAGCTGTGCTTGGGATAGTGAGGTCACCGAAACGACGGGCGTGGCTGCCATCAACTGCGTGGTGCGAATAGGAGTCGAGGACTGTTTCGAACCTCGGTGAAATCAATTATTCGCCATTCAAACGGTGTCAAAAAAGGTCGATAGTCATTATTATTATTGGCGGTAATGATGGTTCGAAATAGTACCCGGAATAAGCAACACCACGGCAAGTGAGTTCAGCCGGCACGCGCATGTTCAGCCACCAGCGGATTCCGTTGTTGAGGAAACAGGTCGCGATAGTTGCGGTGAGAATAGTAAAAGTAGTAATAACGGCGACGGTAGAATACAAATATAAAAACACAAAAACAGACAAAAAACACGAACAAAATGCACATACACACACATAAAGCAGGCACCGTGGTTAGTTTCAGCGATGCAAGCCGAATTAATCCCTACGAAATATTCATATCGAACATTAGATCTGATGAAAGCAAAAAACTGATTTTCAACATAACGCATGAATGACTATTTGAAGATGTCTAGTGAATCCTCATCGACAGCAGAGAATCTGAGGAACTTCGTTAGAGAAAGAACAACTGTGATGGTTAATGCCTAACCTGTTGCTATAAGTCACTGGTTAATTTGGGCTAAATTAGTGGGCACTAGTTCTCACTGTGTTGCACTTCAATACGAGCATTTACGTTTAGTCTTTATTATCTACATCTTTAACCAGCGGGCAGCAAGGATATGAATACGCACAAGGCTTTCCTCATCTTTTTACTCCAAAGGAAATAAACACGCTTACCTGAGTGTGATCGAACGCCGCGCTAGTCTTTTACACCAATAATCTAGAGTTAATATATTCATTTCCAACTCGGTACACACATATGCAGACGGCTGTGAATCACAGCAAAATCAAGCAGGACCCACAGAGCTGAACTTGACATTTTACCGTAATCGTGTTGTTCCATTTTCCATTAATTGTAACGCTTACTAGCTAACCCCCACATCACGCTAGTATATATACAATGTCGTCAAACACTACCAAAGAAAATACCAGCAACGAGGATAAAAACGATCGTAAAGTTAGCCGTTAGCTCCAAACAACACAGATATTATTCCTCTGTAAAGGCGAAAGTTCTACAAAGCAACTTTCTAGCCTTTACTCATTCTATTTCTCGTATTGTACATTCACATACTCATATGCGAATAGCGTTACAGACTAACTAAAATACAAACAAATACGCAAACGTTATCTTAAAAAGATAGAAAAAAAGGCGAAACTCACTCTTACCGCTACAATCGGTTGGGGCTGAGCGTTGGTAACGATTTTCTGCGCCTCAGTGGCCGGAGTCACTTGATGCGCAGAGGTTACCCCACCGACCCCACCCACTACGGCCATAACTGAAGGCACCGTTGTGTGAGCAACCGATGTAGCCGACGTAACGATCGATGTTCCCGTTGTAGTCGTCGCGCTGTTTTGGCTTTGCGGAATCGTTGCGCCTGCATTCGGCATTGCCCGCGCGACTACTCCTGACGTCGTGAACTGGGCGGTAGCAACGGCTGGTGCCGAAACCATTGCTGTGGCACCGGCCTGTTGCTGGACATGCGACTGTTGTGACTGCTGTGATTGCTGCTGCTGTGGCTGTTGTTGTTGTTGCTGCGGTTGTTGTTGTGCTTGTTGGTGTTGTTGTGCTTGTGCTGGTTGTTGTACTTGGTGCTGCACTTGTTGCTGTTGCTGCTGAGTCACGGCGGTTGTGGCTTTAGTGCCCTTCTCTTTGCGAACTCTTTCTTCGCGAAGTTTGGCCAGCGTTTGCGGATGCTGCGGATTGTCGTAATTCACCCCATGTTCAGCCATGACCGCCGCATGTTTGGTGTTTCTGCCTATAATCGCGAATATGCAAGGATAAAATTTGCAGGGCGAGACATGAAAGCGTCTTTGTGCAGTATTAAATGAGTAACGCGGGGCTTTTGGTCTCTCTGTTCGTTTTGTCTTCTGGATGAAAACAAAAAGATCCTTACAGTCGTCTAAACCGAACATCGGTAATGCTATGAAGTTGATCTGTGCTGTACCGATCATCTTAATAGCGTATTGTTAATATAATCACTAAATAACAAATTTGATAAAATTAATTGTCTCGATAACGTAATCAACGCTCAGAAGATCCGCACTTACCATTTGGTTGGGCGGTGTTGGCAAAGACTGGCCTGAGAGCAGGTGCATGGTGAACGGATACGGTCTTGATAACATCGAATCGGCTTGTGTACATGTTATTGAACGACGCATTGGAATCGGCGGCAAATAGAGAGCCGGTTTTAATAAGACGTCCGGTCTTCTGTTTTAAAGCCTTCTTGACAGACTTCTTGTCGTATGCCGTAATCGGTGCGTTTGGCCGGCCTTCTTCGCGCGGCGCCAGCACGTTCTCGAACCGATTTCGACACTGTTTAGGTGAGCGGTAAACCCGTGCTACGGAGGAGTTTAACAGATCAGCTACTAGGTCCCAGTTCGGTAGATGGCCAGGCGAAAGAATTGTCAGGGAACTAGGCAACTCCTGCAGATGTTGAATAACCTACAAAAATATATTAACAACAAAGAGCAAATACAGAAAATAGGTGTGTTTGATTTATCAGTAATTTTCTTCAGTACTTATATACTCTTAAAGTAATGCACGATTAAAGAGGTACCTAATACAGACAGGTACGTGAATCAGTCACAGCATGAGATCAAAGACTTAACGAATATTTTTCATGTAATGAAGGTCTCATCATTGCAGATTGTTTCCTACCTGGAGAATAGCCCAGTCCTCACTGATAGTCCACTCGACCTGGTTGCCCTCAGGAGCAGTTGTTTCAGCTTGTCTTCTAGGAGTGCCAGTCGAAGTTGCTGGAGTGGTAGGTTGACCTGGAGTTGCAGGAGCGCCTGGAGGAGTTGGACTTCCCGCAGGTCCAGTTATAGGCGGCTGAGTCGCCTGTGTCCTTTGGGCCATAAGCGGACCGGATGTTGGCGGCTGACGTTTGAGTTTGAGCATTTTCGCTTCCTTTCGAAGCTTAACAAGGACATCGGATGGACGGTCGAAGAGAGATTTTGGCCCGCCGTGGCTTTCCGCTCTGCCAGCCTTGCTAAGCCCGCCCCGCCGAAGGAGCGGCGTTCCTGAAGCCGTGGAGTCAGTGCGCAACCGCTTCGAAGCGTTTTTACGTACGTAAACAGGTGGCAAAGCATTCTCCGGCATTTGCTCACTATCATAGAGGTAGAGTTGGGCATTATCTACATAAACATCATCGTCTCCAGCCGGCGGTGTAGGCGGTGCCCAAAGCTGAAACAGTTGAGTTTAGATAATGTTGCAGAACTAAGCAGCCTCAATGCAACCCGAGTATGTCTATACGTATCAGCATATGTGCTATATACAACGTGTTCACATCAGGTACTAATTTATAAATAATGGTAGACCTCTTTCAATGGAGAACATGTAAAACATCAACTCATACGTTACATTGACAAAATAGTTGTTAGACACCTTATTGGAAGCAATCCCAAAGCCGCAATCTATATATTAACTTGTAGATAACTTATTAATATTATATTATATATTATTATATTAATTTTTAATGTAATAATACTTAATTACATTATAATATATTCAAAATAAAATAGAGAATATATCCTTTTTAATTAAAAATTAGAGATGTATTTAGGATAAAGCAGTAAGCTGACGGGTACTTACAGGTAAGGCTACTGTGCTATCCCGTAGGCCCAAAAATGCCTGCAAGGTGAGCAAGCACGTGTTACAATACGTGACTCGGTTGTAATTAAAGGCTCTTTAACATCTATCAGATATTCGTTGTTGTTGCTATTGTTGTGTAACACCTGTAGGAAACATATTTTTGGGTACATCTAAGTATTTCCAGGCCAGATATATGGCCGAACGGGTAAAGAAATATATTTCAGCACGGCAACATTGCGCAAAATTTACCGTGAACAATTTAGCTAAAAAGGAATTTGCAGAGATCACTAGGATACGAAGTGGAACGTTGGCGTTAATATTCGATATAGAATAGTCGAAAACGAACCACCCACAACTGAGTGCGGTATAGATGCAGTCCGCCATCGGGTTACACCGCTTATTAAGCGGTCCACATACCTTTGCCACCATGTGGTTAGCTCTTCTAACAGGCATAATGTTGAGGAAATTTCGATTTTAATAACATAAAAGGCATAAAGAATATCTCGTTCCTACTACGACTCGACCAACTATTCGTTACTGAAACAGCGGCAACGAAAACCGTCAGGGGCAAAGCAGACAGAAAACTTCTCGGGCGTACAAATGCAGGCCGTAATGTAAGAATGACAACTTCATTATAGGCAAGTTCAATTCCAGTCCATACGCATGATTCGATAGCCCTATATATTGACACTAAATCAGATACTCAACCCATAATTTTGTTTCGACAATGCAGTAAACTTGATGGGTAATCGACCACAAAACTTATAGAAGATTCGTAGAAGGATTATCTCTTCAATGACCTAGTGTCCAAAATAATTTCCTCATGTCTTACAAAAATTGTGGTGGTCAATTTCAAAAGCAGGCGCAGATACAATTCGTTTAACAAAATTTAGAGTTCTACAAAATAAATTGAAAACCTTTATCAATATATTAAGATCAATTATTTTTTGGACCTCTAAGAGAAGTATTTTAGAGTAAGATATTTTAAGGTCCGATTTTCGACCTTCGGTTGTTCCTATATTAAAATGCTTTAAGACCATAAGTTCTTGAAATGAAATAATTAAAGGCGATCTAAATCATAGAATTCTTCTCTAACTACCTACATACCTGTGTTCATTCGATTTTTGCCTACTTCCCAGGAGACAGCATTCTCAGAATGCAGCAAATTTGACCTAAACATCGTCTTCAGTGTCAAATTAACATGAATCCAAAACTCTACCGCAATCGGATGTATGTCTGGTATATCAACAGTTCAGTCAATCGGTAGTATGAGATCAACAGCCGCCAAATGAAACAGCCATGTTCGCGAGATTCGGCGCTGGTTGGCGATTGATCATAAATCAAATTATTGTAAATCAGATCCATAGATAGTTACTCCGTACAGCGGCAGGTACATCGCTGTTTCAGGTTTCGCTGAAGATAAACCTGCGGCTTTCCGGGTGGGTCCTAAAGACCCAACTGGGAATAGGCAAACAACCGAACGAACTCAGGACGACCAGGCGGGTGTGCCAGTGTGCCCCTCCCTCGGTAGAAACTGCGAGAGGACTTTAACGCTTGCGTTGATTCAGTGAGAAAGATGAACCAAATTATTCTGTGTGTGAGAACCGATATGATGTGACCATGTTAATGACTAGGCTGACTTGTTACTGCCGCTTTTATTCCTGATCAATAAACCGTTTGAATTTTCAGATTTTTTTATTTGTATTGTAGAAGATCATTATAAGCATTATATATATATATATATATACATATATATATATATGTATTTTATTTGATGACGAATAGTTGACTTGTGATTTTTGCTAGTGCAAGCGGGGGAGAGGCAACCGACCGGCCTGGTCGTCCTGCAGTGACCACCGTGAGAGAAGCACAGCACACAACACCAGATCGTACACAATACCACCTACACTTCATCACTTTATTCAATTACCATCATCATCATTGTTATTATTACAACTCAACACTTTGCCGTGGAAAGTGGCCACAGCGCATCGACTCCTTCCTTTCGGCCCTTAGTTAGTCCCTTGCTTTGTTTGTTGTTTTTATTACTGTTATATATTTTGTCTGTTTTTGTCTGTCCCTCCCACAGACACAGCTCATCAGTATTCCTGTGTTTCTATGGCGTGTGTCTGTCGCATGAAATTCCCTGTTTACGTGCATCTGTCTCTGAGTCGAAACCGCATCCATATTCTCGATGATATTTAATGACCACTTGTGACACTCAGTTTAACGGAATTAAACGAATTTCCTAACCTTGTTGTACATTTTTAATTATCAATATTTAATCACTCTTGGATACGCGCGTTATGATGCGAGATATCTCTCAGCTTGCTTGCTGCACACGCCTTCGATCGGCATCCACTAGCAACGACTTTAGTCCATCATCATGCATTTGTTATCTGAGTTATGTTTACTCCAACGTCGTTTTTCAGGGACACACGGAATTTTTAACTTTCAAATTGCTTCACCTGTTTGTGCTTATTCTCATACACGTGTTATTTATCCTTTTTGCCACCATAAAATCTATTATATTATACCAGCATTGGCTAATATTCGGTTACGTTATCTATTTAATTCTTGTGTGTAGGTGTGTCTGTATGTCACCACCGCTATTCTATTCGCCCATTCAATCAATTGTTCATTCATCTATTTATACTCCTTATATATATATATATTCGTCAATATTATTCACTCATCTCTTTGTACAGATGGGGCGGGTATAAGCGGAACGACACTGGCAAAACTACGGACAAAAGTTGGGGAAGCACCAACTTTTCTTTAATTGCCTGCCCTTTTTTGTCCGAGGTAGATCTACTGAACACTTCACTCTAAATCGTTACACGCATTCGCTTGCTCTCTCTCGCTCTCTTTCTTGCCACCTGACCATACGACCACGTAAACAGCAACCCTCAGATACAGGGCAAAGCGGGGCAAATAGCAATGCTATTAAAATGTCGCCAAATACTTCCTCTCTCTATCAGACCCTTTTCTGTTCGTTCCCCCTGCCAGCTCGTGGTATCCATCGGCTGTAGAAATGTTGTTTCTCTGTATCGTTCATTCGTCTGGTTAGTTGGTATGAGAAAAATAGAATTTTCTATATGTATCATGGCAATCTGGTGGAATCCCCCATTTACGTGACCTCTGTCTTTAGTCTACCTAGCCACACACGCGCGTTTAATTCTTTCTTCTTCCCTCGCTGAATTTGTTAGTAATAATTTTCATTAATTAGTATTATTGTTATTAGTAGTAGTAGTGTATTATATCATTAATTAAATATATAATATTATTAATTTACAACTGCAAACCAGCAATAATCCATATACTAGTTTGTTGCTGCCCTCGGTGTTATCTTCACTTCATCTTTTCTGCTAGCTCTCCTGCGCGTATATACAATTGCTTATAAAGCGGTATCTTGTTGTGTTGAAATTAAAAGAAACGTCGAAGTAGTAACCATATAATAATAGTACTAGTGCTAATATAAATAGACGGATATCTCAGATATGGTACCATGTCCACCATAATATATGTAACTGTTATCAAAAGCTAACAAACGCAAACCATATGTTATGGTTTGCTAGGATTTGACGATGGCGGTGACGATGACCCCAAACGTCCGTTGTCACGCAGAGAGAAGATGTTCCAAATTTGATTAGCGTAACCGCAGCAGGCATATTATTGCTATAGTTACTAATATTTGTAATGTTATTTTTCATTATCATTTTAAATTGGACCATTATTAATCTATACATTGCTACGTAACCATACGGCAACTCATGATGGTAATACTCATAATACTAAAATTTTACAAAAGCGTTAGACCATTATTATCACTCCGTGTCGCCTCGTCTGCTGTTTTTAGGCAACGAATGTGATTTCGATAAAGAAAAATAAAGCGAGTTCACTGTGCTACCTTGAGGTACGCAAGTAATACACCTTATTTCCGGGCCATCGGAAATTAGTCAGAATTTTTTACCATGCCAAAACACCGCAGGTTTAATAATTTGTCTTTTCAACATCACCTAGCACAAACTAGGCATTCGCTGTTGACAAAGTTACAGCAAGCGGTTCTTTAAAAGCGTAACAAAAATATCATCCATTATTCATTTCGCCGTAATTTTGCACGTGGAACCATTGTTTCACCATTTCATTCATGTTATTTAATACCACTTTGTCAAATTGTTGGAGCAATTTTTGTTGCTTTCTCTAAGTTAAACAGTACCAAGATGGCTTTCAACGTAATGCATATTTACCAGACCATTATGGGTAAGTTCGTTTTTTCAAAGAAGAATCACGAGGGGCAACTGAGAACGTCATACAAGATCGACAAAGCACGTTTTGTTCTGGAAAAGTCCGTTTCAGAGAAATGAAGTCGGCTCAAACCAAGCAGCTCAAGATTCAAATATCGGCTCACAGAATCGGCATTGCCACGGGATTACGCTGAATGAATAGGTCGTTTCGACTTGACCACCTCTCCCGCTACCTCTGCACTGTTGTTGTTGTGGTTGTTGTTGTTCATAATGCCATATCACGAATTTGCAGTTCACAACAATAAAACAGCGACAGCATTTAATGCATTGGCTTTTTTCCAATTTGGTTTTTTCACCAACAGCTGCTGCTTCCATATCCTCACTCTATCTAGCGTCCTCTTCATCCTTCAACCCATTTTGTTCAATTCAACATCCCCCTCCCCCTCACTCCAATTCATTGTTTATTACCCCGCTTATTTTTTCCACCTCTGTTCCATATGTCTTGTGTGTTTTGTTTTAGCTTTCATTTTAAGCTAGCTAACTATTTACATGTGCCGACCTCGCAGAGCCGTTATTTCTAGGCGAGCCGTTGTGTCTTTCCGCTTGCGTAGTTGCCCCCTGCCTTGTGCGTTTACGCCCCTCCGCCACCACACCCGCAGCTCCCCTCTTTCTTTCGATTGCAGCTGCCCCATAGCCTGTTGTAGCTGTTGCCGTTGTTGTGTGGTTATTGTTCGCTTCTCCGGCAACCCCAGCGCCACGTCTCCGTCTAGGAGGTTGTCCCCCTGTGATGATTTCGACGCTGCTGGCGTCGTCATCATCATCTTCATCCTCCTCGCCGTCATCCTCACTGTCCTCATCTCCGCTATCACCTTCATCGTCATCACGATCATCATCATCACCATTGGAATGATTACGGCGTCTGCTCCGGGTAGCGTTAGCCGCAGCTGCCGCAGCCGCCGCGGCTGCTACTAGCCGCCCGCTCATGCGTTTCGACGGCGATCTGCTCGGAACTCGCTGTTGCTGCTGTTGTAGCCGGACCTTCCCCCCCCCTCTGCGAGGTCGCTTTGACATGGTGTGGGTGTTGTGGTTTGTGTTACTGCTGTTGTTGCTTGTGTTACTGTTGGTACTATGTCGTCTGCTGTTATAATGCCTAGCACTGTTTCCATATCTATTGTTCTTATGGTGATTATTGTTGTTGTTATGAGCAAGTGTGGTTGCTGCTGTAGAAGCCGGCTTCCCGTTCGATTTCACCTCTTGTGGACTGTGCGGCCGCTTATAGCTGATCAGTGGCGGCGTTTCCTTCATAGCCTCTTCGCGCTCCTTCTGGCTCTGGAGTCGATTCAGCATCCACTCACGTTTCTGAGCTTCGACTTGCTCCTGTAGACGATATTCGATCGAAATGTCAGCGTCACAAAAAGCACGGGAGAGTAAAAGGTGAATATGACGGCGTTAAAATCAGTTTTTTTTTTTAATTTTTATCAAAACGTTTTGTGCGATTCTGTCATATGAGATTGATAGATGCAGAAAATTTTGGCTGCTAACGGATAACGGAGATTTCAATCAGACATATGGTCTTCACATCTTTTAGAGAAAGACAATTTAGTTTTTTCTATGTTTCAAGACAAATAATTTTACCTCTGCTTGTTTAAGATCCTCGAAGTCGTGCTGGGTCTCGAGGAATCGGAGCGCGTACTTTTCAACATTATTCAACTGGCTCATTAGTACTCGTTCCTCTTCAGTCTCCTCTGTTCCAAGATTACGATTCTCCTAAAGATAATAACAATAACACGCCTTGTTATAGTAATGATCTGTGACAAAGCACTGCTGCGTGCATTGCACGACGCAGCTGGTTTTTCTGCACATGTGTATACTGCTAAAGAAGCTTCTTAGCTTAAGAAGCCGATATCTAAGATCCTACAATGACGAATTCCATAGTATTCCACAGACGAGTACAAATAACCCTCCCTTAATAGCAGACACAGATTGTCCCTAAAGTCATTCGGTCTATTGCATTTGCCCGATCACCCAATGGTTCATCACGATCATTATCGACAATATGAGAACTACGAACCTGATAGGCAATTTCCTCATCGAACTCGGCTAAATCCGCGGACGCTTCAGCGCGTGCCCGTTTAGCTGCCTTTGCATCCGCCTCTTCCTCTACTTGATTTAGAGTTCTCTCAAAGTCCTCCTGTTCGCGACGCAATTCAGCACTTGTCATCGGCGTTTCCTCCTCTTCTGATACCTCTTTTTTGACAGTGGTGCATTCGATTGTCTGGTCCTCGAACAGATCGGTTATCGTATTCTGAAATAACGAACATATGTATATTTATGTACAGTCTTACATTACAGAGATTCAATCGTAGTACGCTGTATAACTACGCGACTGCCACATTGCAACGCCTACAAAAAACAACTGCTAAAACTGTCAATACTCCGAATACGTTGTATTGCTGCACGATATACACGTGAATGCAAAACTAGATAAAAGTGCATACTGATCGGAAGAAGCTCGTGGTGAAGTTGCCGCCCTCGATCGCCAACTCGCCAAGCATTCGTTTTTGGTTAGCTTTCCGTAGAATGTTCTCTTCGACAGTGCGTTCGCTGACCAAACGATAAATGTGGACATCACGGGTCTGACCGATGCGATGACAGCGATCCTGCGCCTGTGCGTCCATTGTGGGATTCCAGTCGGAGTCATAGAAGACAACAGTGTCGGCGCCCGTCAGATTGAGTCCCACACCACCGGATCGTGTCGACAGTATGAAACAGAACAGACGCTTATCCGAATTAAATCGCTCAACCAGCACCTGCCGCTGTTCGATGTCCGTGGCGCCGTCAAGCCGAAGATACGTGTGACCATGCATCGTGAGGAACTCCTCCAGTACATCAAGCATACGGGCCATCTGTGTGAAGATTAGGACTCGATGTCCACCCGACTTCAGCTGCACAAGCAGCTGGTCTAATGTTTGGAGCTTACCGCAGTCGAACTGAATCAGACGGCGGTCAGGGAATTGTGTCTGTTGGCGAGCTCCGATGCGCGCCAATAGATCGAGCTTGGGTCGAAGTTCTTGACGCATTCGAGCCTCGGCTTGACGCCAGCCGTTTATGAGATGAGGGGGCGGATGGGACGCGTGCATTTCGATGGGAGGTGCACTAACTCGCGGGTGAATACATAAAAACTGATTCCACTGAGCTTCGTACTGCTCCCAAAGAAGGTCGGGCGAAGGCACCAGCTCTCGGAGAGCGTTTGTGTCACTCCACCACGATGTGTGCGAGTGGATATTCTGAGTGTAAAGGTGACTGTAAAGAATTAGACATAATTATGAATTTTAGAAGCACTCGACAATTAAGGCTTGCTGATAAATTATGTTAACCTTATAATAATAAACAAAATGGCCAATGGATCGTTAGTGCTCGGCTTATAAGATCTAAAATAAGCATAACAGTTGAGTTGTATTGTGGATTATAGCTTTTATTCGTGCCCTAACAAGCTAGGCTTTATTACACCAGACATTTGCATCGCCGAACACGCGGCAGCGTTTAATAGGTTCTTTGGTTTTGAGTCTTATTTGTAAGGCTATTGATAAAACAACAAAACTAAGCTAACTCACCCTACACCAGTTCCATAAGGGGCGCGACGCACGGCGTGTTCAGGAACCTCCTCGGGATACGGAGTCTGAAGTGGAGCCACTCGTTTGGGCGGTGTTGGCGGCACCCTGTCCTCCAGGTTCGTCACTGATACAGCTTCAATAAGGTCTTGGCCATACACGGGACCCGGAGCACATCGCATGTTATTGATCCGACCTAACAATTTCAGTTTTCCCTGGTAGATAGTCCGTCGCTTCTTTTCGAGACTATCGATGAAAAATGGCGTTTTCTCTCCACCAGTGGTTGCGACACCAGAACCTCCGACGGCGCCACCGGCTGCTGCTGCTGATGACGCTACCGCAGCCGCCACTTTACGTTGTGCAGCAACGGCGGACGCTGCGCTGGCAGCTCCCGTAAGAGCCATTTGACCCCCGGTTGTGGTCTTTTGGCCGGCGACGAGGGCATGGCTCGTCGTCGCTATAATGCTTCGTGGCGGCGTACCAGCTGCTACCGGCGTAGGTGGTCGTGACGCTATAGTTTGCGGAATCACTCCGACTGAGCTTCCTGCAATGGAGGTGTAAATGTAAAGGGTGGTGGACAACAAGAACATTCATATAGTCCGTGCGTACGTGTGAAACCTACAGAGGTTGATGCATGCTGCTGAAGTTTGGACTTTCAATTCAGCTACCTAAGTTTCAGGAGGTCTTGATGAAATTCAGTGCTACATAACGAAATCAGAATCATTTGTTTTTTACAATGTCGACAAATTAGCTTGAATGGCGGTTGTCGTAATGACCAGATCGTGTGAAAGCGAGTACTTACCGACTGTTGTCACAACTGGTTTGTGCGGACTTAGCAAACTTTGAGGTCGTTGAGACTGTACGGCCTGAAGAGCCGGGTTCTGAGCTGTTTGCACCTGGCCTGCTCCGGCTACGGGCATTCGAACCAAACCCCCAGGCCGGATTGCGGCCGCAGCTGTTGTTCCAGCTGTAGTTGCGCCTGTTGCAGGTTGGGGTGCTGTCGTTAATAGAATATGTTGGCCGGAAGTCGTCTGCACAATGCGGTGAAGTGCACCGGTTGCCGTACGGGAGGTTCCTGTTTGTTGGACGTGAAGCGTCATCGGAGATTGCGGAGTTCCCAGCTGGCCCGCTTGACCTCCTTGGGCTGAAAACCATTCAGTAATATTATGCAGTCAAAACAATGTCAATTGATGAGCTACCATGATGTAACTATGCCTCTAACCCGTTATATGTTACAAAAATTATCACTGAGAAACAAAATGACCTGTCGTAGCTGTGCAACGCGCAGCGATTAACACTACGTTCAATAACATTAAGTTGCCTGCACGTGATCCTAAGAGACGTATAGCTCATAAAAACCGTTCTTTTGAAAAAGAAATCATTTAAAGCTTACCTTTTTGTACAAGTTGGAATGTGACTGGCTGCGCATGTGTGGTCTGTCCTTGAGCAGCATCAGGTCGTTGTCCCAGCATAACAATACGGCCGGTTTGCGAGGTCGAAGCTGCACGTAGCTGTCCACTAACAACGCGTCCAGCTGTTGTCCCCACTTGCGCCAGCACAGGTGGCCGAGGGACCTGTGCGGTTGCCGGCGTTGTGGTCGTTCGGATGTGCAAACGAATTTTGCCACTGGGGCATCGTGGAGGTGTCGCCGGGTGGTTTTCGGCGCCTTCGATGTATTGTGGCGTAGTCTGGAACTTTTTGATCCGGTGAGCCGCAAATGCTGTCAACACGAGTTCAAGATCTGCCAGGTGCAAGTTTAGTGATGCGAACAGCGTTTTTAAAGGGCTTTCCATATGCAGAAGCAGTGAAGGTACACGATAGACAAGCCCCTCCATGCGGAAAGGTGATGATACAGGTCGCGGCTCAAAGAGAGCAGGGTGATTGCATACCTTTCGCAACTGCATAAGTACGTTTAACACACTTAGTAGTTTGCCCGACGCTAAAGTCTCACGGGTTTTGCCCTGTGACATAAAATCATCGTAGAGGAATCGCTGCCGCTTTGACAATCGGCACATTAGGATATGCTCGTATTTCTGCGGCATTTGTTGCTCGACTTCGCTTTTCAGACGACGCAACAGAAACGGTCGGAGCACCCTGTGCAGGCGCTTGACGAGAGCTTCGTTGTACTCGCTCGAGCCTTCCACCATGCCGGTAAGCGGGTTTGCGAACCATTCCCGGAACTCCTTGTGAGATTCGAACAGGTGCGGCATTAGAAAGTGCATCAGAGACCACAGTTCCATCAGGGTATTTTGTAGAGGGGTGCCCGTTAAGAGTAGACGCCGCTCTGCTTGGAAGTTGACCAGTAGCTGCCATCGTTGACTCTTGAAATTCTTGATATTTTGCGCTTCGTCGAGAATCAAGTAATACCACGGTTTTCGCCGAAACGCCGCATGGTCTTGAACGACCAGTTTATATGATGTAATGCAGACATGAAAGGTATTCTTTTTTGTCCAACCGATTCTTTTAGCCTTGCGCTCCTTCACCGACCCGTAATATGTGAGGATCTTAAAACCTGGACACCACTTTTTGAACTCCATCTCCCAGTTGAGCATGACGGACGTCGGCACAACAACCAGATGTGGCCCCCATACGCCGCGTTCACATGCGAGATGCGCCAGTAGCGAGATAGTCTGTATCGTTTTGCCTAGACCCATCTCGTCGGCCAGGATTCCGTTCAACCTTTGCTCGCACATCGCCACCAACCAGTCAAGGCCAACATGCTGATACTCACGAAGTGTATGCTTCAAAAGGAACGGTACCGGCGTTTTTACTTGTGCCGTTGCCAGATCTAGTCCTTTCGGCTGAAACTTTTCCGCTACGGCAGTTAGCCCACCCAGTTTATCCTCGTCCTCTTCTGGGGTATCTGTACCTCCTGTGTGCTCTTTACAACTTTCGACTACCTGAGGCTTTTCTTTAATTTCAGTAGCATCTGATGACATACTAATTGTCTTATCCTTATCTTGCGTCTCAGCATCAGCATTTTCACTAGCATCCATCCGTTGGCTGGCACCATCCTCCATCACTTCGTCCTTTCCATTTTCCTCAGCACTTTCCTCATCATCATCATCGTCTTCTTCATTGTCTTCATCATCTTCATCACCTCCATTGTCATCGTCGTCAACGTCCTCATCCATTGATTCGTCGCTTGGCGTGCCGCTTCGGTCTCCCGTCTCCCTGGCATCCTCATGTTGCGAATAGTATTTCGCTAATAGCTCCTCAACTGACAGCGCGTTATCACCTTCCAGCTCGTTTAGCTCCTGCTTATGATCGACTTTCTCTCGTCGCTCCTGCTTGGCAATTGTTTCTTCATCATCTTCTTCGGACGAGTCTTCAACGAAGTCGTCGTCGTTGTCTCGTTCCTGGACATCGGACATCGTGTCGGCCACTGACGGGGCCGCTGTTCCTGATGGCGTATCGACGGCCAACTTGTCTCGAATCTGATCTGAAAATTTCTCCGTCCGATCAACCAAAAGATTCAGCTGAAGATCGAGCGCCTCCTTCCGCTTGGCAGCGACCTTCGTATGGATACGGAACTCGAGCAACTTCTCCGCGTTTGACCAGAACGTCTTCACATCTTTGGCGATTGTTGCGGCGAGCTTGCGAATACGCTGCTGCTCGTCGCGCTCTGCCCGCTGAGCACGCAGTTCCTTCTCCTGATGATACTTTTGACACATTCGGGCGCACTTGCGGGCGATCGCTTTCTTCAGCTTGCGTTCCTGAGCGAAATCGTTACTCATCCATTTCATCTCCTCAAGTAGGTAGTCCCAGTGAGCCTTCGCCCGCGGAGGCTCCTGCACCTTTGGCAGCCTCTGCTGGGCCCAAAGCCCGACCTTGCGCAAGGCCGCGACCCGCTGTAACACGTGCGCTTCGTGCTTAGCGCGCTCAGCCAGCTCGTCCCCGCTACAGACGCTGATCGACGGCGAGGTGCGACCGTCGCTCGGAACGGACGCATTGCTACCGCTATGTCCATGATTGGTAGCGCTGGCATTATGGTGATGGTGATCTCGGATCTCCCTACCCGTTGCCCTGCCGCCTAGGGTCAGGATAGGGGTCGCTGGTGGAGTCGCCACCGGCGTGCCGATTCGAACCCCCCGACCACCGTCGCTGCTCGCCTTCACGTTAAGTATTCGCTGGGGTTCGTCTTCGACTGGATCGAGTAACCTCGTACGCAAGTACTCGAGGTACGACGGCGTAGGTTTCCGCAGCCACCCGAGCAGATCCATGAGTTGGCCGCCATCCTTCAGAAAGTAGATCTCACCTAGATTATCGTAATATTTGTCTTTATTGCCTAACAACTCGGCTGTCTTGAGTTCGATGACACGGCGCTTTTTCACCGCTAGAGGTTCGTCCTTCGAGATAACTTGTGCGCTTGTACGTTTAATTGTCGCGCCGATCTCCCCGTCGGCATGCGGCTTCGCATCCCCGGCCGTGGCCACATCGCGTTCCGCCGTCTCCGCCGCGGTCTGTGTCTGGCTTTGGGGCTGACCAGGAGAACTGGAGGTGTGCGCGTCGTGATCGTCTGCGGCGCTCGCCGGCGGAACTGTTTGATTGTTCTGGCTGGAAACAGTGGCAGCCGCCTCTGGAGTGTCGCTTGCCGTTTTTACTGCAAGTGCCTTCGCCGCATGGCAGCTCATGGCAAGGGATAGCTAAAAGAAATAAGAAAAAACAACGCACAGGTTATACACGTTGTTAAAATTAAGATTCATAACGCCTACGCATTTACGAGGAACGTTAAAATGGAACGTTAAAATGGTGCTATGTATCTCCACCCCTCTCCCCCAACGGTGCCTGTTTTCCCTGGCATGCAGCCACTTATTCAGTAAATATTAGGTACTGCACTTTTGTGGTAGCATTTTAGTTCAGATAATCGCTTCGATCGATTGATTATATTTCCCTTTGATTTAAAATTTTTCTCAACTAGCAGCTAGATAACGTTATAGCAAATTTAAGCTAACTCTAAAGGTAGAAAAAGGTTCCAATGGGTTTCTTTGCTGGGAATTGCTTTTGGGGATTAAATTTTTTGAACATTTAGGTGCCGTATCTAAAACTAATGGCACAAGGTAATTAAATAAGCAAATTAACCCTTCAAGTAAATAGGTAGAATTACAATGAGTTTTGCTTTTCCCCAAAATTTCACCCATCATTTCGATTCAGCCGTAAATTGCATTGAACGAGTTTCACAGGAAAAAAGATAAGGAGGTATACGACATGCTTAGTGCTGACAACTGAATGCAAACTAAATTAATAGGAATGAACGTTGGTGGTCTTAGTCAAGGGGTAAACTATGTTTGGGAATTAGAAACGCCTTTTCGTAGATCCACCAACCCTCGCAAATGGCTGTATATGAGCTGAACCCCCGTAGAGGTGTACTTTCTAACTTCGAAGTGCTATGTAAAATATATTGGTGACATCTGCTTCAACTTGAACAGCATCAAACTTTAGTTCTCCAAGGGTTCCGACCGCTGCTCTCGCCATTTTAACTAACACCTAGTGGGAACAATTGACCAAAGCCTTAAGCTGTTTAACCTTATAAGTTTAACATTAATTTACGCTAATAAAATTTTAGCTAGTCACAAATTTACAACAATAGCTGCTTTACTTTCGGGAGCAGGCATGTCTATACGGTATTTTCAATTATAAAGCGGTACAACGTATACCGATAGCTATCGCATAACTTCTATTGCAAGTAGTAACGTGTTTGCTTACTAAACTTAGCGACGTGCGAAGTGATCCAGACTTAAAACCGGGCGATATCATTCTTCCTTTCGTGCTGTGCAGCTAGCTGCCTAAAGCAACGGTTTAATATGGCACCATGTGTAAAACTCAAAACATGCCATTACAAGAACATTACTACCTTATTCACTTCAAAACAAATGGATGCATCGGAGGCATTTTCTTGCACGGGTATCTAGCCCAGATCTCCGGTCAAAAATACGACGAAAATTATTACTAAAAAAATGTTTAGCTTCGTTGCACAGAATTACGCCTACATCTATCACTACAGCAGTACGTTCAGCCGGTCTAGGATAAAAATTAACCCCCGAACAATCCCCAGAAGAAGAAGCCGAAGTGAATTCATGCGCTACCTAGTTCACGAGATGCACTTTTCTACGAACTTCTTGTATTGTTTCATATTAACCTATTGTTCAATTTGCCAAACGAGTTAAACAGCATTTACAGACGTTGGTAACCTTCAGCGAACGCGTTAGGTCTAATTTACATTGACGCTATACACGCACATTAGCCAACGTTTTGTCCATGGTCGAAGATTATAAATTATAATAGTTAACTCGTAGATTCGTCAAATGAGGCACTTAACAAAAAAAAAGGTAATATCGTTATTAGCCATGGCAGGCGAATAAAGAGATACTATTTACACATGTTTTTAGAATCCTCAAAATACCGTTGCGAAAAAATGAAGCCTAGTCTAGCTTTTTTTTTCCAGCCCAAACAACAACAAGTAAGGACTGTACGCTTTTTTGCTTTGTCCGTGTACAACCAAAAAGAAATACAGACAGGTCGCATTTTTACGCACACGTTCGTTGAATAAATACCTCCTTTTCGTTTATCGGAACTTCGAGGTAGTATAAGAACACCAGTGTCATTCAGCTATAACCGCAGGTCCTTTATGCTTGCATACCTTCGTTAAAAAATTAATTAAGACCAAGTTTTCCTTGTTTCTAAAGTTTCTGGGTTCAACAGGACCCAAAAAACCCGAGCAATTCTGATAGTCGAATGTTACAATGCACAGAAGTACATACACACGCACACACACACTCAACAACGCACACACCTTGTGCGGCCTTCACAGCGCCACCAAAAACGGTTCACCCAGTTCAGAGTCGGTGACTCTGCAGCTCCGACAAATTGGGCTTTTCGCCCACTAGCCAAGTCAGATAGAGAAACTAGTCCCCACTTCAAACAATGACGGTTACAACAATGACAGACAGGAGCGGGTTGCTCTCTTGACACACACAAGAACGCTGGAAAGCGCGAAACAACAGCAGGTATTCGCAGGTTTGAGTTTGTTTTGATCGACACACCTTTCCTATAAATGGGGCCAAACTACAAATGTTTCACCAGAAAGGCACTTCCAATGCCAAACTTTTTTTGGTCTCTTGGAAGATATCTCAATCTACAGCATGAATGCGTACGGCCGCACTCTCACCACACACACCGGTTCACTGTAGATTATCGAACGATACTAACATCATGAGCCCCACACACAACAGTTAGGTCTTTTACACAGCATCTTTTTAATAGAACGACGACTTAAGCATGGTCTTGAGCTTGGGAAAGACACAAATGTGTTTATTAGAGATTAAAACGAAAGGGTGTCACACAATAGTTTCCTTCACATGTTAAATTAGAATACGCGAACAGTATTCGAAGCACACGCATCAAAATGTCGCACCCACTTCCCAACACATGTACAAGTTTAGTTGAGTTTATTCTTATAAGTATTATTCAATGCGCTTGTTGTTGTAGTTGTTGTTATTGTTGTCGTTCTTTGATGGTCTGGTCTGTTATTTTTTTGTCTACAAGATGACGCCGGTAACTTCGGCGCATGCTGAGCATCAACTTCACGACTGACGATCTTTCCCTCTACTAGAAAAACAATCGTTTGAACACGCATTCGGCCATATTCTTTATATTTATTCGGGACTAACACGTTTGCGGTACAGATTCGACCTGCGCACAAAACAGAACGTAAATGATCTCTTTCGTCTGGTGGAAAAGACACGTTTGTTACTCTCTGTGCAACATCCACACGAAGTTCACATCAACAGTTATCACTAACAAATGCTCAGCAATGATTCATAGATCTGGATATGAGGAGTGCTTTTGTTTGTGGTATATCAACGTAGAGATTAACTTTATTTAAAGGCCAGTTTGCGTTTCGTTTAATTAGGATAGTTACTCTGACCTGCATATACTTAACTGGTAAGCTGTTGAATTAAGAATAAAACAACTAAAAAAAACGCTTGAAATTACTAGAGTAGATGTCGATGACAAAAAAATTAGAACAAGACAAGTAGGCCTTTATCAAAACTTTCGATTTAGGTGTGACGACTCTCAGATACTTGCTTTTATATATTGTGCTGTTTCGACGCTGGGAGATGCTGACACAATACAGGTACCAGACAGCGAGGGTCCCACCTAATTTTTCTCTCGCTGCTCGATCGCATAGGTAAATTAGTGGCTGCCGTCACCAGCAGCGGAGATCTTGCTTTTGTTCGGTAGTATTCATCAAGAGAGTCGAAATTCAAGCGGGGCGAATAAGTTACGTTTGGTTGTCTCCAGTAGAAAAACTGCCTTAAATAGTATCGCATGGCGGGTTTAGACAAATGATGATGACGGAATGATCACTTAAGAGCGGTAAAACACCCTCTAATGGTTGCTAGTTTTCTGCTTCCCGTGCGCTTAGAATTTCTTTTGCTTCATATTACTCTAATTTGCAATTTCCGAACGTAACTATTACATCAATTAGTGTATCACGAGCCGCACACAGCATTTTGAGTCTGATAGAGATCGCGGTCTTGTCGAGTTGTTGCTGGCCTGGCGTCATCACTACGGGCGCCGCTGCAGCCGTAAGCAGCACTACAACCAGAAAAAAAACTCCCTTTTATATCGCTTCTGTCCCTTTGCCGATCGACAACCGCAGCAGGAACAGCCCATCAATCGTTCAACCAGCAGCTCTTCGTGGTTGAGACCACCAAATTTGCCAGGTTTTCATCACGAGCAACACAATCGTAGCACTCGAGCACAAATCTACCTGGTCACACACGCGCCTCTTGACCCTTATTGATCGACGACGTTCTTAGGCGACGTGCAGCACGCGACACGTTCATACCTACATACGTACAGAAAGTAATTGGCGCTCGCTATAGCCAGCCGTCGCCGCCGAACCGTCGGGACGAAATGCATAAAATGTACCGCTGTCTGCGGCTGCCGGCGTTACTGCTTCTACCAGTCTGAACAGAACGCAGCACGACTAACTAAACGCACTGGGCGTAGAAGCTACATAAAGGACGGCACAAACAACACACGACTCCGCTGCAAGGGCTTACGTCGGTTGAGCGAAGCGTCGCTCAGGAAGCCGCCATTTTTGCTAGGCCTCCACACGATATAGACGACACTCGACTGCTGGCAGAAAGGTAGCCAGGCAGACACTGTCGCCAAGTAGGGGGGGGGGTTGATTGGTTGATCACTGGTGGCAATTGGTCGCGAACGAAAAAGCTCACTTTTGAGATCGACCCATTCAGGTTTTCATTGGGGTTACCCACCTGTTCGACGGGCACGTTCGCCTAGTTCATTGCACGTATGCCGTTAGGTGATATTTCGACAAAATGAACGTCGATTTTCGCGGATTTCGAGTCACACCCCAGCTACACTCCACACCGAACCTAGCATTGTCGATGGACGCTCCGACGATGCGGCCTGTTCACTGGCTTCATTTCTGGGTGATTTTTTGTTGGAAATTCGTCGACGTATTTCAATGGATCTTTCACAGTTGAGCCAAGTTACTCAACAGAGAACATCTAGTGAGAAATTTGACATAAAATGTTCGAGAAAATAGAAGAAATCTGTTCTTTTGTTTGTTGAGTTTATGGCGGCAAGCTTTCAAATGTTTGGCGGGCAAATGGAGAGAATGCGAGTTCGGGCTTGTTTTGCCACAAAATAGAGCCGTACGTAAATGTTTCTGTATAATTTGACTTTCATTTCGTATCTGACCAAGCCTGCATGGTCCTCAATAGGACTTAGTATGATATATTCGCATCACCTTGATACAGAATAAATACAACGGAGAGGTGATGAAACTCTATTTAAAGCTATGGCTATTTTAAACGTTTTTGAAATATACATATGTCGTGATTTTTTTCTCTATGCGAGCCAAAAAGTAAATAGCAACGAATCGAAGCAACTTTGTTCCGCATTACATGACACAATTCAATAAAAAGAGAAAACTGACAAACTTTTTTTCAAAACAACCTTTCTCAAAAAACCAAAGATGTCGCAGCTGTACACAAGAATTTGCCGTCATTAACCTATAGCGTTGCGCATGCTCTGAATCTACCGGCTCTCAATATTTTTAATACAGATTAATAATAATAAATATTGCATTATAACAACAATAGATTCAGGTAGACGTGAGGCACAAAGTTGAGAAAATCGTGAGACTCTTTTCGTATTAGTATTAACAAGGATCTGATTGCGCTTGTTGTTTGACCATGGATTTAGCAATAAAAGTAAAATATAGACGAAAATCGAATATCGATCCCGTAACGTCAATAAAAAATTACGTTCTTCTTTCACACAGGCAGCATCAAGAGCACACTTTTAGTCGAACTTTAATATTATTTCAACGGAGAGAAAATGATAAAATAATGATGTTTAGATAGTCAGGCGCAGATTTTTTGGAATTAAGCCGACATGTATTGGTTGTGGTAATTTCCGTAATTTCTATGTGCAAGAATGCACTAATACTATGAAGTTTTGCCCTAGTAGATCAGTCACTTTCAGTTCCAATGTGTTAATAATGATGAAGTAATCGTTAATCACTTCATTAATTTGTCAATTAAATCATACATTCAAAGCCCCGCGTGATATATAGTAGATGTGAAATAATTTGTTGGTACCTAAAAAATATTTGTAATACTCACCTATCAACTTCCATGCCTTCAGGTCTCCTTAGACATCATATGGTTGCCACGCTTGGTAGAAATGTCGGAATTTAGAGCCGTTTATCGACCTAACAGTTATCTTCAACTTGACTTACGCTATCTATTAAACTTAAAGACACATGGTCTTTAGGTTCAAAACCAGGCGTAGATGCCCTTTATTCGGTGCGCGAAGCTAACTGGCTAAAACAATTCTTAACGGTAATACTGTACGTAAAGCTCTAAACTTTTAGTTAACTGAAGTTTAATTATTTTATAATTTTTTATACACATTATATTTTATAATCAATAATGAGTAGTTCAATAAAAACTACTCAAAAATATACACTGGGAATCTAATTTTTTCACTAATCGAAATAAACCAACGTCATTTTAATCTTTAATTTAGAAGACCTAATCTAAACAGCAGCACTCTCAGTGGTACCAGTTATCGCAATAACTATTAACCGCTTTATCTAAGTGAAACAGTTTTACATTTATTGACTTAATTTTGTTTGTATTATAAACATCGATTTCGTTATTTCTATTTGCTTGCAGTCGAAACAATTTAGATCATCATCGCATATATTAATGGCATCTAAGTTTATAATTTCCCGTTATCTCACGCCTTTATCTTGGTTTTATTTCATAATAATTCGCTTTTCGTTTTTTCTAACGCGGACCCCTTCTAAATTTATTTAACATATCTGAATTATTTTCCCTATTTCTCTCCACCGCGCCGTAAACTCGGGTTGGTCCGTGTTTTTTTATGCGATTCGAGCAATTCTGCCTAAGACCAACTACTTCTAATACTTAACAACATATTTTATGCAATAATTCTTTGCTTAGCTGATCGCTTGGCGAAGTCTCATAGTTATGTTTCTGTTATCATTGTCTTGCACGTTAGGTAAGCGCTGATGGCATCTCGTTCTTTTCTTGACGCACTAACTTCCTTAGCTTTAATGCGTATCATGTTCTATCACAGGTTGCACACACAATAACGCTTCATACGCTAATATTTATTAGATTATTGGTTATAACAACGCTTATGCTTGGTGACGTTGGACACGTCCTATGCTTACTGACTTACCCTTCTGTCACACAACTCTAGAAGCGTAGGACCATGAAGAAACAATTTCAACAAGATCCACCCAACCATTATTATGAATGTCCTTTGAGGTTAGCGTTGTTATTCTAATACATAATAGATTTTTTGTCGTTGCCGCACGTATTCCTTCTGGTTCCATCTATACATTTGCAATTTGCCAAGTTACAGAAGATGCGACACGCGAGTCTACAGCGCGGAAACGAGAGTTCATCATGCGTATGTATGTGTGTATCATCATTATAATCATCATCGTCGTCAAAATATGTCTCTTATGCTCTTTTCAGTGCCTGTCCTTTTCTAGGTCTGTTCAGAGCCTGCCTTGTTGTTTTTCCGTTGCCTAAATGTTCCTCTGTTCTGGAAGTTCTGCGTTTCATACTGGCTATTATAAAAATACAAATATGTGCTCATTTTACCAAGAGTCAGGTTGCGCTGGGATTCTCTGCAAATATATTTATATAATATATAATTCTTGTTGTATAATATCATATAGATATCTGTAAGGCTGATGAGTGACTCGTGGCTGTGCGTAAGAGCGTGGGTTGTGTATCAGTGATAGTATGTCAGTTATCTTTGCGCACTGTGAATAAAAAACTCCCTAACTGTGTGATAAATCCCTCGAAAATTGTTAGATTTCGTGCTTCTGTTTGCAACTGGTTTCAGTGATAAATAATTGGATAGAAAAACAACAAACAGGTTGGTTTCACAATGAACTGGTAAGCGGCAATCTAAACCGCAGACTGTAGCGACGGACTCGTTCTTTAAATCTCGTTTTTACATTAGCAGAAAACTGTCGGCAGGTGCTGATATTGTTTCCGCATTTGTATTTATTTATTCTTATTGCAATTTTGCACAAACAAAAATTACAATAGTAATTAGCGATACCGGAAAATCTCAGCCTCACAATCAATGATTCTTTTATCTTACTCTAACTAAAAAAATGGATACAATTAGTTGTCATTAATTTATGCTTCCCTTATAGGAGTAGAGGCATATTTTAATATTATAAGTTTGCTCGCTTCCTTGTTTTAGTCAGTGCTTAATTTAATTATCCATCTTTGGATGACTATATTTCGTAATAGATGAATGTATTGACTTAAACGCAGTGGCTTCAAGGATGTACGAAGATGAGCAGTTGATCCAAAAGAGCGAAGAATTTATTTATAGATCTGTGTGTATTGCTAAAAATTCAGCGTTTAAATCAAGGGAAAAGTTTGCGAAAGCATTTCTAGGAAGTTTTATATATACGTTATTTAGTCGAAGATTTACAATATAGCAGTTGAGTTTGGGCTTTTAGGGCCTTGTTTATTACTGGATACACATCACAAGGAGCGATGTGATTCACAGATTGACGTTCGTTTAAAATGAATGAAAATAGTACATTATATGCCTTTTTTATTTCTGGAATGTTTCTGCATTGTTGTCAAGTAAACGTTGAAAGTTAGGCGTTACTTAACTGTTAAGCTTACACAAATATATTAATGCGCTCGCGCAATTATGCATGCACAAGAATACTACTACAATATGTTCCATAATATAACGAAAGTGTTGGTTTCAGTTTAAGATTGGCTTTTCGACCTTTAGTCAGTGATAGTGCTTAGAAAGCGGCCAGCGTCTTTTCTCATTGGCGTACAAGTACAATTATAATTTATAGTCTATTTGAAACTCAACAGCATACCTTACACGTAATACAGTGGTAATTTCTACCGAGGTAACGACATTCGATTTACCTTGATGAACAACTTTTGAGTCAACCCTATTATTGCATCCAAAAGACTGAAACCAACGACTCACTAAGCCTCAAGGTTCGCATGGCGTGTGTAAAGCTGCTCGTAAAATGAGGCATAGAAATAATTCATCCTTAAAATGGCCAGCTGCTGGAGGCAAACTCTGAAGTCACATCAGACACCGCATAGGTGCCACGTTATAACGCGGCTAACAGCAATTAAGTACCAACACAAGGCAGTGTAAAGGAAAATTGCTAGGTCGTACCTCATAGTTTCAATAATTAAAAGGTGGACTATAAACAGAAAAGGCGTATGTATGTATAAGATCCTCGAAGTATAGGTAGAAGTCGAAAGTATATTTTTACCATCTAATACATTTTTTCATGTACAGGACATTGAAAATATTGAGTTTTAGCAATATACCAGAAATAACGAATAAGAATATGTCCGGCTGGCCTTTCTATATATATATATATATATATATATATATATATATATATATATATATGTACAAGCATTATATATATAGAATGGTTATCTTTCCAAGGGGAAGACTGGGAATACAAATCGTAATGCATTATAATTCATAGACTGTAGATTAGACCTTAGCTATAATTATGTAGTGGTCTTATTCGGTAGCGCTTTTATGTGAAAAAGTCGATTTTACGCATACGAGGACGTTGAAGTAAACGTTGGCAAATGAACTTCACTCCCATGTCGTCTTAGTACTGTTGGCTACTTCAGCTGCAGTCAAAGAACTTGACTGTCGCAGACCTTTAGTCTACGATCGTTGGTTGCCAGAAACATATATATTAAATAAATAATCGTTTTCTTTAAGGTCAAATATCTACGACGTCTAAATAATGCATATATATATATATATATTCTCTCTATAATGCCTTTTAGAATAGTGTAGGCATTAAATAATGATTACATATTACAGAGATACAATAGTATAATTAAAGAGACTTCGTAAATGTACTTAAAACAATCTTATATAGTTTTTGTCTTTGCACCCTGATTGATATGTTCAGTTAACTGTCAATACGTAATGTGGATACTAAGTGTGATATTGACAGCATAGTAGAGATTATTTAGCAACAACGCTAATGATCTGCATAGACTTGTACGAGCTATATATATAAAAGCGAAACTTCGTGAAAAAGGTTTTAGCTCTTTACACCGCTGCATGGGAAAATACAGAGTTGTAGGTCTTCCTGTTTTCTTATACTTACTGCCTTTGTCTGTTTCATGGAAAGTAGGCGCTTTTCATAGATGAATACAGGACATAATGGGCACGAGATATAATGGTACATTGACGTTAATTTGGTACGTAAATCAATATTTTTTAATTCATTATTTAATTCGTTGCTTCTGATAGTCATTTATACAGCGGTACTATGTACTCTTAGCGTTATTTTTATTTAGCGGTAAGTCGAAATTATCTTCATTCGACACTTTACATCTGCACATAATTCCCATCGCATGGCCCGAAGGCGTTGAAATCATTGTCTCTTTAGCTACCTAGTAAACGTTTGTCGGTGTTTACTACTCCGGCGCCTATTTGCCGTAGTAAGCATGCTTACAATTTGATTTTCCAGAGATGACAGATTGAATGTACAATATTAAAGGAGAACTGGAAAGCATTAAAATAATACCATGTCAGTATTCGTATTTACGAATGAAGTAATGACAGGAACATGCTTAAATGCAACGTGTTTTTAAATTAGATGGTTTTCGATTCTCTGGAAAAAAAACTGCATAATTACGAAAAACAAAGTTTGACAAATGAATTAACAACAGGCGAATTAGCTTTCGAGACGTATGAAACAACGATCCACCGAGGAACGCCAGCGAAGAGTGTAAAATTAGAGATTCTGCATTGCTAGTCTAGCCGACGTGCCAACATATGAAATTAATAGGAGTCTAACCTAAAATTAAGGCAACTCAATACGCTGCGTGAGATATGATTTCAAGTGCGATGGATCAGCTCAATTTTGTCACCATCGGTTCGTCAGGGCAGGGCACCAGCGGACTGTCAGCTTCTCGAGCTAGGTTCCCAAAATTCTGTCGGTTACATACGATACCGTTGCTATGAAATGCGAAAATTAAACACTATACACAACTCAGAATATCAACAGATCTTTCTCTATTCGACTTTTTCTTTTTTTACGTGGGGTAGAGCAAAGACTTGGTGTCATCTAGGGTTTATCGGAAACAGTAATGCTGGCTATCGTTGGCTACCTATATAGATGGATAAGATATCATTCTTGTGTCTCACAAAATTCAATAAAGTTCATATACAATGATTGATGTTTCGGCTTGATTGCCTTATTTGATATTGCCTCATGTTGTTCGATGACTAAATTTTTAGAATAGAAAACGGTGTTCCTGCTACTGCTGCTGCTGCCGCCGCCACCGCTACTATTACTACTAGCGGCGGACTAAGCTAACAATAGATGATAGCTTCCCGTCAACAGGATTACTTATTGCCTTTGTAGTGATTGTATACGTCATAAGAAGTGCTCTACTTGACGCAGCAAAAAACCTTCAGTTTTGCCATTGTTTGCACTACGGCATGTCTAATACTAAATACCGGATGCGTACAAGTGTGACATACATAAGTGCTGATACCAGAATCGTGGTTGCGCCTGCCTAACAATCTTATTGGAGATTATTCATTTTTTAGATTTGTCTGCGTTTTAGGTGGAATGTGCGTGCGCTAAGATACTGGTCAAGCTAATCGTTTTGAAAATAGGATACCGTCAGTCTGCTTAGACGTACTCCATCACGGCAGACGATCTAGGACATGACCTATATTTAAAGGGTAGTGTGGTCGTGAATGATATGGCGCTAGTAGTTTTCCTTCATACGTTTCGATACGTTTTCCTCCTCGCATAACCACCCGCACAATTCATAAACGTCAATTTCGTAGTATTGTAATCATACGACGTCGTTATTCTTGTTCTAGTTTGATGGACTTGTAATATACGGAAGGTCTTCAGGCTCTTCCATCTTGAGAGAAATTGAATAACATTACCATAACTGCTGTTCGTTCAAGGTAGAAAAAATTAACAATTATGTAATTAGCAACCAGTCTATAGAGTAACTAGCCATTTTACGATACTGTTATTGAACGTTATCCCATGTAATCACTTATGTATAGATCATTTTTATAAGAGCTGATAAAGCTAGCATTGACCGGCTTTCTTGTTGTATTAGATGAATCTTACACAGCGAGCACTGGCCGCAGTTTCTCAGAATGTCAGTACATACTGCAACGAAGCAGTTGCTGTCCGAATGATCTCGGTAATATCGTGAACAAGCAGGACTATTCGGGCTCCCAGTTCGTCATCGCATTCGGTTGATTCAGTGAGCGACTGTGTTATTAGATCAAGAACACCTTGAAATTGGGGCAAATAACAACGGGGCTTAAAATTAAGTGACCATGGTGCGACAGGTTTATCTGTGCTGGGAGAATAAAATTCAATAACAAAAATTATATCTGTTATGAGAGGAAAAACGTTATTATATGTCGACAATATCAGGGAGACGCGTAGAAGATTAGTGGATACGAGGCTGAGTGCGCACACCTTATAGCTTTCTTCTAGTAGTTAAGTCCAAAAACACTAAAGCCAAAAACTATAAGGTACTCCAGGCCAAGGCTTAGCCGAGTACTATAAAATCAAATATAAAATAAAGAAATACTATAGAAAACATTAAAAATATAAAATACTAAAAATAAATAAAAATAAAAATATCGAAAAAATGAGGGTCGAACTAGCGGCAGGTACCAGCATCAGGTATTTACGCTAGGTCGAGGATCACGATCTGCCGGCACGTTCGTTTTCATCGAAGATAAGCTTAGTGTTATAGAGGAAAGAAAAAGATGAGCTGAACACAGAATATAAGATAAAGCTACATACATTTCGTTAAAATACTATTAGTTGGTTATTTTCGAGGTCTTCTGTTATTAAAAAGTACTCACTTGGGAATATATTGCTGAGCTGCGGATAAGTCTTTACTGGTGTAGCAACACCATGTTGCTCGTTGAATACGTCAACTCCAGTGACGCTCAAACACTGGTTGGGACACGATCTAAGGAACGCGCGCTCGAGTAGAAGTAACTGATCATTCACCATTCGTATAGCCATCGGATCGCGCAGGTCCAGCATATCCTGTCGATGATGGAATTCAGCTGCTCTCAAGGAAAAGTCTCCGACCTGCAACACGAATACGGAAATATCGTAGCAGGTAACTTTGCTTGGGTGGATGAATTTCAAATATCTAACAAATATGGCTGTTTAGGGTACTGTGTACGTCAATCAATGTTATTAATTAGGTACGACATTAGGTACAAATTGATCTTAATAAGTGCCCGGTAAGGTCACTAAATCCCTGCCGACACATAACACGCTGTTCTAGTTACATTAGGTGGAGACATTCCTGCACTAACGACTTGAGGATGGTGCGTTACTTACAGCATGTTGTAACGGCTCGAAGATTTTGGAATCCGGCTTTCGGCATAAGGTTATGAAATGGTGCTGTGCAGTATCTGTGTAGCTTTGTAGGGTGACCGCATACTCCAGTAGATTAAACGGCAAGAATAGCGAATCTGTGAGATCGCGGATCTGGGGGTAAATAATCACCAGAACTATTGTGGGCGGCTAGTAAATGACTATAACAAATAAAGAGCATCAGCGAAAGTTCTTCTCGGAAATACAGAACCGAACCGAAATGTTGTTCTTATTTATAACTGGCACAATCGTCTAGACAGAATATTAGTAATATAACGAAAAAATTGGGCCAATTCAGACCGTGATTGATGTTTGCCGTTTATATCGGTTACCAAACATTGTCTGCAGTCAGATAACGTCATTGTCAATGCTGGTACGCTTACCAATTCAGCCACAACCTTTCCTATAGCCATGTGATGACGAAAGTCAGCGTCCATTGACGAGTGAACCTAAAATCAAAGTTCAGCAAGCGCATACAGGTTTAATTTAGATTAATTAAGGTTATTAGATCCATGTATGTGTAATGACATTTTAACTTTTTGCTTTTTCCTAAGTAGGCCAGACTTAATAACGAATATTTATGTAATTAAAAAAAAGTTAGGTATTGAAGCCTGGGTTTATCGTTATTGAGTCGGTACCTTGGTAATACCACTTGCACGGTCAGTCAACTATTTTAAAGAGCATTTTCTAATTTTAAAAACAAAGCAGTTACAATAAATAAATGCATATGTAATGTTTCATGCCTTTTTTAATGAGTCGAATTGCGTCCGGAACCATGCGGGTTTAGGGTCCATGCGTCGAGTATGCAAGTACCCTTTATTGACGTAGGATACCTGAAGCAAGTCGCGTTTGGGGTGTGTTTATTAGTGCCTCAGACAGTTACTTGGAACATTGGCTTTTTCTCTAGGTAGTCGATAAATTTTAAGAAGCATTCTTGACAGTCCATTTTCTGCCGCTCCTTGCCTTTGCGCTATAATTAAAAAAGTGTCCGCCAGTTAAACTTTGATATTTTGAGTTATTTAACTATTCACTAAGTTTCGTACTTTTATAATTACCTGTATAACTGGGATTCCTGCCTGCGTGAGAAATGGAGCAAAGCCATCCGTGTGATCTAAGAGCCGAATCATTGGCCTGTACATAAACAACGCTGTAACAGTAATTAAACAGTAAAATTTGAAAATATATTAACTCATGTCGTCGGTGCTGCGTTAAACAGCATTATTATTTAAGTACAGTAAATCGCTTCAAATTGACGTGACCTATAATAACCATAAATCAGGGTCTGCAACTCTCTTTAATCGTTTACCTGAATGGAGATAGTTATTGAATAGGCCACGGGTACCATTGACGTCGAAACTATTAGGTTCGAGCAGGAAAGTGTTCATGGTACCAGTCGAATCGTTCCAACCAGAGAGATCCTGCGCAACCTTAAACCAAATTATAAAAGATACTTTACCCCGTGATGTGTACAGACGTCTGACACCGAACAGTACTGCACCCCACTTTCATTACTGAATCACAACGAACGATACCGACGATGAACTACCGACAATGAAGTCTTATTGGAAATCATGAAGTACCGTGCCTTAGTGACCATTATACCTTAAAAATGTCCTTTGCAGATTTGATCGGCTTTTGTTGCGGGAAGTTTTGTAACCATTCCCTGTAGAGCGTTGGTACACCCTCCCCATCCACACTGTTCCCGTTTGCGGATGCCACCTAATGCGCAAATTGTTGATGAATAACGGTGTAATAACAATAAAAACATGATTTCAACACGATACTATTTGTTACGTAGTATTTAGGTTTAAAATATATTCCTAAACACCTTTTTCTAATAACGGTTTCCGCTGAAAACGTTCTTAACACGCGAATAGACAAAGTCGATTCAATCTTTTTTCTTGTGGAAGAATAATCTTAGTTCTACTTAGCAAACTAAAGTACGACGATATAACGGGTTAGGCTTCATAGCCAACGATGCAGCTCAAATATGGTTTTTAATCCAGTAGTACATTAGTAATTTTGCTGCCGTTGTCGGATAACTTTGATCAGTAAATATAATCGGTGGACACTCACGAGCGACGAAGCGTTGAAGAGCGCTTGACTAAGAAGCGGCGAGCTGGTGGCTAGGATCGAAGTAGAGCCCATCACGGGGTTGGTGACGTCTATGTAGGCAACAGTGCGACCTCGCAACACGTTCAGTCTACTCGAACACGACGAAAATGGGTTAAGAACGTGGACAAGAACGTGAAAAAAAAGATGGATAAATCCAAACAAAACTCCTTTGTAGCGTTCTGAAAATACTGCTAGATGAAGCAACAAAAAAGACAGCCATACAGCTCAAAAAAGGCCCAGAGCAAACGCTATACAGTGGTCGCATTCAGATGTAGTAATTCTTAGTGTCCTCTTTATTTATCTAGAGCAGCAAAGAATCTGTTATTAATTGCGACGAATCGGCAGCACTTACTGATCTATTCAGAAGGCCTGGGAAAACAGGATAAGTTAAAATGACATTACTCGATAATATCGTTACAAATGCAAAACCATTGCTTTCTGGACCTTTCGCCCTCGATTTCGATTATTCTCCTTCGCAAATAGTTTCTTTGCGTTTATGGCACATTTGTGTATTAAAGTGTCGTACAGTTGAATATGGCCCTTGTCTAGCTGAAGTATAATCACTCGTTTTTTAAGATAGAACTAGCTTCAGATATATTACCTTCAGAATTACCTTCCGAATTCGTTAAGCATAGCTGTAGATACCTTGATTGTAGAAAATGGCTGAGCCCAGCAGAATTCATATGCTCGCCAGCGAAACTGATGAACACGATGGAACGTCGAGGTCGCCAGCCATCCTTTACTAATTGGCCAAAAACACGAGCCAGTTCCTACGTAAGCAAATATAACGAACGGCATACTAAATCTTCGTTCAAACAAAAGTGTTTTTGTCGTATTTGATGTACCGGATTCTACCATAGTTTGAACAGAGTTGACGATGCTTGTAACTAAGGCGCATATGCAACGAAAACCCAACACATACAAATCCAGGGGTCCAAAAAGACAGTACCGAAAGTAAAACTCAAGACATTCATTATATATTAATGTTCATGTAAGAATTTGCCTTCTTGTACAAAGGATTACAGATGGACAAATTACCGTTGCGAAGAACGGCCTGCCAAAGGATAAGCCCAAGCTCGTATTGCGCACTTTAAATACTAAAATATTTTTCCTGCTTAAAAAAGTGACTCGATAAAACTTGATTTTAACAGGGTATTATTTACCAGTAGAAGAGCAGTTCCACCAACGTTAGACGGACTCCAAGAATCCCGACCTGCTCCAACTATGATATAACGGTCCGGTTCGACGCGACCCTGAAGCACTCCAATGGCGTTGGTCAGGTTCGCTGACTTTACCTGATCAACCAGTAATAAAAAAATCATTGTATGGAATTATAGTGATGCCACTGCAATTTATGAAAGATAAACGATCGATAAATTATTAAATCACGAAAATAGACATGCGAATCTTCTTCATTCAATAAATACAGTATTCAATTTTAAAAACGAGTATTTACACATAAGCAAAACCTATAAACCTTGTTGTGCGTTGTGATTTTGATCGTAAAATTTCTCGAAGGTTCCGAAACGAAGAGGACATTTTTAAACCCACCGCGCATCCGCATGGGTAATTGAGTGCCGTTCGTATCTGCGTCGAGCTCCAGTAGAAGCTTGCTGGCCAGTTGCCCACTAATGACTTGAATAGGTAAATCTAAAACACGAACGGCAACTTCAGTTATGTGATCGATTCCAGGAAAGCGAATTGGTTACTGCGTCAGGTTATAAACTAGTCCACGAATTATTAATGATCGTGATTATTCCTATTATTATATGGTTTTCGCTCTACGTAACGTTAAGATGTCACGCAACAGAAGTCTTGCCGAAGAAATTCAGATGTGCAGCAAGGTTGGAATAATCCTCAGTAATAAATTCATGGTTATGAACATTTAGATTGTGTGGGCTACCTAAATACGGGGCGGAGACACGGGGCAAAGCAGATTCATTATAGTCGGTCGGATAATCTGTAGGATCCATATACAAAAGAACACCTGGGAAATAACACGGCAACAATTAGTTATGTAGATGCATTAGGCCGAACGCTTAAAACGAGTAAATGATCAGGAGAAAAGCTGAAAGAGAATTCACTGCTATATGACATGTGCGTCAAATGGCATTGGCGCAATATGGCGATTTATCGCCAGTAACAGCGGCTGATTAGATCCCATGTTTATAAATTACTTATCTTAGGCTAACGTTAAACGTATAATATTAAAGTCGGTAAATCAAAAATTGGTGATTGGAGGAATATCAGATAACCAAAAAAGGATTGTTGCGTTAAGAAAGGTTCTTCTTCTTACTGCAGTGCGTCGTTTCACTCACCTAGCGCTCCTAATGAAAAAGCATACTTGATTTGCTCACGTAACGGTATTACGCCATATCTGTAATGAAGAGTGAATCCTTTTCGTGAAAATTTATAACGAGTATGAGATACTTCAGTATTTTTGTTGCTTCAAGGCTATGTTAGATTCGTTGGTTTTGTAGTGAACAGAGCTCTGTAAGCTGGCCAGAGCAAGTTAGTTTTGTAGCATGTTCCACAATTATTGCTGCACAAATATGGACCTGTATGCTCAACATACAGATACTTTAAAAAAATTACTTCACTTATCTTACCTGGCCAGTGCAATGGTGCCGTTTACTGTTCCCAATTTGTGTAAATATGCGAAATCCTGTCTGTCCAATTTCGACACATACGTAAGTTTTCCTACAAACGAAAACAAATATCAAAATTGCTGTCTATTTCTAACAAATCCCTGTGATACCAGGAACTGCACTGCTGAATAGGCTGGTTGTAGTTTGCCTCAAACAAGAGATAAGAAGATAAGTAGAATACAAAATGCGCCTCTTCGCTAAAAATGCTTCTATACAGACTTTACTCACCTTCAATTGATTTGTTGACAGTGAAAGCTACGAATGAATACTCATCGGGTGATAACATCAACTTCGTTTGATCCTTAGTGCCATTTGTGTAGATAATCTGAACCCGAAAAGTAGAAAGTTTGCATCCCGTTATTAGGAAGTACAAAAGATGTTGCAAACGTTAATAAAAAATTTCGTTCTACTAATGTTTGTATCAACTGTTTATCAAATTAAATTAGCATTAATTTTCTGTCTTATGTGACGTATTTGCTGGTTCAGTTTTTCGCTGGTAAATATCCGCATTGGAATTCTGTTTTTGACACGGATCAGCTTCGCATGCGTTCAACGCTTGATAAATCACATTCACTACGTTTTGTTTGGTAATACATGTTATTAATTCCGGGTTGACATGTTTCATTATTTCTGTTTAAACCTATACGGATACTGGATTTCGAAAAAGTATTGAGCGTTTTTAGGTCAACACAGTAGCAAATATTTTTCATTTTTTACAATAATATTACAGAGCTAAAGGCACGCCGTTTTTATAGATAATCTTCTCTCGTTTTTACGATAACACCATAATCCTGTTATTACAAAATGTTTGCGATCTCTAAGCAAAAAAGCGTGTTAAATAATTTCTGCATTCCTTCATTGAAACTAAACTAACATCATTAAGGGAGTTCTGTAGAAACTGAAGCAGATGATAATTTAATGGTGCAAGATGAATTACATGGCAAAAAATGGCGCTTTCTCTGTTCACTATCTCCGGTCGATTTTTTCAGTGGATGAGGTCTTATTAAGTCTTGTTAGAGGTTGATAGTGGAAGTTGGAATCAATCGTTTTACCAGGTGACAGCAACTCATACAGAACGAATTCTTCACACAATACTGTCGCATATAGTCAGTTTTTAATCATCCGTGATTAACCGTTTAAAAAGGTTCGATTTTCATTACGTTTATGTAAGGTTTCGCAAATAGAAATGCGATCAACTAATTCTATAGCATCAATTCTGAAGCACATAAACATTGGTTTCTTTGTTACAGTCAGCTTTCTTAAAATTATTTAAAATTATTTCGTGATGGATGTTTAGCTTCTCGGCAACATCATGGCTACTCAGCTATTGGTCTCTCTCAGCGTTCGTAGTAGTTTCATCAGCTCCTTCCGTAATTGGTTGACAACTACGAACAGCACCTTTCACATCACACTTTGCATCCTCACCCTAAACAGCGCATATTCCTGCGGGCCTTGACAGTACTCGTGCCCTTTTCATTGTAATGTAATTGAAAAATAAAGGGACTTTTTGCCGAAATTTCACTTATACTCAAGGCACTCTATGACAAGTCTGAATACAGATATTCCAACAATTTTAGCACATCTTCTATTACCAAACTTCAGCTTTCGAATAACACCAAAACCGACCATGCGCAACTCATATGATCCAAAATATGTGAGCCTAAAACTGTCTAGGTAGAAAAACGGTAAATACTTTTCTACAACCCAATATTTACTAGTGCTTACTTCAATTGTGTTAGGCTGATCCCCCTGTTGAGCGACAGAGTCGGTGAATTCATCGAGGTCGATTTCGTCTAATTTCAACTTCCGCCACTCGCCTCGAATCATCTCCACTACCGCCGTATCCGTGAGATTGGCGCTAAGAAGACTGCCGAACGGTTTTGTACGTGAAGAGATTTGTAAAACACGTATAAGTACAGAATCACGTGTATAGAAATAGAGAGATCAAAAACAAACTAGACACTTGGGTATGAATAAAAACTAGCCTTTGCATGTAATGTTTCGTACTCGTATTTTCTTCCTATCCTGATAACGAAGAAGAATTGTATTAACGATTATCGACAACATGAATAGTTAGCTTTTCTAAAACAATGATACTTACTCAGCGTGGTGGGAAAACACCGTAGGGTCAAGATATTTAAGAATTTTCTCCTTAACGTCCTGGTCTGCATCATAAACCGAAAACAATGCTACAGATCGACCCCGATTACATGCCCCGTATTCCGTCTAAAATGTATCTTAGCAAGAAATCGAAGAACATGACATGACAGAACAAAAATTACGTAAAAAAATAATGAGTAGCTAGAACAAGTAACTCTTGTTCCTTAAACTCCTTTTCAAACCATTTTGAGGACCCACAAAATGTCCTTCGGAAGAGCATGTTATGTTGGCAGTTGGAGCTAATATTGGGGATATACTACATTATGCAAACATTGTTCAACAGCCCAATATATCTATAATATACCATTCGTTATTGGAGTGTATAGAAATTATAAAACGATAATTAAATTTTTCAATAATCTTATGTGTCGTCTATTTCAAAGTCAATTGCAGATAAACTTAATGATTACGATAATTTTCGGCATAACTTTGTACCTTCAATGAAAAGTACTTTATACACGAGACCCCATGTGCCGCAATCGTAATTTTTAATGGATTTTAGAAGGTATTCTAATCGCATTTCAGTTCGTTTTTCTAGTTCCGATGTTAGCTTAAACTATTATTCTATGGGCATACTGGTACAATTAGAAAAAGTCGGTTACGGCAACAATATGTATAAGAACTGTTGTCGTAGAAATACAAATACATATGGATTGATTGTCGTTTATCTGATCGTCATTCAGTCGCGTAAATTCGTTTACGCACATGTGCGAAGTAACCGGTGAGTAAACCGATCAAACCCGCAACGATGGCAATCGTACATCCGCCGAGTACTAGATGACGTTGAGTGACCACATGGTGAATATCATGAGTCGTTTTTTCGTAAATCTGGATACGCCCGCTGGGTCCATCGTCCACCCAAGCACGTTCCTGGAACAGTAAAGAGCAAAAAGTGTTGTTTAAAAAAGGACATACGTTTTTTTACGAACCTTAGTTTTTTTACTATAAATATAAAGTAATAATTTGTTTCCTGTGATTCCAATATTCCGAATACTGAATGTACTACGCGGGCTACTGATTTTACGGTGAGTTATTTACTATTTTGGTTCTCATTCATAACATTGAACACTGATCTATCAATAAATTATAGTGGAGTCTCTGGTCTGCAACATCCATTCGATTTTTGAGAAATCGAAATTACCGCTATCAATCTATCGGGATCAAACGCTAATGGTCTGTTTTTGTTTGTAACAAGAAACGAGCATTTTTCGGAACACAGATGCACAAACCCATAAAGTATCCATGTATAAAGTTATAACATACATATATTTATAGGATCCTCAAATTATCGTTTACCAAATTATTCAATGCTAAATAAGTTAACGATACAAAAAATTATAGCTTGAAGAAAAAATGGTCGGCATCCGATACTTACATGACTTAAACGGGTTAATCAGTATCGGAATTTAGTGCAATAAAGTATAATTGCTTCAAAATCTGAAATTTACTTTTTCATCTAATCAAATATGTACTTCTTCGCGGTACAACTTCTTTAAGGAATTATTTAGTTTGGCTATAGACTACGTATGGATGTTAGCAAAAGAATTTTGTGTACCACATTACCTGTACTTTTTTTATTTAATGCAAATAAAAAAATGTCTGTTTTTACTGTTTCAAAATAAAATGGTGGAGCAAAATTACGAAATAGCAATCCATTTTCTGTTGAATTTACTTGAATTACGGACCTCAAATCTCTAGTTCACCTTTTGTCTTCACCGACTTTCGTAAAACTTTGTCATTTAGGAATGTCTTTATGCTTTCAATATATGTGCTTGCAAAATATGTGAGACAATAAAGTTGTCATGGAGGGTCTTAGTAAGTGGGTAACTGCAAAGTTAGAACCTACAACAGATGAATACCGATTCAATTCACGGATAAGATGAACGCGTACGTGACGCGTAGACTCGCTAATAGGTCATATGGTGACTTGGAATCATCCGTTCTGTTGCTTTTGGTTAGAGCAATAAGTACCTACTACTCTGCTATGTAGGCGCGTTTGAAGGGACGTATATGAGACCCCTTCGGTTATCAATATCTTCGACGCAAATTCTAAATTCAATAGCAGTTACGAAGTATTATCGCTTGTGTTGAATATCTATTCAATTACGCTAACGTGTCATGGAGTTTACAGTGCGATTAAGGATCCAGTTACCCCCTTCGAATTCAAAATATGTGGTCACTTTTACTGAATTTGCACAAGCATCTCATATATCTTTCTATACTTTGTTAAATATCGAGCGCTACAAGGTGCTACAGAGCGGATTCTACGAATTATATTAATACTACCTGTATATAGATCGTCTACAGATTGTGTCAAACACATTAATAATCGATGGACTTTTACAATGAGCAAAGTATATGGCGGACACGATACAAACATCGCGAATAAAAACGAAACTATAGAAGACTACGTCATAATAAGCTTACGAAAATATCTGTACTAAAGCAGTGGTCAGAAACTGAAGCTAATCTACTCTAGTTAACCACAATTAGCGGTAAGTGAGATTGGTCAGGTAGTCGCTCGAAAATCGCTGAAGCGTGCCTTTCCATGCCAAGTAGTATACCTATTATGGAACCCGTTGCCCTCGTTTGGTCTTCAGCCACAAATAGTTAACTCGGGTGAAGAGATTCTTCGTTCCCTTTGTTGGTTCCTTCGAAATAAATCAATTGCCCGTACTTTACCGCACAGTCTACTCCCAGCACCCAGACTTAATAAATTTTTAGTTACATTTTTCTACGAGTAGCACGTGGCATGAAAATGTGTATAGGCTGAGATTTTGCAGAATAATAATGGGTCTAGCTGGGTAAATATCTATTAATAAATTCTTCGTAGCGCATATAAATCGAAGGTATCTCTAGACATATGTAATAAGTAAAGATTACAGTAGTTATCGATGAGTTATGCGTTCGATGAGTCACGAAGTAGAATGAAATGTTGCTTTGTAACTATTACTACCATTAATTATAAACTCCATGGCAGAAATGATTACGTACCTCTGGAGGGACGTCCTCCTCATCCCGATAAGGACGATATTGTGCAGACATATTTTAGGAGCAAGTTTCTTAACGATTATCCTTTTATCTATTGTGCTGGTTAATCTGTAATATTAAATATACTTATTTTTAATTAATGTGGTTAACCTATCTTACCAATAATTACTTTTTAGTCAATAAACCAGACATGATTAATGAGCACCACTATTATTAGATGTGGGGATCGTTAAGCTCGTCGTCTTTTTTAAACAATTTCGGATACCTAGAATTTTCATTCTTTTTTTGTCTCTGCAATTTACGACAGTGTCATCAATAGACTTTAAATTTGTGTTCGGACCTAAACTTTTGTGTTGGAAAAATTTGACACCAATAATGGAAATCTTTCCTACGTCCATTTTCGGCTATGTCACTGACGGCCTCGAACAACGTGGAAAAGTAAAAATATTTATTTAGGAAAATTAAAAATAAAAATAATAACGAATTGCAACAATAATAAAATACCTACAATCTTACCACAAGGTATTAAGTTATGATAATCTTAGGTAACTTATAAACGAACCTTACACAATTCACATTCAGGCGCAAGTAGCAATAATGAACAATACTCGACAGCATCCACTGCCGACGCATTTAAACTTATTAAGCCCAAACGCGCTCAATTTTTTTTTAACTGCTGACGTTGTCGGCATAAGTTTTAACTTCCTATCGTCATTCATTAAAGTATTATATTGTATTATTCAGGCCTGCATAGGCAGCTGAGACTGACTGCATCGACACCGAATTGCACAGATCCAAATTGGCCTCTTCACGTCACATTAAAGATAACCTTATTTTTCAGATGTGGCCATAATGCGGTCAACGTTAGTTCAGAACTTAATCAGGTGTAATCGTAAGTATGTTTACCAACAGTACGCACGAAACATCTCATATATTCGTAATCCCGTAACAATAAAAATGAATCCAGCCCCTGATTTTATCTAGTATTCTTGGCGACTAAATATCTTAAGTGAAAACTTGATCTGTCCTAAGCACGTCCTTCCTTCTACAAAACAACAGCGCCAGACTCGCCATGACTATAGCACGAACACAACTCGACCTATCGAAAGGATACCAAATTATCTGTTTAAGCATTTCATGGCTACCGTTTAACAGGACAAAAAAAATGCAAAAAACAACGCCCTAATCTTCCCTATTATCACGCGTTCCTCGTGTCGAGGAACTGACATTCACTGGAGAGCGTAGCGTTCTCCATGCATAACAGGCTATGTGTATCCTGCTGAATCTACCCTTAATTCTTTAATCACTGATGTTCAATCATAAGGTTAAATTAACCTATGTTATGCATACAGACCATGTAATCGTACGTTCAGGCTATCCCTCTTTTTATTTGAAATAATCTTTTTTTTATAGTTGTGGGCATGATTTGCTCAGCGTCGTTTCATAAATTAATCGGATTCAGTCGTAAGTACGTTTCCATCAGTCATATTCCGCCATAACCGAACAACGATAATAATAATAATAATCGCTTATGCCCGCTAATACTTTCCACGTCGAAACGCTGCCAAAATTTGTTTCAAGCATGACTCTATTATTTTCATTATGTGACTATTTGCTACCCTACACTTTTTAAATGGTTGATCCATTTAGCGAAATGAAGCGTTTGAATTTGTTTTTGCGTTGCGCCCCGCTCAGAAAGCAACACGTCAGAATACCTCATAAGTTACCCATCTGGGTGTTTCAGAATGGCCCATTACCTGGCGGCAGTCAGCGCTTAATTCCTAATGTTCCGCATTAAGAGCTGCAATTGACTTTTACATAAATATAGCTGGGTGTCAGCTCACGCCCTGTGCCGTCCTCCCCACAGTCACGTATATCTGACTACAAAGCGTACATATCCCTCCAGTATCATAACAACGTGTTGGCTACCGTTACTATTTCGGTACCTGCTCACCATCGATGTCAGGCATCCATTAATGATAAGTAAAAGACCGGACTGCTCAACAGCTACTGCCTGTGCCCCTCTCGTCTTCGGTTGCGACGAAGGGGCACCACGACGTACCCGATACTAATCAGTGCCAACTGCAAGCAACACCAGCAATAATAAGCAGTTTCCGCCGAGAGTGGTATACTGCTTTTCGATGTAGTGAACGATTTATCGCTCACTCGCGCAGATTAACTCCATTAGTATCAGTCCTTGTAACGATCCCTGCTCTGATTACAGTGGACGCCGTCGGTAGCGCTGTCCAGGTTTTCTCCCGTTGTTGTTGTTGTTGCTGCTGCTATCACTGCTGCTGCTGCTGCTATTGTTGTTGTCGCTGCTATTTTTTTGTCGTTTGTGTTGCGGGTGACGTCCGGTTTGCGTTAGCATGCGAAGTGAACCAGGAGCGCTTTCGATGAAGCGGATGATTAGTACCCGTCGTCTAGATTACGGGTGCGTTATCACAGTTATCACAATAGAATCACAGGCAAATGAAACGAAAAAGCGCTTTTTTGAATAAAAAATTGAAGGGGCGAAGGCAAGAGAAACAGATACTAACGACGGAGTAACAGTACGTAGAGTTTACTAGAGACAGTAATGATGCCTCGTTGTCTATTGGTAAGCCGCCGCCACCGCCGTTGTTGCAATTGACGGGCGTTGTCAGTCAACGCAAAGGCCATAAATAGGTAATAACAACGACAATACAATAGTTAGAAGATACAGAGGCAAAGCGATGACGTACACCGCACACACACATAGACACACACAGCCGCCGAGTCCACGTCGTTTGGTCGAGATCGTTTGACAGGTATTATCTCTTGCAGTCACTTTCGATCAGATTTGTGACTTTTTACCCTCACTTTCTTCGTGGTGGGGGAAATGAGCTGTCGATCATGTCCCTCCTAGAGAATTTGTCGCAGTCGGCCAATGACTACGAAAGCAGGTATACGCTGCCCTTTAAAAGAGCATGCATTGATGTCAGTGGATTACAAAATACCGGACAGGTAAGCGACAGACAGGAAGCTCGGTCTTGCCTGCGAGGAAAATAACAGCTGACAACGGCGTAGTCATCACAACGTGAGCATACTATTGGCACGATTTGGTGAGGCGCCTGTCGCTGCCCTGTTACCACGTATGGCTGCTGCCTACTCCAGCAACTACTAGTCCGCCTTGTAATAACTGTCGATCGTTGCTTGTGTGTTGTGCTGTATCAAGTTGCAGCTCAACACAGCCAGAGACACGCACGGCCACGACGACGGTCTCAGGTCGATAGAGAACCGAGAAAGTGGCGGGGGAGCAACTCAATACTAACAACGCCTACGTAAAATAACTATCAGATCCAGCGAACAGCAAAACAGTGTGCTATAAAATCAGGTCCTACACACCGTGACTTTGGCGAGTTGATAGGGCCTACTACAGCTGCTACTGCTCCGACCGTGGAGGCTCCAGGATTGTCGATTGGCGCGGCGGTAGCTCCATTCGACGCATAGGCTCCTGCTAAGAGAGGCGGCGGCCACTGCTGCAAATACGAAGACGCGGGCAGCGGGAAATAGCCGATGCTGGTGCTCGGCCGCTCGGTGCATTAGCAGAGGCCCTCAGTGAGCGGGCGGGCGGACCGGCCAGCGCAGAAAAGCAGCAGTGCTCATTTGACAACACGCAGACTATCCCGTACCTTGCATATATGACTGGTAAATTCCAACCCTTTTAGAATAACTTCGAAAACATGCTTTTATTGAAGGCACGGGACATGCTGAAAAGAAATATAACTGAGATATAAAGAACTGCTGTGAGATCGATTAAACAAAAAAGTAAAACCAAGAATAGGTAAAGAATGAGCTCTAACGTGACGATCTGTAGAACCCTGTTAGTTGATAGCTTTCTATCCTACCGCATATATAAGTTGTGCGAAGTACGACAAAGTGATTCTAAATTAGAAATACTGCGTTAAAAGGATGGCACAAGCGCAGCTATTTGCCATGAAATGGGCAGGGTGAGTGGTAGCGCAAAAATTCAAAAGTTGTTATCGGAACACACGTGGAACGTGTTTGTTCTTCGAAATCACCTCAATGACTGATGTAGGATAGATTCCTGGAGGCTTGAAAATATTCGCGAACATCGCTATTTTGGAGTTTTTCTTCTTTTTCTCTAATTTCTCTAATCTCCATTGTACAGTTTTATTTCTGCTATGTATATAAAAATAAGACATCGAAAATTACGTTCTTCGACATTGTTACCATAGTTATGAGTATAAACAGTAGAATGTTATAATAGTTATCAACGCCGAAATTCCGTCACTTATTCAGAGGCTTTTATGCGGTATATGTACGATTTTGATGGGATATATGCGAATCAAAAATTTTAAACAAATTCTAAAAGTTTTGGCAGTAAGTTGCGTATAGCTATTTAAAAACAATTATGTACATGTATGTACATTTTTAATACTCTACGCAGCCATATACGTCATTCATTAACAATGGTGCTTATTTTAGCGCTGTCATACATTGACAATGGCAAGAAGCGCCATTCCTATACGAGATCATTTCAGGATGACCCGGATGGCGTTTTAAAGATCTGTACAGTGGCCCACGGCTCTGAATGGATGTGAAACGAAATGTGGAAAGTCTTACGAGCGAGGGGAAGGGTAGTGCAAGTCAGGTCAGCAAAGATCGCCGTTAGAGAATAGCTGAGAGGATGCTCAGCTATTTCAAAATGGCCGCGCCCACTGAGTTGGCTAGATGACAGCTTTGCGTAAGAGGAATGATGGCAGTGGACACCGGCATACTCATATGAACAGCAACAATAGAAATGTGTTCTGTTAGTTGCTCCATCCAGCCGAGTTGACTGTGTTTTCCTCTCGGCGTAGCCCAGTAAGCTACAGACCACTGTATAATAACTATTTGCGGTGTCTGTGAGTAGCACTACTTATTACATCGGTATATAAGTACACCAATTTAGCTCTCCTCGCACTGCAGAAAAAAATTACGGAAACATAAGAGATAATACAGAAGTTAAGTGGAATTTCCGCACGCACTTGAGATAAGGAGGAAGCGACCGCAAGTTATTCTCACCGTAAAAGGCATTGCTAGCTTATGTTTTGTCATATCTCGTTGTCCTTACGCACTACAATTGCATCTCGTAACCCTGTACATACGAATGGGTAGTTTAACAATAACAGCGTCGATTAATGACGTCAAGTGCTAGAACCTGCCGAATCGTTGAAGCTGCCGCGGTCTTCGGCTAATTGAGTCGAAAAAGAGAAAGCCACACCGTATCCTGGCAGGCCTACTGATTGAGGAAACCTTCCTTGAGCTCAGGGGAACTGAAAACAAAAACAAGCTCGCTCGATCGACATTGACCGTTATTAAGGAAAGAAAGGCATCGCCTTTGCTTAGACCTGTGGATCGAAGCAGATGAGGCCAGTAACAGTGCAGGCTGACGAAGTAGTAATGGCGCGCATCAGGGGCACGTTGAACTGACAGGCTGATCGCTGTCTGTTGGCTGTTCGTTCGTCAACGTCGACAGAAAGCGTAGCGCTTACTGATTCGACAAAAGCTCACTCGAATCATAAAAGAGAAGTGGGCAAAGAGGCAACGCTCGCATACTCGAGACAAGAAAAAGAAAAAAAGAGTGGTAAGCTTGCAAACGAATTCCAGTGCTCATTGGTAATGCTTTGTGACCGAGACGATGCTTCTTTGAAGTAGTGAGTGTACGGTGGTACGCCTTGGTGTTGAAGCGATATATTTTAAATACAGAAGGAACGGCAGGCGCTTCCCGCTTGTTATTGTCTCTACGGTTAACTTTGCAGCGAATAAGAAATGGTCTTATATCATGACTTGTCGTTGGTGCTTAGTGCCTCGTCCAGTTCTAAGGCGTAGTCTATTAAGCTAACTATTAGGGCCGCCAACTGTTGCTAGCAAGTGCTGTCATGGTCGCTAGTAATAATAATAGTTATCGTACTTACTGTTGTAATTTCGTTAGTACCAATAAAGAGACCATAAAAGCTGTTTTTAGTAATCGCCGAGTTGCTAAATCTGCCATACGCGAAAAAATTAGTGGTTATTGATCAAACGCGTATTTACGTGAAGCTTGCAGTGTAGAAAGCACCACACAAAGCTGACTGTGCTCTGTAAATGAATAGAAACAAGACATGCTAGTGCCAATCAACCGTGTGATGACCATCTGACGTAAAGGATCTGTTCCGTACTGATTTGTTTTTACAACCTAGTTCAACAGAGTTTTAGTGGCAGCAGGACAACAAATTAAAGTATGTGTCCATATGATTGATTTAAACAGAAGTAGAAAACACGAGGTTCTCGTAACGGACCCATTATTTTCTATGAGAATGAAAGAAATAGTCTATCTTTATCTCTATAAGCGCTATATACCCCTGCCAAATTACACCCCGATGGAGTTTATAAGTCATTACATATGTGGGTGTGTAGAATGTGTTCTGTCTTTGACTAATTATTTATTCTTCATTTAGGTAGAAGGCAGTAGATATTCAGGACGAATTTTCAACACCACTAATTGAGTTACATTCTGCGTTTATATAAGAAACGTGACGCACAGCTAAAAGTTTTAGCCGGTAATGTGAGTAAATGACTCCGGTAAATAGAACTGTTCACATATACAGAGTCTATTATATTATTATTACACCAATACAACTATGTTCATTTCTCTATATCTCACTTCTGTATTTAGCTAGAATTAAGTTAACTCGCAATTTGATCAGCCTTATTGTTGACAGTGAGAAAGGTCTCTGAGGTAAACGTAGCACTGAAGCATAGAATTGCTTCTGGAAATTGAGAAATAAATTTATTATAAATATTGTTATTTTAGAAAAACGAAGTCTTCGTTACTTGCGTAGCAGCAGGTAATGATACATTGCTACAGGGGTTACGCATGATTTACAAACGGTTGCTTTTAACACGCGAACATTGCCGGGGAATAATATTTTCAAGATACCGTTTTCTCACTAATTATTTTATGGTTGTTCTTGTGGCCATTGTTATACCTAGAAAATATAGCGATATATATATATACACTAGTGAATGAAAACACGGTAATATCAACAGAAGCCGGTGACTATAGCTGTTCTGTAAACAATTCACCTGTTACATTATACATAATTAGCAAGCGGAAAAAAATAGCGATATTCGAGTCGTTTAGAAAATGCATTCACTGTTCACTATTATCATGTAGAAATCCTAGCTTTAAACTATGAAAAAGATATTAAAAATACCTGGCCTAATGCATCTATACACGCAAGTACGGTAAGTTGGTAGACATTGAAATGATTAGGTTTCTAGTGTGAAATCTGTTCGGTACACCCAAATTTTTAATATTCTATTGTTCTTGCGATGTTACTATTAATCTAAAGGATTGTTATAGGTGTAATAGGATCAAAAAAAGATTAACGAGTTGTTAGACTAGTAAGAAAAACTACTCGCCAGTGGTTTTATAAGGAATCACGACTGAAAATTCGATCTATAAGGCGAACATTAATGCCGGGCAGTCCGATACAGTCACAGGCATTGTCCTCGAGTGCTCTCACCAGAATTTTATTACCTGAATACCAATATTATTATAGGTTTGTGCCAAGCCACGCTCGCATTTCTCACTTTGCATGGTAATAATAATGATAGTGAGAAACACTGTGTGTTTGACACATGACATTCGTACACCTACGACTTCGTATAAGGTCAGCCGAGCAGCTATAACCGATATGCATCTTCCTTCGTGGCTAAGTAGGTTTCAAAACGATTTCAGATGACGCGCGGGGTAAATTAATCGAATGTGCTTGACCTCATCATACAGTCCATTATTACACTGAGAAAAGTTGCTGAAAGATGATTATCGGTGCACGGGTATGCTGAGGATGCTCCAATGAAGATTATACATATATATATATATATATATATTTCGGTTGAAATAGAATCAGCACTCAAGACAAGCTTACAGTCTTTAGCCTAATGACGTCGCCGGCTCACGCCACAAATGACTCGGGTTGCTGTAGTATACGATCTTCGAAGTTTTTTGCGTCGTCGAGTGTACCTTGTGATCTCGGAACGCTGAAGTATTTTCGTTTGTGTCTCAAATAGGCAAAGCTGTTCTTGACTTAGGACCTATGCGAGTTTGAACCATTGGGTATAGATACCCATTAGTGAAAGCTATAGTTCTGAGAAACAAGTAGCGCTATAAATATAATGTTATAATATTTAAAATTTCTATATGAATTTAATATTTTCTTTTGATTTTTCTCTTAAGAGCTAACTGAACTGCTAAAACAGCATTCTGCCGCAACAGGTCTGGTTCGTCGATGTTAATAGATCGAGTTGGTTTATTTGTTAGCGCACCCCTATTACAACATTATCTACCATACAAATTTTCTGCAAACGGCTAAAGCCTCCCAAGACCAATGCTCGCTGCTTATTGTGACTTAAAAGTATACATGTGCTAAGGTTATTTTTATTGCATTTGTATTTTTTAAATTTGCTTACGGGAACGGAGCTTACTGAACTACCCTAGTAAACTTGAACAGGGTTCTTACCTTGCTGCCAAGCTTCAACGGTAGACTGCTTAGGGGTGCGTAACCGCTTAACTGCTTAAGTGCTCAAATTTAGGCTAAGAAAAGTTTTGGTGTTTTACATCCGGTACGTACGCCATTCGGAATTACAAAAGACAACTCGCTCCCAGCATGACTCGAAGTGTGTCTACGTCTGGATTCGAGCCTAAAGTACCACGTGTGCCTAGGCTTAACAAGCAAAGGAATTACTACTGCATTATCATGGAGACAACTCAAATCTGGATTGGTCATATGAGGCGGGCTTAACATGCCTTTTAGAAATTAAGAATAATTCGTAGATAATAACGAAGACCGTTGTCAATCTTGAGCATCAACCACCGATATGTGTGACAATATATGTATGGTTGACTATGTTTTTCATGGATTTAATATAAACAACTTTAAGGAAAAAGTCCATCATCAAAGAATTATATTTTTTATTTATTTAAATTGCTTACCAAACCTCCGATATGAAGTTTACTGATTGAGGAGGCCGTCTGATAGTCAAGGTACAAAGGGCTAGCCAATATGTGAGTATTCACTGCAGTCTGAGAAGCAAAAATAATTAACGAACATATATTTCCGATGTCTTCATGTTGTTGCCAACGATTGAAGCTACATCCACAGTGGTTGATGGTAACAATTATGTACAATAAGTGATAACAATTAAACAAAAAATAGTATTCATTTTTATATAAATTGTATTCGGTTCCTCAGGTCATTTCTCACAATCACGGGTCGCAAGCTGTCCTAGATGTCATGATAAAACACTGCTCTAAATGTCAATTTCCCAGCGGCGAAGTTCGGGATGGTTGTGTCTATATTAGGTCACCAGAGCGAAAGAAAGCAGAATATTAAGACGAGATAAAATTAAGGCATGTATAATTGAGTTTGATTATTGGTAATCCTAAAGCAAGCCTTGTTGTATAAAACGTGCTTTATAAAACGTTATTTCTACTTGCAAGCAGTTACGTTAATAATATATTATAAATATACTATAAATAATAATAATATATTCCCGGCTCTTACAGTATTTTAACCTGAAACAGTTGGGAAAATCGCTAATATTCGGTTTAGGTTATTTGTTTATTATTTTGTTTCTTGAAAATGCACATCTCACGTTTTTTTTTGCTAGGTATACAGGTACTACGTTTAAGGAGGCTATACGCAATACTGAGCCTTCGAAGAAAAATATCTATATCCATGAAAAATCAGAAGCCATTAATCATATCCAGTGATTTTACAAGAGCTAAAATGAAAACACCCATGCCATATTACAGGACTGTAACACGTTAGCTATAGCCATCCAAATGTATAAAATCAGTGTAATGATTTGTTTATTATATAAGTAAAGCCTACCTGCATGCTCTGATGTTTGTCGATTTTCTTTGTCGATTTTGTGTCATTTGTCCTAACAGGAAGCAGCCAGTAAGTGCGACTTATATTTGAAACACTTTTTAGGATGAAGATCTACGTCAAACAGTTAGTGGCATTGGCAGTGTCAAAGGCCCCCCCAGACCGCGCCGGTTGGCTGCTAAAGCGTGGCGAAGTCAACAAGAACTTCCAAAAGAGGTAACTTTGGAAGTTTAATCCCATCACAAATGATAGCCAGCGCCCTTTAGCCATTCGTTGAATTTACCTTATTAGTGATTTTGGAAAAACTGTGTCACTCCTATGTTCTGTTAATGAGTCTACCTTAAATCGAATTAGAGGAGTAATTAATACAATTGAATGGGTGTTCTGGGTTTTGAAAGCTTTCAATCAAAACTGCCTGTCGTCATAGTTGCTATAATCGAATCGGTATAGTGAGCACGGTGATAACCCACGTCAGCGTCAGAAGAGGTGCTTTATAAATTACTACAAGCGATAGGAAGTCTACTAATTGTGTTAAATATACTTAGTTATTTCATTAATTTCAGTCGTAGCATATAATGGACTTTGAGCCCACTTTTAACGATATGTTAGTACGTAATGAAACGAGAAACTCGGGAGGATAGCTACAACATGGAAAATACCCGTAATAAATGCCCTTGGCTATTTCCGTAACCCTATATTTCTATTGTTTACTAAGAAAACAGTGTAATGTATTTGGTGCCCCTATATTCCGACTCCTTCCCGTTTTATCAACAGCTAGCGACAATGAGCTGCTTTACTTAACTATTATTCGAGGGCATCATGCAAGACAATCTTCTCGCAATTAAATGGCGCTCATGTCAGGAACTGTAGGCGATTTTATTTGTGCTACGTGGAGATTTGAGCCACAAGTGCTCCTTTAGTTTTTCGATTGATCTGAGTATGTAATCAACAATTCTTATGCAAATGGCAATTTTTTGTAGTAAACCTAATTTACATTAATATTTTGGGAATTCGTCTATTAACATTGCAATATGAGCATTTTTAAACCAATTGTACTTACGCCCAAGTGATTGTTACGCTAAATACGGCACTATCGGGCGTGATGAAATTCCTTGGGTGGCATTAAAACATAGATTATGTTAAAACCAACCTGCATAGCTTCTCTGTGTCTTTGTAACAAATACCATTAAAACCTGCAGTTATACAGAAAATTGCAAAGATACCGTTTTGTTGCTTAATAGTAAGTATCCTCGATGGAAGAGAAAATCTGTGTGGTTCGTGTCCATTTAAAAATATTCGTCTTACTCTTATATAAGGAATTTACTAGTTGAGGACTAACTTCACCTATATATGACAGTCTAAGTCTGGTATCGTGTCTGAATTTGACTCAATTCGGGACAAATTTAGTTACTGACGTGTAATAAGTGCTCCCGTAATAATGTAGCTTAGGTGAAGAGGTAACACCGTGTGAATTTGCCTTTTCAGATGGTTTGTGCTACGAGGAAATTTGTTGTTTTACTTTGAGCGACCAGAACGGGAACCTGTCGGTCTGATTGTGTTAGAAGGTTGTTCAATAGAACTAGCCGAGTGCTCTGAAACCGAAAGGTAAGTATGGATTTTTCTAATGGTTTTTAGTTTACGATTGCCATATTTTATACCACTTATCTATGAGCGTGCAGTGCACACCAGAAACGCGATGAAGGAAAACGTTGAGCTAACCGGCCGAGTTCTTTATTCCGTATTACAGATATGCTTTTTTGATTATCTTTCATGGGCAAGGCGTGCGAACATACACACTGGCAGCAGATTCTCAGGTGCACATCTTTTACACGTTAATGATTTATTGAGATGGCCATTTAAGTCAGTTGGGATGATCTAGTTCGCGCTTTGATCACCAAACGAAGATCAAATATAAATAATTCTTCCAACTTTGAACTAGAGTACAGGTTTAGCTAGAAAATTACTTAAAAGTCGGCCGTAATATCCGCGATTTTCATTATCATATCAAAACGAAATGTTAATGTGTCCGATTTTACAGGAAGATATGGAGGGATGGATGAAAGCGTTATCTTGCGCCAACTATGATTTTCTGCGCAACACAGTGGCCGAACTGCAAAGGTTTGCACAGCATTTGAGTGGGATGATAAACGACATTTTGCGCTAAGCGGTCGTTTTGATTTTTTAAAATAATTTTAGAATAGATATTAAGGTGAACAAGTATTTGAATGTAAAAATAAGTGCTTATTTATGTGTGCTTCATCTATATTTTTTAGGCAAATCGATGAGATCCGCTCCTCCTCAACGCAGCCTGAACAATCAGGAGCGGTGACTTCATCACATTCGCCCTTGGGACCGGCGCTCGAGAAGTCGCTTAGTAAGTCGATTACCGTATCCTCGGCGCCTACAGTGGTAAGATACTAGATGTTAGGATGGTGCGACGTAGCGATGTTTGCCAGCGATTTTTTAAAAATTTAGTTACAGTCTGCTCATCGGTATGCGGGAGCGATGCATCGTTCCATAAAGACAGTCGACGCACATAGTTAGTTTTTTTTAAATAAGAACACCGCTAATTAGGCGTTCACTATCATTTCCTTTTTTGATACCAAAATTATGCAAACAAATCAGTTATACGTGCTCTCGCTCAACAGCTCGATATCAAACCTAGCGCTCCGTTACGCAAAAAAAATTCAGCCTCAAAACAATCACAGCCGCCGGCTGTGATCGAATTCAACCCGTTTAACTACGAGTCAGCTACGGCCACTCAGCAGGCGACGAGAACACCCGTAACATTCAGTGAACTGCACGCGAGATACGCCAATCAAATCCAACAGGTAGGGCACATAATTTTCTGGTATGTTTTTGTCGTTACCAATTTGTTATCCAGGTACTGAATAACCTGCACGAATTTCTTTCCCCCACTTCCACAGTTTATGAGATCCATGCGAGTATTCTTCTTATATGTAGAAGCTTGCTTTTATTTTAAAACGACGTGCAGTATCTAACGACGAATCGTAAGCGGTTTCAAAATGAGGAAAGGTCATCTCTGTCACTAACAAACAAGTCTATTCTAGTAGACAACAAGCACGCGAAGTACGTCTATGAAGGTGGAGCATATTGAGGATTGTCTTTTATATTTCAGGTTCTAAGCTGTCGACTCATCCAGTTGTGATGGCAGGCTGTTTGCGAACTCGAGCTATGCAGGCGTGCCTGTGCACAAATATTTAGAACAAACAATTTTCGGCGGGAGATCCTAATCTACTACTCCGTTTTAGCAGTACGACCACCTGCGGTTAGTGTTTTTAATCTAAGCAGCGGAGTCGCTTTGGCGGACGGTGCAGATCTGAAATGTCTGGGAAGTTTGCAAACTTCGCCGAAACGCATTCGTAAGAAAAAACGCTATTGGTTATAAAAGGTATCAATGATATTATAAATAAGAGTACTCATCGTTTTATCCATGTCTACAACTAGTGTTACTCCCACTACACACAAACACAGTAAATTTTTGCATACCCTACTTGATTTTGTCGTGTTTTTATCGCTTTATTTGGTTTAATCAAATATATCCTCAAATAATTCTTGCTACGTATAAGGTACTTATAAATCCGCCCTGGTATAAAGGTTTCTCTGAATTACCTCGGTATAATTTTTTAAACTTCTGCGAAATAGCTGCGAATAGTATACGTTTTAGAACTCTGAAGTGAGTTCATAATGATATCACGGCTTAACTGTCTATCATTATGTGACGATCGTTTCGCGATACGCTGTTCTGGCTTCATTCAAAGCGCCGTTGATCTCGATCTCGATTCAATAATGTACGTCAGAGGCAGCAGTAAAGGTTGAAGATAACAATATAAAAAAAAAGTAGATTGTGGATCGCTGTCCGAACGCGAGAATCAAAGCGACGTGTAAATAGATTAAAAATAGGTAATATCGCATAAACCAGATTGAGCATATACTGCGTTGACCAGCAACTTTAGCAACGACAAATACCACTAATCATCTTATTGTTAATTGTATGCTCGTATTGCAATATAATAAAAAAATAAAAACAAAAACTGCGATTGCCAAAACCAGTAATCTGGAAAGATGCATAACCCTCACATGATGCACTTTTTCAGTCGGGTTCGATTCTAATATTCTCTTCTGTTTCGAGATAGAAATGACATTGAGGTACACACGACAACATAATCCGCGTTGCCAGTTGCGATAACATCGTTCTATATATGTACATACAGATCTAAAAATAACCAATAAATTGATACAACGACATGAGCAATATACAAAGTATAGGATCCTGCTTAAATCGCGTCTCACGTGTTTAAAGTAACTCGTTTAACCAGGAAGTCACCAGCTAGGGAAGTTTTGCGCGATATAGCAAAAGGCACAGCTGGGTACTTTTTCATGAAGCGAAAGCCTGCGATGTGTACGATCAAATAAGGTTAATGGTGTTTTTAGTCATAATGTAACGCTACGTGGGACTCAACGGCGTGGAGACATACAGATGGCTATATTTTAACTGGAGCTTAACCGTGTGGTTGAGGTAATGACTTCAGCCGAAGCTTAAGGAGTGCACGGAAAAATGTCGCTTCAGTATATTTCTCATTTTTGCTTGTTTATTAGAGTCACGGGTGTCGAAGAACTGAAACATTACTATAGGATAAATCAGCTAGAGGAAAATGAATGTTCGATACCGGATGCAATACCATTAACTACCTGAGACATTAATGAATGTACAAAATAAACACCTTCTAGTCTTTAACGTTACCTTTAGTACTACTATGTAAATACGAAAAAATAAAGTATTAATGTCCAATTTAAGTGAGTTTTTTCTCGATAATTGAAATATTTTAGTATAATTTTAAGTTAACACGTTTCTTTCGCGGCATTGTGAAAATAAGTAGGCGGGATACCGTCAGCACAGAAACATAGTGCTCCGCTAGAAATATAGAAATGAAATGTTTGCTTCTCTTCACAATGTGTTCAAATTTAATGAGATAAAGATATATAATTTTTTTAAATTTAAACGCCCGCTTTTACGTCAAATTACGTCAAAACTATAAGCTAGATCGCAACAGAGAAATGTTTTAATAGCAACTTACTCGACTCTAGAACAATAGAGCATTGCCATCTTACGCCCGTGTGGAAAACTTCTAAGCGAGATACCCAGAGTTCCTCTTAGGTTCTTTGGTACATTATAAATTGTAAGAAACGAAAATGTACGACGAAGTTATGAATACATGTAAATTATAACAATTAATCGACTAGTTCCATTTATTAAATATAAGCCTAGATGAACAGCCGTAGAAGTCGCCAACGCTTCGTAGACGAGGCGTACCTATTTGCACGAATATTTTAACTGTGAAAAACGATTTCTCATAACTAATTTTTAATTTAATGAGCTGACCTTCTCCGTTCTTTCGAGACGACCTTGCATTTCTCTGTTTTAGAAGGTTCCACTGCATCGAAACACGATAAGATACTTCATTTTTCGTTTTCAACAACCGTAGATCGAGACCGACCAACACCGCAACTCTAAAATGCCCTATCTACTTGCACGAATGCTGAAAATCCATTTCCATTTCCAACCGCTTAGCAGCGCTCAGAAGTCTGAGTTCACTCAGGTACGGCCCTATTAGTTGGAGGCCTACAAAAAATGCACAAAAGATAATTTCATGTTGGAATGAGTCGAACTAAAACTTAAAACACTGCAGTCGGGTTTAGCGCTCACAAGCTTAATTTCGTAATTCTTCAATATCTGCGACACAATTGTACGGCCACAGTATAGAATTCCTGTATAGATAAAGAACGGCACGGAAGCGCTAAATGCATTGTGTATTACTTGCTTTATTTTTCTTTGGGATACTATTCCTAGCAATTTATTGTAGAGGCTCTTACTTTACACTTGTAACATTCTATACAATCGAAGTATCTGACAGAGCAGAGACTACAGTAACGTAATCCAGTGTCTGCTATTAGATTGCGAAGGATTTTTTTCTAACAAGAATTTAGTAAAGAATCACACTAATTGGTCGTATACACGTACCCAATGGTAGTCCCTTACGGGACAGCCGACAAGGCAAGCTAAGAGCTGGAAGACCGGCAAGATTAGCCGGCTGCGTGCAGTAATCCTCTAAAACTGTTCGGGTCCGATTGTCTTTTTTTACCTGTACGGTTATCACAAATGATCACATCCGCATTAACGGTTGCACAATGAACCGCTTACATTATACACTTAAGCTTGTGTAGAGGTGCCTTGGATTAAGGCTACCTATATAAAAGAAGGATCGGTTAAAAAGAACACCATAACTTTCAATTAACAAAAAAATATCGCAATTTACAGCTATGAATAGAAGTTACAGTTCAGGTATAGTGCACCTAACCCCCCATCGTTTCAGAAATCATCTATTTGATATGACGCAGGTTTTATATCAGTTTTATTAAAAAAAATAATAAGTCTGCCGCATTTCAAGAAACAGATGTAGAAATTTTTGGAACAAACGCTTACCCATTCCGAGTAGAGGACAGCCTCAGTAAGAGTAACTGGGGCAAGCAATAGGTCGACCTGCTCGAATACGCGTGTAAAATCGTCTTTTATTAATCTCCGTAGCCGCATCGCTTGTCGGAAATACTTGTCATAATTTTCTCGGAGGAGAAAATAGTTCCCGCATAAGATCCGGCCACGTACTGTCTCGCTAAATCCTAATCGACGGCATGCCAACAGAAAGAGCAATATTACATCGAAATCATCACGTTTGGAAAACTTCTTGCCTAAAGCATAAAATACCTACAATAATGAGTTTGAAACTAAAAATAGAGAGAACTGTAGTTGTCCGCAGCTAATAATGAGAATATACGGTACAGAATATTGTTTTACCAAAGTTCTCCACGTACCTTCGGAACGTGTATCTGCGAAAAGACTTTCGATAGACGACATATTGTCCGCACGGCACCCGTATTCGAGACCATCGTAGCATGCCAGATTCGAGGCTACATCGCAACAGTTGATCACGGAGTAACACTGGAGAGAATATTGCGTGTGGGGAAGACTTACGGGAACTACCTGTGTGTGTTACATTTAGAATAAACGAACAACCGCCTAAGTAGCATACTACGAATAGTACTAACTAAATGTATTAAAGGCTAGTTTAATAATGTATACTGTATGATAGCAGAAATTTTATAGAAAAGTAGATTATTTTAAAAGGCGTAACTTTCCTCGAGTTGCCTGACTGCCACGAAAACTGTGTCATATTATTAGATAGAATTTTATGAAGAATCATACATCTGTTGAATTCAAAAGAGTTATAATACATAACTCTTTCGAATCGAATTATATTATACTTATATTACCCATATGTACTTATATGCGTACTTATAAGTACATCATTTAATGGAATGTGTTACTCCTTGATATCTCAGAGACTGACAATGATTGCTGCTCACTAGCTTGATACATATACCTATACCTTTGCCCCCTGCTTAGCCATCAGGTCAGCTACGTCTCGCCAAAGATTGACCACCTCATCTTGCATTCCCGGGCAGAAGTATTCCTGCGGTATCCCAACCTGTGAAAATGAAAATAATAAAGTAACGATTTACTTTATTAACAAATTTGCAAGAGCGCATTAAGTTATATATGCTCAACTAAATCTAAACTGCGGACTTTTTGGTTTCGAGTCCTCGAGCGACCGCTTAATCCCGCGGAGCTAAAAGCAACAATTCGGTTTTTCTTATGCATTTTGTCATAAATGTACGTCTAATACATATAAAAAATAACAACACATTTTTGGATAGAAAGTTGTATCCAAACGAAAATAAAAACTATTTAGCTTCTAGTTGACGCCTAACAATTTCTGTCAGCGTTTGTCTTCCGAGTTTAGGATACGGCCCATTACTTGGATTATGGTAAGTTGCTCAAGTATAGACTGTTAAATTGCCTAGCGTCACCTCTGCAGATCTCAAGGGATGCTTCTCTTGAGTAAACCATATTGGTCAAACATTTATGTTATGCTAAAGCATTACATTACCAGTACAAATACGTTACTACCACAACTCATTAAGTAAATTATAAGTCACACTAAAAATTATAACGCTTCTCCAATACCACTTAATGTAACGGTACATAATGTTGTAGGTCACCGAGAAATGAAATTAACGGTTATTTGCAACATCAGTAATATCTCATCCGATACCTACTTTGAGTCCGTTCCATGTTGGTGTAGAATCCAGTTGCAAATCCTTAGCAGCGAAATATTTGCTTGTGTCGATCGTGGTAGGATCACGACTATCTTTGCCGACGCAGATAAAAAAAAACGTGGCTAGATCATCAATCCTCAATGCTATGAGGCCCGGCGAATCGAGCGAATGTGTCAGCGGGATGAGCCCGTGTCGAGATAGGGCGCCATAACTTGGTTTCAACGCTGGTACTCCACAGCGCACGCTTGGATTTCGCACTGAACCACCGGTGTCCGAACCGACAGCGCCAAAACACGTCCCAGAAGCAACGGCGACAGCGGAACCCCCACTCGAACCGCCAGTGATGTAGAAATCCCCCTCAAGAGCGTCGTTTGCGCTTTCATATCTGGTCCGTACGAACGTATGAGATCATACTATTAATTGTTAGTTTTCACTTGTATCAGAGATCATTATTGGACAGATACTGGCCAACAGTTCACACGGACAATAAAGCATATATCGAAAGACTATGATGCACAGTATTTCGACAAATGCCTATAGGGGTTCAGTAAATCATTAATACACGCCTTACTAATAAAGCTTAAAGCTGATTTTCTTTGTTGTACAAGACTAGCTTGTCATCTATGTTCAATTTTTGCGAAATGAGATAGTGCAATCGCAGCATTTACCTCCAGGGGTTTTTGCTAGGGCCAAACATACTGTCAGTGGCTCCGGCTCCCATGGCAAATTCGTCTAAATTTGTTTTTCCAACGATGATCGCACCAGCCTGTTCTAGTCTTTCCACAACAGTGGCTGTGTACCTATTAGAGTAATATGACATGATAAAGATAAAAATTATAATTATACTAACATGGTTTTTGCTAGTTACATAATTCGGAAAAAGATCGTGATCCACGCTAGATAAAAGATGCTTTCAAATCATATTTTAACTAAAATATCCAATCCATTGTAAAGAAACTATATCTTAAGGACACGTGCTGGTTTAGGTTCGAATCCGGGAGAAGACATATTTCGTTTCGTACAAGAAACCGATCGTCTAATGGAAAGCCCAACTGCGGTGGCAAACATAAAACTCGAACCAGCCTTCGGTACAACGTAAAACCCAAACAAAGAGCCCGCTTCACTCTGGTCAATGTCAGACAAACTCACTGTGGTACAAATTGGTGAAGCATCGACGAGGCACACGTAGTCCGCGTCCCAGCTGTACAGAAATTGTCCTTAACAGCAACTGTCACGCCGTCAAGAGGTAACATCTTTCCGGCCTCGCATCTGTAGGCAAGATTGGTGTGGAAGCAAGACCAAAGAATAAACTATGAATAAAACTAACTAGGAGCTGCCGCTACCTTAATTTTGCATGCGTTCGTACACGTAAGGTATCCAAAATTTAACGCTATCCTCAATAACATAGCACAGACCTCCTCAAAAAATCCATTAGATAAGCGGCATAGAAAAATATACTTATTATTAATCTATTGAAATGCACCGGTGGTCAACAATTTCTATGAATGTGTAGTATTGGTTACATTAGACAAAAATAGCCCTAAAAGTTAGCTCGGAAAAGGAATAAGTATTGAAATACCTTAGGGAAACGCTATTATCGACACTTAAAATTATTGTATTATTATTTTAGTTTAATGTCCCATTTCTGAGAATTGCAAAAACTATAATAAGTTATCCCGAATGTCAAATATTTGAAGGACTGGGGTAAAAAAAATATTTTATTGCTCAAAGCTCAGGTTTTCGGGCCAACGCTACATTGAATCAATAGCTGGGAATTATAGCAGAGGATTCATAGTTATAAGTTTGACTTTGTACACAGCGTGTCGCTGTTGATTTGGATATTTATGCAAAATCTACTCAAAAATAACGCCGCTTACCGTTTGTCGCCTTGTCCAGCCCGGACACGAGCATACTCTTCTGTGACAGTAATATACGCATTGAGGTCTCGTGTTGTTTTGATGCGCCGTAGCGAAGCAGAACATACCTACGGAAGCAAAGCAGCATACCCCGAATTTCAGTTGTAGTCAATGCTAATATACTAATGCATGTCAGTATGACGAGGAGGACGGTAGACTTTAGTACATCTACCGCAGAGATAAGTGACCTTAACATAACTTATTTCATCTTCTTCTCACGTATACGTACTGTTCAGTGTTTACTTTATTAATAAAGGTTATTTTATTGGCATTAATAGTTTGCATGAATGGTATGCTTGATTTATAGGACAAAAGTGTAACTGAATCAAGAAAAATATTAAATTATTTGAACTTCTTTTCGCATTTTTTGCTAATAATCAGCAAAAAAAGTAGACTAAAATAGGAACTAACGTAACAAAAGCTACAGAATACAGACGAAATGAAAGTTTCACGGTGGATTCACTATGAGGCTGTTATTGTGTCATAACTACGAAAAAAAGCGAAAAATCTCGAAGATCTTCAAGAATACAAAGTTTTAAAAAGAAACTGCGAAATAGTTTTGTACTAATTAATGACATGGAATAGATCTCGAAAAAAAAAGAAGGAAAAGCTAATGTTGGAATCCTGAAAACGGTAGCACTTTCTAGCTAACACTCTTTGGGTTTGTATTTTCGCACTTGTTTTCCGTTCTTACACTCTTTGCAAAATAATTTCGATTTATATCGGAATTTAGTAAATAATTAGTTTGTATATTGAACTCAGAACAAACCTCAGATGGAAGCAGCGCTTTGGAAAGTAACCCTCGGCTAATCCCACCGATGCCGTCAATAAGCATGATCGTAATCGAGTGGCTCGATTCCTTGGCTAGGACATTATTCAGATAGATGATCGTTTTGGCAGCAAAGCTTTACACTCACTCGTAAAAACACTAGAATTAAGCAACGGAAATCACTAAATTTCGACACTTCAGTCCTTTCCTGGAGATCAAGCCAAAAAAGTGCACAATTCTAGAAAAGCATAGAATTTTTATTAATAAGACATGTTTAACGATATGTTTCTAGTTGGGCACTGAACCAGGCAAACACTGAATCGGTTTTTTTTTCAGATTTCATTATAAACAATCGGAACAATAAATCCATACAGCTCTTAACTTGTACAACACGACTCTATTGAGTCGTGTTAAAACTTATTGATTGACCCTTAACTGTCAGATAAAAGCGGCAAGATTTATAAGTCCTTATTAGAAAGTAAGGTGAGAGCGCAACGAGTCCACTTAGTAATTTTCCACCTTCTACACCTGCCTAAGTGCTACAGCTATGTGGAAGTTCTTATAAACTTCAGAAGGTTTCTTGTAACACGCTTTCATGCGTTGCGCAGTACTCGAAACATGCTCAATAAGCCACTATGGAAGTGCTACTTCGTTCGATCAGATATCATGTTGAAGATTGATATATACACTAGATTAACATAAGGTACAAGCGGATCTTTCAAAATACTTTGAAAGAATAATATGAATTTAGGCCGAGACCGCGCATTACCTGACATACTTGCTGTACTTTGAATATGTCACAGCTTAGTCAAAAATAGTAGAAACACTTGCATGGAGCAGAATCTAAATAAATTCGTCGACAGTAGTTAATAGTACGAGGTACAGTGTTAAACTCCGGCCAGAGGGATTCAACCTACAGAAGCTTGTCAGTCTAGCGGGTCAGCTGACTTCTTCCGCAGTTCACGCTTCCTCAGCTGGTCTCCAAATTACCACTGAGCTAAGTCAGTAAACACTGCTTATTCTTCCTAGAAAAAACATTTTGAGTAGTGGCGGGCTTTCCACACTTATCTATCGGCAAGGTTGTAATAAAAAACATTTACCTAAATGAGTTTTTCTTTAAAAAACTGCGGGGAAATTATTTAAATAAAAATGAGCATAACAAGTTCATAGGCGACACTACATCGGATCACCGTACTATTTGTGCCTTATACCTTTCTGTTAGAAAATATATATAATATGTAGAGATTAGTTCATTAAGTTAGTAAAACGGGATATTTAACAATGAAGTGTTGAATGCTGTGCAACTTGCGCGAACAAAGTAGGTTATTATATTTACCAACAATTATTATAGATAGAGATTTTTTATTTCTAGAAGCACTCGATTGTAGGGTTACTTCTAAATGTATTTTCAAGGCGGTAACGACTACTCTACCAATGACCCTTAGACTAAGAGGTAAGAGATACATGAGAGACGTACTAAAAAGCATATTGTTAAGTTCGATTGAGTTAACTATTACCATCTGAGCAGCCATTCCGACACTGTAAAGGTGTTTCACTTTTGTTTCTTTTTCCCTTTCACACTGATTTGGGAGACACATTTTTTGCAACTGTTTTCTGCGTAGTATTTATACGCATACTAGCCAAATTAGACATATATATTTTATGAAGCAGACAAATGTAGCGTTGGTATCAGCCGCGAGGAGAGCGCTCTTTGCTTATATTCATATATATTTCTTGATATTTTACATTGTATACTTTGTGGAATAAACAGCTGACACGCTTGAGCTTATGATCTTTAATTAGCGAGATACTTTACTTACATTTTCCCACTGCTTAACAGTGAAGAGTCGCCTAATGAACAGCGAAGCCACCAGTTACATAGACAAGCCTCCAATGCATACGGAGGAGTACACGCAGACGAAGCACAAGGTGGCAAATTAAAGAGACAAATTAGAGAAGTAGTGTTTCGAAGATGGGCTTATTACAGTTAACTTGAGTTCTTTTTGGCAACGTGATTTCTGCAATGGCATGAATACGTAATTATCGATTTCCAAAGCGGACTGGAGAACATTTTTTTGGCCCCCTATTCGCCGTATTTCTGTTGTCGTTGTGCATCCAGTGTAATAATAAGTGCCTTAGCGTCCCTGTTCGAGGGCGCATAAAGAAAAAAAGCTATGCGCTGTCTGTTTTCCGTGAACGCTGCACTTTCTGTCACTTTCTATCCTTTTATCTATTTCTCCGCGGTTTCTTTATTTCTTCCACGCCTCCTATTCTCAGAGCAGTGGCAGTTAAGAATTTGTTCTCGTCGCTGTTTTTGCCGCTACATTCAGCGGTGGCAGCTGAGAGGTAGTCTGCTATTGCCCCTGGATTCTGTGTTTACGAGTGAAAGAGGAAGAAAGTATTTTCTGTTATGACTCTTAGGCTGACTGTGCGGCAGGAGCTGCTCGTATCTCAGCAGCCCCCGCTGATACTGATGCTTCTGCTGCCGTCTGCACTCTTGGCGCGCTAGTGGCCATCTCCCTTCTCCATACGTCTACCGGATCCATGTGTGGTGGCAAACTGCCGCCGCTCTGGTGCGTTACAATTAGTGCCACTGCTGCAGCTGTGAGTTAAGCGATTTGTGGACAGGCAACGGCCATTGCTAGCAGCGGGTATCATCAGACTTGCTTTTACGAGCTTGCATTGAGAGAGACAACAGAACATAATACATTTTATTAGAATGTATAAACATATCGGCTGGAACGAGCATCCATTTCGCGCTCGCAAATGTACACATTGACATCATCTGCATAATCAAAGACACATAGGGAGGCAGATAGAGCGCTGTCGCTTCTGTTTTACCCTCTCGTGTAAATTTAACGGGAGAGTGACGAAAAGGACCGGCCGCTTTAGCAGCCGCCGCTGCCACCGCCGCAACAGCAGCAGCAGCAGCAATGATAGAGGACAACGAAGTGAACCCGACGACGACGACGACAACGACGACGACGATGACGACGACGACGACGACGACGACGAAGAAGAAGAAGAAGAAGAAGAAGAAGAAGAAGAAGAAGAAGAAGAAGAAGAAGAAGAAGAGGAAACCAAACTAACTCTCTATGCTGCTGCTCCTGCGACGATTCAGCGGCCGTCGCTTTTATCATGCCGGCACCGCCTATGCTGAAACCTCTGCTGGTTCTGCTGTGATTCCCTCGCAACTACTGGCGCCTACAGCACATACAGTACGAGAGAGGGGTCGCCTATGGCAGTAATGGTAGATAATTTTTGCTGCTGCCGCTGCCGCCGCTCTACCTCTACGACGGCTGCTGCTGGTTGTTGTTGTTATTATTTTTGAGAAGAAGGAGTTCGTTGTTGGTTTCGAGGCGGTAGCATTAACAGCAGCAGGTTGTGCCGCTGTTGCTCGTTCACTGGCTGCTACCGTTTGAGCTGTAGCAGGTTGGTACCTCGGTCGTTCGGGTGGCTGGTCGTTAGTCAGTCGGTTGTGGACATTTGTCGTTGCCCCATCGTCTGCTCCTCTCCCCCGTCGCCCCACCCCGTCTTGCCCCTCCCGAGCCGCCGTGCATGTGAGCTGCGCACAGCAGCACTTAGACGTTCACTACTCTAACAGCAATGCTACTACTAGTAGTAGTCCATACGACAGGGGGTGGTATCATGAGTCCGTGAGTGGCAGTGGTAATCTGCGTTCGGATCTGTGACTGCCGTCGTGATGCTGGCGGAGTTGACAAGGACTAATCAGACAACCCAGCCAACTAACTAAAGGAGCCATCCTTCGAGCTTGGCCGCTTGTCTGTCCTGTCACTAGTCCATTGTGTATCTGCCTCGTACTACTGACTTTTGCTGGTGGAACGCGTTGGAAACGTGCTTCGGTACTGGAGTGAGCGCTGGCGATCTGTGCCCCTTTAAAGGTGTGAGCATTGTTATGGTACGCAGCGATGCAGTAGGGTGGTGTGCTCCTCAGATTTGGCAGTAACACAACGAATTTCGGGTTGTTCGTTTGCCGTTAATCCTCCCCTGTTCTGTGGCCGATCGGTTCGTTATTGCGACGCGAAATTTTCTATGGAAACGAACACGGCAACGAGGAAGGTCCACTCTTGATCTTCTCGTATCGACGACAGATCGCTGCTGGCGTGGATGCAACTGTAACAGCAATTGTACATTGTTCATAGAATTCGACGCGACGATTTTAACACTCTTGCTAGAGTTCGGCATTTTCTGCCGTTATCGAAATCTATTGTGCGGATAGACAGATTCTTACTGTGATTCAAGTCATCGAGATAGGCGGTACTGTGACCTACTTTGGCTCACTAATGTACCGTCATCATATTGTTACAACGGTACTATTATTTCTTGCGTGTAGTTCGATATATTAATCGTCGCAGTAATCATATCAGTGTGACTTGCGTTCTTCGCCGCTTGAAGAAGTGCCTGCTCCATGTACATTTACGTGGTACGACCGCTAGAATTTCCGTCGTATCTGTTCATCGCCCAGCTTCTTTGTTTGTTTGTATGTCTCGTATAATGGGTCTGTTTCAACTCCGTGTTCCAAGTCGTCTATGTGACACTCTACGAAAGTCTGAGTCCAGAGTTTGCTGATGGCTGGTAACGAGTGTGGCCGAAGAGCTCTGCAAAAGACTCTACCAGAATGAAAGGAGCTGTGAGGAGAAAACTGCACAAATCCGACGAGCCTTGTGTGTATTAGCCCCTGGTACTCCGGGGGTGCTGAGTAAAACCGGTCACGCTAACAGCGAGCGTTCCTGCCTCATGCTTCGCATGCCAGTTCGATCGCCCTGTAAAGATTTAGACAAGGTTCAGCGTGAGCAGGTCAACGGAGAGAGTGAACCAAAGGTAAAACTAGACGGCTACTGACGTGCCAAGCGAGCGCTGTACGACTGAACAGACAATTGCGGCACCAGCGAGAGAGGTGAAACGGAGTCTGTGTGCGTACGAGAGAGAACGGGGAACAACTCACAGGTGATTGCCTAAGCCGGTGCAAACTACCGCTGGATTTCTCAGTTGCTAACTGCAACAAAGGCGTTTGCCTACCTCTAAACGAACAACAACTACATAGTAACCAGCGAGGCTCATGTAGGATTGCGTTGGCACGCCACGAATCGCGCTGCGGCTGTCACATTAACGTTAATGTGTACAGCCGCTTCCTTGGTCTATCGGTCTTTGCGTCGTCATCCAACGTCGTTAGTGCAGAGCGTCCTTCGTCTGTCTGGGAGTGCGTGTCACTCCTCTGTTCAGCAGTACAGTTGCCGTCATTGACGGCAGTTGAGAACAGAGTTCGATTCAACTTTAGGCTCCGATCTCGGCAGCTTTCTTTGCGTTACGACGGCTAGTCGCTGCTCATGTCGGATTAGAAGTGCAGAGTTGGCCTTTAATCGATGACGTGTTTCTGGCTGAGTGAGCACCTCAGACCACTAATACAGCTGTTGTAGCCACTGCAGTTAGAGGCGCGAACCTATCGTGTAGCCAGACGCAGTGTCGTCCTTTATCGAGCGTTTCAGGATTCGACGGCGGAGAGGCGAGCAAGCAGGTGAACGTGGAATAGAGGATAACAGAGTGGACGTATCTATAGAGCAGAATCGTAGAGGCGGAAAATACGGCAACGAAACCCAACCCGTAACGACTGCGGGCTGTGGGCGCGTGACGGCTGTGGTGGGTCACAGGGTCGCTACCATTGCTGTAGATATATAGGCAAGTAGAGACGACTGTCAACTTGCACTTGTAGCAACTAGCGACTTCTACTGCAGCTGTTTTAACTGTTATAATTAGAGAAGCAGCAGGTGGCGGCAGTACTGGTGGATGTTGTCGTTTACCGAATGGTGCTATTGTTTGGCTAGCAAATTAAGCTTAAACAGTGGCTTGTGAGGTTTGTAGCTCTTACAGGTGCCCGTGCAGGACAAGGCTGTGGGTTGCATTTCCAGTTGGCGCCACTCCGTACTCTGCTTGTTTCTATTGCAGGAGCAGTCACTATTGAAGTATCGACGGCGCGGTTAGCCGTGCTCTGTTACCGTTGTATCGGTTTACGTCGCTTGATCCGTGATGGCTACGGTACTATGGTAGCACCACTACGACTAACCGGCGTTGGCGAGTCCATTGTGAGGTAGCGGGGGTGCACGGAACAAGAGGGAAAGAGATCGACAGACAAGCGAAGCAAAGCAACTATTGCTAAATGCATTATAACCGTGACCAACAAAACGTGAACAGGTATACATATATTCACGTAGAGAGAGAGGGCCACAAGTACCAATTCAACTGAGAAAGATAAGAGCTAGCGGCGAAAAAGTCGATGGCCTGCGGCACAACAAAACTGTGGAAAATATTGAGTTGAAGCAAATCGCTGAACTAGAACCAGAAGTGGCGTAATACTGGTTTGAATTCTATCGCCCCCAGTGCAACAAAGCCGGTTAAGAAATAATACGCCTATTACTGGTGCTTTTTTGGGGCTGCTTTGTTGACGAACGGGTTGTGCGTGCGCACGTGCGTGATCACAGGAATAACAACCGTAAGCAACGTGAGTGGCCGGCTTGAGTCCCTCGATCTTTATGCCGGGAAGTTAGATAAAAGCACTTGTGGAATTATAGATTACAGGATAATAACTTCATGGAAACTTGTGAGCCTGGGGACGTGCGAAAAGTAAAAATCGACCGTACAGACGGAAGAGATCAGTGCTGAATTTGTGACGATTGCTTGAGTGACGACAAACGAAATTATCCCACCATTTAGAGCTCTCTGGCGATTGTTCTCTTGGACATTTTTCGTACCCATCAGGTCACACGATCGCTATTCCTATTCATTGTGGACTCTACGTTGCTATCCTTCGATTATAAGTGCGTGCCGTCAACGTGAAGAACAACAGTAACAATGAGCGAAATCGAAGTGGTTCGGTGCCAGGCTTTCGAGGTCGGGCCCCGATACAGAGAGCTAATCTATATTGGTGAAGGCGCCTATGGCATGGTCGTGTAAGTATCCATCAAACATTCGCTTATCCCCCAACGTACCGTGGTAAATGTTAGCTTATGATTCATGAATTATATTTTAGACGAGTGCATACGCAAGCACACGTTACACAATTTAATATTGCTATATCATCCAATTCGGCATGAATCATGTATAACGTGAACGCTGCGAATTCTACTTTTAGAAATATCTTGCTATTTCAGTATCATTCGCATATGCGACTATAGTGTCTCGCATCATATAAACGATTGTCGAGTTAATTATGTTAGAAACTGGACTACTTTTGTCCTGTGAGGGTAGCAGAAGCTGTAAGATCAGCTAGCTATACAATTTAGGTGCATAAAAAGTCATGATAAGGAGCTATTGTAAGAAGAACAAAGCGGCTCTTCTGCATATTTCAGAATATCACCTAAATCCTTTCACCCATTTCTATTATGATCAAATATTTTTGGTAGAGTGCTGTTTTTTTATTTGTGTTGACGAACATGAGACATATAAGAAGGCTTCTACTTGGCACTACCGCATGCATGTCCGTATTAAGCACTATTCCATCATTGAGACTGGTGTATTGAAACCTAGCACAAATTACAGGTCGGTGTTGGCGAAGGCTCACGTATAATAAATTGGTTAATTTAGTTTTATTGGATTACAAGAAGGGGAAATGGATTTGCAAAGGAAACAGTCTCGCATAAAAACGCAAGTTGTAAATGACTTATTTACACAGTCGTCCGTTATAAGAATATGGCATCAAATATGAGGTATGAAGAAACGTTAAAGGAGCGATTTCTAAGCGCTCCAGGCTTCATATTTGAGTATGGAAAATTTTTTGTTGAGACTAACAAACGTCGTATTCTGCAGGTTACTGGACAGTATATAAAAGCTAAATATCTAGATATTTAGCTAATTCATAATATGATGTATCTAAAACTTTTTCACATCGTGAGGACTATTTATGTCTAGATGAATGTTTTTATTTTGCTGTGTACAATGATTGTATAAACTGCATAAAATGTCGGACTAAACCTGTACGGACCAGATGTAGTTCACTACTGCTATCGCCGGCTAAATATTAAAATAATAGATCATTGGTAGTATTGCTATATATAACGTTATGGCTATTCTCTTATCATGAAGTATCTATTAGGTTAATAACGGCCGTCATCTCACCACAGCCAGTTAGAAAGTTATGGGCCTGACACCTCTATGATTTATTAACGCGTTCATGATCAACATTATTTTGTTTATGATGTAACACTATCTCTCAATATATTTGGCTGCCGCTAGACATTTCGATGGGAAAAATGTTAAGCAGTGAAGTTACGCCATGTGGCCCATCGGCAAGGATTTCTGCTTATAAATAATTATATGTGTATATATATAAAGGAAGAAAGAAAGATACATATATTCACAGTGCTGCTTTTGCTAAATCGATTTACGTTTCTACATGTAGTTTCCGTAAGGGACGAGTAGCTAAATTAGAATTTTTTACGGTTAGACCCTTATTGTAAGCACAGCGAATGTACTGACATATTCAGTTTTGAATTGCGTGCTTCTATCAACACTACACCCGTTATATTGAATAGCGACAGTACATGTCACGTTACTGGTGTCTAAAGGCTTGGTTCCGTCTCTAAAAATAAATCTGCTCGCAAACGTATTTTCATATCGTATCGTATGTCTTATATTCTGAGCATTTACCATCATTTAACTAATGCTATATTCTGTGCGTTGTTAAAATAATAGGATACGTGGCAATGTCGTTTACCCAATTTATTTGCTTTCTGATCTTTAACAAGCGATCTGGCTCAATAATAAAACCAATGGCGAACTGCTTCTGTTTTTATCAGGGTCCTAGATACACCTTGTTTTGATCACAATCTCCAACGGCCATTTGTTTGCTTCTCGGTCTGATTCCATAAACTTCCTCTTTGCGGGGAGCGCAGCGCGGTTGTTCTGTGGCTCCGCATGAAACGTTTCGTAAAACGTTGTCGACAGCGATAATTTTAAGGGTAAAGTTCTATGATTGTTGATTGCTAGATGGAAATGTAGGTGTTTGACCTAAGAGGGATTTGTCTAAATAACAATTTAAGGATCGCACTAGTTGCTTTTATGTTTGCCTTTATGTTTATGTATGTCAAATAGTATAGCCCGATGATGGACTTTATTGCCGTACTGTTAAGATACGCTAAGATTTGACACCTTCAAAGAGCTTCGCAGCGGACCACTGCATTGGGAGACGCACATAAACGTTGTTATTGAGACGTCAAAGTGATTTCCTTCCGAGTTCTGCTTTCAGATACATGCACATATTGTTCTTTGAACTTTACAGAAGCGTGCTCTACTCCAAATGTGTGATGAAGTCTAATTTTGTTAACACATAGTATATTTGCGCCTTCTTCGAAATGATGTGTACCACTTGCCTTGGGGTCGCAGGCCTCTAGACTACTACAATGCGATAGAGTTTCTTGAACATGCGTTAAAAAAAACTTTTATATTACGGTCCATTCCGAAACTTTTGTTCTTAAAAGGCGGTAATCTGCGCATAGAAACGAACATTTATCTGCCAGTAAAAGTAAATGTCTCATGTAGAACGCCTTTTGTTAAACTCGTACTTTCATAGAACATCTGTAAATAGCACTAAGTTGATACTCAAGGATGTTACTTCGACCATGCGCGAGTTTCTTTTGCGTGCAATACATGACCGGCTATGGTTTTTGTTGTCGCTACAAAAACAAAGCACCATTTTCTCCAAACTGTGATTTGTGTAATTGAAATGTGTTTGAAAAAACGTGATTGAAGGATTATGTGTAAAGTACGGAAATTGTGAAATTCATGGCCATATTTGCCAGCAAGAGCCACTTTTCTACATGTATTAGCTAAGTGGTTATGATTAAATGAAGAATTCTTTTGATGCATTTTTTTGTTAATCAGTAAATTCCGAATTGACTGCTGGTTGCGTAGGCAGGCTAGTATAAAAAATAAAATATAAGAAGGGTTAGTAAAAAAGTCTTACAGTAAGAACAGCGATATATATATTAGAAAGTTTTTTAGTAATAGAAATATATAATATATATATAATAGAATTTTAATATATATAATAATATAATAATAATATATATAATAGAATTTTATTGACTACGCTGTATAAGAAATACCTGCCAAGGCAATGTAGGACGAAGTCGCAGAAGGGGTGAAGTGAATATGCAATGACTTCCTCCAAAACTATATTTATACAAATTTTATAGATTTACAGCGCATGTAAATGCTCAATACAAAAGGTTAGAATCATCTTTTAAGTTCAAGGGTTGTATATAGAGGAATTATATTGTGCAACATTTTTTAATATATTATCTCTATGCGCACAGGTGTAATCTTTATGTTTTACTTTTGGGTCTGATATTCCTTTGGCTAGATAAAAAAAACCACAATCTAAACAACCACGCTCCGTTTATGATTAGTCGAAGTCCAACTTTATCTATAGTATTTTGAGTTTGGTTATCGATTCGAATTCACAGGATGGAATGAACGAAATACAGAGACGAATACAAGTATTTACATCAAACAGCTTTACCCTGAACTGTCCTTTACAGCTCGAGATTTCAACAGTAGAAATTTCGTAATGACATTTTAAACTCTGCTCAAAACTCATAGATTGTAAGATTGTTATTAACTAACTATACAAAATTTTTTTTCGAAACATACGTCCAAACAACTATGTTGTTTGCTGTGTTGTATCCTGTGCACTATATAATGTAGGACCTCTGCACTTTGATGTGACCTCGTTATGCCTTTATTATTGGAGTTGCCTCTACATCGACTTTTGCGGTATGAATCAATGAGAGCCCATAACATAGTATAGGCCGCGAATCGTTTTGTCTCTTAAAAAACCTGCTTCAATTTGACCGTAAATTTTAGTAGAAGCAAGGGCGAAATGAGATCACATTCTTATGTTAAGCAGACTATTTACCTTTTAATAACAGCTATTTATCTTAATTTAATCAAGAATTTTGTCTTCGTTGCTTTCGCATTTGTTTCTGTTCGAGATAAATAGGTACACCATTTGACTGTTTACTGAATCGAACATACATTTATCCCCTGTTGTCGTTGCTACGAAAAAGAGCGTTCTTTCCAGAGCAAAACCACGAACCCATCATGACGGAGCCAAGGAGTTCGCCTTGGAATATGAGCGACGGTTAGCTATTGTTTGATGTTTTCACGCTAAACTAGCTGCTAATGAGCTCATTAGCTTTCTTGGCTATTTGAAATCGACGGTTTACCACATCATGATTTAATACATGGTTGTTAGAGAGTCTGAACAAGGCTAATATTCGCCAGAACAGGAAAGAGACGTCTGGAAATTTGCTTTAGACCACGCAATTACTTGAAAATGTGCAATGACTTATTTCTGTCAACTCTGGTCGTTCGATGTGAGCCCTGGTGGCTAAATTTCACGCAACGATGAATGTAGTATTCAAACCATTTATTAAGACTTCGGATGCAAGTGTTGGTCATTAAAGTCAGGCAGAGGCTCTCTGGGTATAATAACCAAGAAACCTTATCGGAGGCTTTTTTTGATCGTATTTAGCCGACTTAGTTACCTAGATTTGAAGACATTGGCAATGCATACAGGATATAACTGAGACAGAGTTTCTAAAATCCTGCCATAACAGCGTTACTTCGCTCACTGTTTATTCAAAACTAGAGACCAGCATACTTAAATATGTACATGCAAGCGATAGGCCTCGAATTGGAAAAAAAACTCGTAAACACGCGACATGATTGTTGTCGTTATTTACTTTCCGTAACGTCAGGTTTATATTATACGATAGACCCACGTTATGCCATTAGCAGCTGTCGTCCTGAATCTTTACTAGTGTGAACAGGTCTTAACGTTACATGTGAAACGTTACGTTGTAACCCAATCTCGTTTAGTATACCTCCGTTTGCCATCCTTTGTTGACGTTCTCTATTCAACCCTTTCCTTAACCACTTCACGCTCGACAACAAGTTTCAGGCTTTTTTTGCTGTTAAGCTTGTAGGATAAGTTCCCTACCATTTCGTTGCTTGATCGGGCTTTTACGGTAACCCAGTTCATTAGGAGGACAATCTTTATACTGCCGATATATTTAAAATCATGTAAGTATTTGTGTCTTTACCATGATGTGAGATGTGTGGGCAGATTAAATGAACGCGCTGGTCAATATTCCTTAGCGTGAGTAGAATATACTAACACCCTTGCACGTAAATGGGACCACGTAAATTGTCTCATAATATGTGCAAGGAATTGTAACTCCAAAAACTAACTCGTATTTTTTCTACGTTTAAATAACATACATTTTTAAATCAAAATATTCGTTGTGCATTTTCATGAATCACGCTATCAGTCCAACCTGTCTTTAAGAAGAGCCTAACCTCCCTGGTAGTAGGCTTCACTGATATGTGACCATTAGCTTTAAATATACGCTAGATACATTGTTTGAGTAGCGTAAAGACTGGCGTGTCGCTGATCATGATCGAATGCATATTCGAGACACCAAATGTGAGGAAGGAAAAATAAGTAGCCTAAAATGTTTTTTTGCGAAAACGCATGTTGATTTCTATCTAACGAACTAAACTGACTTTTTAACAGTATCGTCTTCGTGTTTTTTTAACTTTTTAAGTAATATTCAATCGAAAATTTCAACGTTACAAAGCTTTCTAACTTAAATTATTTTCAGGTACCTAGGTAGGAACAGATTGGAATAATAGCACACTAATGATTATTTACAGACGATTCAGATCAGCTAATTACGAGGAAGACACACGAATAGCCTCAAAAATGCATTGCTATAATGAAGAAGATTTGAATCATATTTTGCGCCAATGATATACCCAAATACCTTGCTAAATTCCTCACGGTGCAAATAATTTTGTCATTTATTATTATTATCTATTGCAGATCGGCGATGGATACAGTCACAAATGAAAAAGTGGCCATTAAGAAGATTTCCCCATTTGAACATCAAACGTACTGCCAACGTACGCTACGTGAAATCAAGATCTTAACGAGGTTTAAGCATGAAAACATCATCGACATTCGCGACATTATCCGAGCACCTTCCATAGATTCAATGAAGGATGTCTATATTGTGCAGGTAGAATTTGAAAATATTTTGTATAATTAAGATCATTACTATTGGCACCAATATTGTCATAAAGAGAGATAAATCAGTTATCATACATCCAGAAGAAATTCTAACAAAAATAGAATCTGTTTCATTCAATACTTTCTGAAAAACAATACTATTGTTTAGCATCTTTTATACTAATTTGTTTGATTCGATTGTTTGATACAGCCAAACGGATAATGTATCTGGCGGGTTAGAGCCTGCTAGTCATATTAAAGGGATCACATGCGGGCTCCATAAACATTTCCGGAAACAAAGCTTTTTTTTATTTAAGCTACTTTTGAAAGGTCACTGCATTACCATTAAAAAAAACACACTCTATATAAAGCTCTTATTCTATTTCGATAAAGGAATATAAATTGAAGATTTATTAGGCGTCGTATATCAGGCATGCATATATATTACGGGCTATAGGTACATGTTAGAAGGGATTTTTACATTATATTTAGTTAGAATTATTCAACACAGCTAGTGGACCGAATACTATACGTTGTTATCGATCAATTCGGTATTTTTCAGTATTGAAAGAGTGAAACCTTACTAAACGCGTCATTATTTATCCAAGCTTCTTTTATTCTTTCTTATACTAGAGCATCTAAGTTTTGTTAAAATGGCAAATGTGAAATTGATGTTTAGATGTTTATACTTCATCCACATAGTCAATCCAGTTTTCAAAATATACGTTCCATGGCTACTGACTTTTAACTAACGAGCTGATTTCTACTGTACTTTGTTGTGTGGCTATATCTATTCGCTTGACGCTGCTGTTATTGTCGTTGCTGCTGCCGCTTCGGCCAATGCGGCTTTAGTGTCTGATGGAAACGGACCTGTACAAGTTGCTCAAGACGCAGAAACTTAGCAACGATCATGTCTGCTATTTCCTTTATCAGATCCTCCGGGGTCTGAAGTACATCCATTCAGCTAACGTGCTGCACCGCGATTTGAAGCCTAGCAACCTGTTGCTCAATACCACGTGTGACCTCAAGATCTGCGACTTCGGTTTGGCGCGTGTCGCGGACCCGGACCATGATCATACTGGCTTCCTCACGGAATATGTCGCTACGCGCTGGTATCGAGCACCAGAGATCATGCTAAACTCAAAGGGGTACACCAAGTCAATCGACATCTGGAGCGTTGGCTGCATCCTAGCAGAGATGCTCTCGAATCGCCCCATCTTTCCGGGCAAACATTACCTGGACCAGCTAAACCATATTCTCGGAATCCTCGGCTCACCGTGCCAGGAAGACCTAAACTGTATAATCAATGAGAAAGCTCGCTCCTATTTGCAAAGTCTGCCAGCGAAACCTAAGGTACCCTGGAACAGGTAAGCCTGCCTAAAATGTGTCCACTGTCCGCTATGTCGACACCTGTTAAAAAAACACTCTCAATAGTAGTAGTAGTAGCAGTAATTTTCAAAAGACTTGTAAATATCTTGAAGGACATTTGAGGCCTCACAAAAACTAATTAAACTATAATTCTAAAAAAGGCTTCCTGTAACTGGAATATGCATGTGCAAGGTGGAAGAGAAATAGAACCACTGTAGTATGTTGTGTAGAAAAATTAGATAAATAAAAAAGTAAAAAGAAATAGATAATTAACATATAGATCCGTACGACGCGATCCCGCAGCAACACAATAATTAATTGCACATGACGGTTTTGTTTGATAGACTATATCCCGAGGCGGACCCGAGAGCCTTAGACCTGCTAGACAGAATGCTGACATTCAACCCTTTGAGGAGGTAAGAAAACTTAGTTGACAAGCGAAGAGGTCCTGTCTGGTGAGAAATTAGACCTATACAACAGCAGTTCTTCGCTGGCCATTAGGCTTTGCATATCTAGCTTAACATCTACGTTGCGTGTCACTCAGCATTGGGATGGCATGTAGAGTTATTTTACTTCATATAGAATCATGAAATAATACTATTATAAGCCCTGCTAGCGTAATAAGATATTTTGAGATTAGAAGCAATCATCAAGTCAGTTTTGAGTGATCAATATACGCTAAATGTTATCCATTATAAAATTGCTTTAGTGGAGAAGCTTTTATTAACAATTTTCCATCAATTACTTCCCGTAATATTTGCAGAGTAACGGTGGAGGACGCATTGGCGCATCCGTACCTGGAGCAATACTATGATCCCGCCGATGAACCCGTAGCGGAAGAGCCCTTCAGGATGGAGATGGAACTAGATGATCTTCCCAAAGAACGACTCAAGCAGCTTGTGTTTCAGGAAACGAACACGTTTAGATCACGGCAACGTACACCACAATAATGCAGTATCCGAGAGTCTGCACATATGATAAAGATGATATATATATATGTGTGTTTTAGTTTAACAGATACAAAAAGAACAAGACATAAAGAACGCAATGGGAAGATAGATATACGAAAAAAACACCTGAAGAACATCAATCAACACGAAACGTTTAATGTAGCTTGATTTTGCTGGTTTACTGGCAGACGCCTGTCATAACTGCAGAAACAATACGCATTTGTCGTATCGTTTAAAAAACTTAACTCAACCCGATCGCACACTTCGTTGTTGCATCGAGCTCCGCCACATCACTGGCTGTACACGACGTTGACATATATGTATACATATGATGATATATGCATCTGTGCGAGTATGTGTAAAAACGACGCATTGCATTGAAAAGACACGCAAATAATAAATGGCCATTACGTGCCGCCAAGATCGTAAGACCGTCTAGACTTTGAAGTGTATTCATGAATGTACGCTGGGAACATGGAAGGCTGGCTCTAACGAGATATATTAACCTAATCTGAGGAAATGGTTAGAGGCAAAAGCCACGAATGGGGATAGGTGAGTGAGAGCTTGCATACTACTGAGGTGCTCGACAATACCGGCGGCAGCCTACGCTAAAGTTGTTACGCGCGAAGTCAGAGGTGTACCTACGCGCGTATCCATCTATGTTACGTGAGTAGGAAATGATGGCAGCCGGGAGTATTACTATATTAAGCTGTTGCTTACTACAGATATGTATGCGGGTTCCATGTTATTATTATTCATTATTGTCAATACTATATTTGTATACGTTACCGTCGCAACTGCCACCAGCGTGACCCCCGTGTGGCCTGCCATCCAGCGGCTTGCAATCGATAGCAGCAAACAAAAAACAAAACGTCACGTTTTCGCTAACATTCTTTCTCACGTATTTGTCGCAGTATCAAAATGTTATCCCTCAACACGAGCCAGCGAAATTAGTGTATACGTTTTTGAGCGCAGTGATCTTATCCGCTGATAATGATGTAGTAATGATATGGACGTGCAACGTTGAATAATGGATGGGTACGGGATGACAACGTACTGGCCTCTCAGCCAGTTAAGCAGTTTAAAGGACAAAAGAATTCCGATTATGAACTACCACACTAATAATAGCAGTTAAGTAAAGGGTGAACGAAAATGACCACGCTCGCTGTACGGTGCAGACGGTCCTTAATAGTCGTTTTTCCTGTTTGACTCGAATTTTGTTGGTGTCACAGTTCCATACACAGACAAAGTGAATGTGTCGTATTGTAAAGTTCGTGCCAGACGACGGCGCTTCGTCGTTCGTCAGCACTAAAAGCGCTCCGTTATTCAGCTCCATTATAGCAGCCAATTCGAAGCGACATGTATGTAGAGAGAGGGTGGGATACACAGAACAAGTGTCTAATGAAGTGTGTTTTAGTGCTATTCTGTTCTCTTTCTATTGGGCATATGCAGGGGCTACGCGAAATAGAGCGCATGGAAACAGTGCGGCTCGAGGTAAAAAGTTTATCTGTGAAAGGCGATGTATTCTCACAAAGACAAAAATCACATGCGACGCCGCTGAAGAAAACCAAGGTGGAACCTTTTGTCTATTAGGATGATGATGATGATGATGATTATAACTATTGTCAAAATACTAATTATGTTAGCAGTTCGTGCACAGTGTGCAGATCACTAACAACTTAAAAATCAAATCGACTCTTTGGATAACTATGGTAAATATAATAATTACTATATTGATATCATGAACAGTAATAACATAAATGTAATGGTGATAAGAATATCATTCTTCTTAATTTTGTGAGATGGTATCATCGATTGGTAACAATTGGCACTATGACACTCAGCATATAAATTCAATCGCCACTAACAGGTAGACCATAAAAGTTAGCGGTAAAATAAATGAAACCACTCCGCCGTGAATCAGAAAACCTGGTGCCCATACAAGTGGTGTGAATAAAAATGCAAAAAAAAAAATAATTATACTAATTCATGAAATATAAGTGGTGGCAAAAAACAATAATGAAAATAATAATAATGTTCGTAAAAGAAATTCAATCGACATATTTTCCTATTAGTTTAGAACGACATCATTATCTATAGGATTAAATCAATTTTTTTTATGTTATATTGGGAATTGTATCGGATATTAAATGCGCTGTAGAGGTACCTTTGGTGTTACATTGCTAGTGGCACGGTTGCTGCGGGTTGTCCAAAGGGGGTTCTATACAACAATTGATCTTTTTTTTTTTATAAGCTCGAAACGCGAATGATTTTTTATTTTTCTTGCTTCTTGATAGACCCCGCAAAATAATAATAGATCATGTAAGTCTGGTTGTAGCATTAGTTATGTTTTTAGTTGTTCTGTTGTTGAATATCAACGCTTTTGAAGCCGGCAAGTAGTAACGCGCTGATCGATCGGCAACGGTATTCAATCACCCAGGGTAAGGAAAAATAAGAGTTTATGAAATGCATTAAAAGAATATAATGACACTACTAGTAATAATGACAACATGATACGAATAAAAATGGTGATGACGTTATATTATTGAATATAATAGTACATAAGTATATAAAGCAGTTTCCTACTAAAGTTATTATTTATCATTGTATTAATCGTAAAACAAGTGATAGCAAAAACCGCTGGAGCTGGCTGTGGCCTTTTCTAAAAAACCTATAGTGGTCATACGCTTCGTACAATATAATATGCCTACATATAAAAATACACACGACACTCAAATAGAAAAGATAGTTACGCGAAACAATTATAATAATTATTATTATTGTTATAACAATAATAATCATTATCATGTACCCAAAAAACGAACTTCACTCAATGTTATGAAGGACAGTATAGACCAGTATAATGATACATCATGTTATCTGCGATAATACAATTAAAAAATTGAATACTATGTCTTATCGTATACGAGACGTTTAAGAAGAAGTCGCGTAACGCACGTATCCCGATGGCAAACTAACTGAAAAAGAACTACTTGGCTAATATTTATTACGACAGTTCCTAATATTATAGGAGTATAAGCATTATCAATAGTGTCGAATGCTATAATTGCGATGGTCGCCTAAGGATTAGAAGGCAGGCGTCCAAAGGCGCGTACTAAGGGGAAGGATGGCTCGCTTCAAAGGCGTCGTAAATATTTATGGGGGTGCGATCATTAACATTACAGACAGAATAGTATAGCTGACGATGCCGTGTACTTGAAATGCTCAAAAACATTCGGGAGCATGGGCAAAGTTAATTAACTGACTGAAAGGAACGAAAGTACGAGAAGGTAAGAACTATGATATATTCATTCATCAGCAGATTGTCGACAACATGTCACATCGTGATGATACAGATGCATGCACATACAGAAAATTGTTACACACACAAATACAAGCATGCCGTCTGGATGAAAATCGCCACTGTCAGCAAGCACAATAACACTAGACAGAGGTACTTTAAGTATTGCCAAGGATTTAAACAACGTTACACATACTTAGTTAAAACGTCTCTTGGGACAATGGTGGATCTAGCGGTTAGTTTAAGGATAAACAATCACTCATACAAATACACATATACGCAGACACATGGTTGTAACTCTATGGACATAGTTGCTACAAATAAAACATGCTTGTTCTCGACTTCCATTTTTTCTATTCCTACTTGGCATTTCCGTAATTCGTTTTTTTTTTTTTAAAAAACGAATTACCGAAATGTTTTTTAACAACAGATAGAAATCGGGCTTGCCTTTTTACATATCTTGGTAGACAACTGATTGGTGTCGTACACTGTCAGAAATTGCTGCTACTTCAAGTTCACTTGGGATGTATCCGTACGTAGTTATGCGTAGTGCTAACTAGCACCTTCTCTGCTTCAGCGATAAGATTATGCATCTATATACGTCCAATACAATAATTGTCCTTAATCGTCTACGTATGTCCTTATTATACAATGGACATGCAAGCAGACGAGTTTAAAACTTCGAGGCTTTGTCGATACATTTTTTACTTATAAATAAACGTTACTATTATTATTATTTACGATTGTTATAAGTCCGTTGTTTAATCACCAACTGTTGGAACACTCAATCATCAACACTTAATCACCTGCTTAGTAAAGAACACAATTTCTGGTTGACTTTGTAGCATTTTCTACCCGATTCCCTACAACCACTTTTCCAGACATTTATAATTATACTGATCACAGTGATTTTAGTTAATCCTTAATTTCTATTAGAGCCCTTATTATCATAATATAAAGCTACAGACAAACCGTTAACATTGCAAACGATTCTACATGCTTTTAATATCGACTTTCTGCAATAGTCTCTTATCTAACTATCGCTATATTGTTGATAGCTGATCTTCTACACGCAATTAGAAATTCAATAAATGATACAGGTACATTTTGTTTGTGGGTTTACTAAATTGGTGATAATGGATATTTAAACTGAACACTATCGTGTTTCATTTTGCCGAATACCCGAGTTGTATGCACACCTGTTACTACAGCTCGTGTATGCCTTGAGACACATATATTTCATTTGATAAACACTGCTCAGTATAAAATAATCGTTGGACAGGCAAGCGTTTGTTTCCTTTTAGTTCCTTTTGAGCAAATTCGCTCAATCCACTCACGATCTAATGATATCGATATCAGCCTACAGCAATAGTGAAGAGAATAACGGTAAACTATTAGGTCTTCAAAACAAAAACGCGGAGGATTGCTTGCATGTGAATTACAATTATAGATATTAGTCACATTGTACTTCTGTCCTCGTGTACTATCCCCTAAAGCTCTAGACTAATCGTAGCCACTAACAATTATACGCAAAAACAACAGACATCATTGAAATCCATTACGTTAGAACCTCAAACGGTAAAAGTGATCTCTAGCTGATAGATCGAGAGAAAGCTGCTGAAGGAAATATTGTCAGCGGAAGACTAGTGTTACTGAGGAGAAATTCAGCTGTTTGAAACGTCTGCGTGGAAAATTGCTGTGAACTTACCAATCATACGTAATTATCTGCTTGCAAACGGTTATGAAACAGCTAAAATACCGACAAAGAACGGGTGAAGGGAAGCCTAGGCAGGAAATGAATGCAGTGAAATATTTGCAAAAAAACACATGCGAGTAACACATAATTGATATTACATAATGTAAAGACTGTTCCGCGATAAACAGTAAACGAAGACAAATTATGTAATGCTTACGAATAGTAGTTATGCATACCAGGACTGTACGGGCGATATTAGTACGTCAATGGGACGTCGAATACATGTCTATCACAGACAAAAAAAAACCACATAGACAAACAGAACACGGAGGCCATGTTGCTGCTACAGGAGCGAAGGTAACAAGGTCTGGATGAACAGCGCCCTCTTCTATCTTGTTGAATTCTTAGTCGCCTCCTCGTAACAGATGAATTTACCCAATGAAAAAAACATGCCGTTTAAACGTGTCCCTAGGTTATCTATCACCTCATCCTGGGTTTCGAACGACGTTTGTTTTCTCTTCATGTCCAATTTATTTTCTAAAAATGTACTGCGCCCTCAGACATAGCTGATGCACACTTTTTATGCCTCACTACTCGACTGCTGTTTGAACAAACGTAGTACAAAAATATTTTTCCCTAAAAATGGTAGTTTTTAAAGAGGGATTAGAGAATGAATTGTTTTAATGGCAATGTTTAAGTTGCACCATCTATATCACACAAGGAAGTTTGTTGCAAAGGTCTAGACGAATGGATTTTTACTTCTAGCACAACCCTCAAGTTTTAGCCGAGACCCGATCCAGTAATTTTTTACGCTCTTTTAGTTTTTGTACGGCATCTCAAGTCACTGTACTTGGATCAAAGTATTGGTCTCAAATAGTGTCTGTTTCCACTATCATTGATCAACATAGCTGTATATTTACAATAATTATGCGGAGAAACATATAGAAACTATGATCTATGAATCTAAATATCAATCCATTTCCTCAGTGCTGTGATAGTTGAGCTTGCCCGTCATAATCAATGCAAACCCAGAAAATATCTACCAGACCTCAAAAAAATTTGCATGGGTATTTCTTTTCTATGTGCACATAGGTTGTATTTTTCGTATCTATGTTCGCCGTTTCAACTATAATGCTTGCCATGTTTATGGCACAGTGACCTTCCATCAAGCTGTTGAATAGGCGTATCAGCCGTGAGTTTCCATTTGAACGACCACTAAACTAGCCAACTTCGTTGGCTAAACAGTTTTTAGGCGAAGCTCGTCCTTGCTCTTACATCTAATCCCGAGTAAGAAACACCAAAAAAGAAAGCCATTATGAAGAGCGTAATGAATCAGAGATGGCAACTTACGCTAATAAGAATAATCGAATAAGTTCTGAATCTTGATATTCTAACGCATTCACTGAGCATTTACTTCATTAATTGCTTGGAGCCAAAGAGCAATTTTTCTAGTTCAATAGTGAGTAGCCCGGCCAGTCCTATTCTAGTCGGCCTTACTTCACATGAACACATTGTTTTAACTGTGATGAATCTCTTCAACGAGTTTTGACTTAACGAGTAACCCGTTCTGAGACCAAATCGTCTTCTAAGGCCAAACTCAAGCCACCGAGAACGGCTAGTCCAAACCAACACAGAGTATGACGAATCGTTATTAGTAGAGCACCCACCATTTTGCGCGCTATCTAATCTTTCATTATTTCTAGGTGGGTTGAAGAATGTACAGCCAACTTGTGAGACTGATTTGTGTGACATTGTGCTGACGTGCCTGCAAAAGCAATAGCGAAACTGCTTGCACAGAGTGACGGGCACAGCTGTTTTATTAGCTCGAGCAAGGCCCATAAGCCCAACGTGTACACATAGAGATGGAGAAAGCAGCACTAAGAAATGGCTGAACAGCCATTTACGCTTTTATAAGGGATGATGTAATGACGACAATAATTATACCATTGAAGATAGCAACAATAGCTCATTGTGAAGAAATATTAAGCTAAAGCAGAAATAAAAATAAATAAATGATAGAATCTTCGGCTCATGTGTATGTCTTCGTTGAGAAAAAATAAACTGCGTCATATTAGCAACGCGTATTTTCACTTTACACGGACCTAGAATAACAAGTTATAGCTAGCCTTAAAAGGTACTAGTGACGGAATGATTGTAGGGAACGAGAAGAGCACTAGGCTTGCCATGTTAGGTGTCACAGCTTTTTTGCCGCTGTTAGCTTGCTTAAATTAATATTCGATTATCTGCACGTGCACAGCATGGCACGCTGAACAAAAGTATTGTAGGTAACCTCCATTCTGCTAACTAATACTAACTAAAATTACTTGAGACTAAATAGACATATACTTTAAAAATTATTGGACATAACTTGTGGTTCATGTACGATGGGGCCTTAGCATTTCTTTAAATGGCTTACTCTCAACATTTAACAAACACCACACGTCAATGGCCACATGTCTGGAGTTTGAGTTTCGGAGTTAACAGTTTTAATTCATACTTTGGATAGTTGTCCTGCTGCTGAAATTTCGTACGTGGAATTTTTCACTTTTCCTTTTAGAAATACTCATTTTAATAACTCTAAATTTATCTAAATTGATTGCAAAGCAAGCCAACCAGGTTAGATTTCGTCGGTTTCATAACGTTGGTAAGCCCGTATAGAAAATGAATTTATTACGGTGACACACTACTTACTGCCGCAGTTTAATTGGCCATATACAAACACAATTCAGAGATGCGGCGTGTCAACCCTTAAGGCTATCCACGAAACTTAATCAAAAACAGGCTACGTTTCGGTTAGGATCACAGCGATTCCACAAAGGCGACACAGCAGACTAAACGTAAAACTTTGCGTATGTATTAGTAGGTTCAAAGAAATTAGTTTTCATCGTCTACCTTCAGAAGGTTCAATCGGCATATAGTACGAGTCGTTGTCCAAAGTTAACTATGCCATTTTAATGAACAACAATTTTTCAGTGGTACAGAAGTGATCTAGATATATCGAACAACAAACAGGACTCCACCCGCTATAACTACTGATGTCGGCTGTTATACAAATGAAAACTGCATGCGTTAATTTGCATTTTTTATTACTTTTACAAGACTTTATTTTGTATATGAAAATATTCAGCCATTTAGTAGTCACTCTTTAACTATTATATCCCTCCTACACTATATATTCTAACTTATATAACTGATTAGACCTGTCCATCATTTACACACTCTCCACTAGGTCACTCCATTACGTAAAATTTTTAAGCCTAAACATATACTTAGGTCACATTTTCACTAACATCAAAAGCAGTAATCAATTAATCATATATTTACAAGTCACGCATAACCGCAACATTGAGTTTTAGATTAGAGTTCGCCAGCACCTTTATAATGGCTCGTGAGAGCTTGTACCTTCGAAATGTATTTCAAACGCAGACCTACCGTAATTAGCACGGTATAGTGTCCAACATAATACTTAACACATTGTAGGCCATTTAATACCGCAGAATCAAAAACCGGCTCTTGTACCCAACACTGTCAGAATCGATTGATCTCTGTATTGCCTCGACAGCATTTAAAATGCTGTTACGCCTCTTATTCTGTCAGAGGGCGGTGATGCATTTTAACAAAGCCTAGAAGATCGTTAGTAGGGCAAAAACGCCGTAGACAAGAGCACAAGGATATAGAACTAACATTTGCTGATGGTCCATGCTAAGAGCTGTGACGAAAAGCTTGGAAGCCGAATAAGCACACCACGATATAGATAGAAGTGCTGAAAAAGTGCCTGCAAGAAAGTATGGAAAGCAAAAATATTTCACATATACACAGGATACAACTGAGCGTTACACAACTAGGACTTAATTTAAATTCTGCTGCAGATAGTAGATTATACTTAACACAGTTCTCGATTGAAATACTTGAAGAACTCTTATTCGCACGTACTGTAGGCTTGTATTACCTTATCATCTGGCCATATGCTAAATGACTGTAATTGCTGGCGGGTGATACTGTCTAGAACCGGCTACAGATAACCTAAGCTGATATTTATATAGATACACTAATAGAAGTACCAACTAACCTGCAGCTCCCTTGAGTGAAATGACAATTGAGAATCCTGAGAGCAGCACAATGGGTAAAAGACAGTAACCAAGCACTGAGACAGTCGTACCGATTGAGATGCCCTCATGCGACATCAGGTTAAGTAGGGCGTATAGTGATAGTGTCCCGACAAGGCCCAGGCCATAGATGTACCTGTTTTTTTATTGTTTAATGACACACAACGATCAAAGAAATGACAACATAATCTAAGAAGTGTCTTATTAATTTACACATCCATGATGGCAATCAGCAATACTGTAAATCACTGTTTCATTCGTTGCACCAGTAGCCGTGTTCACAAATGGAGCCACCCCATTTCTATCATATTAGCCACCTTCTAACAAAAAACGATTGTATCAGTCTGAAAAAATAATATTTAACAGGTCTGATTTATTTGGGTGAACTCGATGGAATAATCGACAAATAGTTTGCATTGACGAAAGATCTTAGAGCGTTACAATAGCCAAATACATCCTCAGTATATCAATCACGGTGTAAGCACATTATGAACGACTTTCTACCGGCTCACACGATACATACTGCGTGCGTTTGACAATTGCATGTACTGAAAAGATTCATCGTTTGATCAATTTAGAATACTTAGTTAAGAACTCACAGTTAAGGGCAAACATTTAGAAAATTTGATAAGCTATTTATATCAAAAAAGAGAAAAGAAACGAAAAAAAATTGTCATCGTAATTTTGCCATATAAACTATATGCTAAATTAAGTAACCGACGCTTGAAGATTGCTTACCCAAAATGAATTTTTCCTGCAAGCATGAGGAAACAGCCGAAGGCGAGACAAAAAACGAGCGGTCCGGCAAGGTCACATTCATTAAGAATAGTAGCTTCACTCTTCCGCAAAGGATTAAGCACCGCCAGAGTCTTATCCCAAATATGATTAACATTTATACCAAGTTCTTCCAAGAGAGGCGGTTCGTTATCAAATTCACCTTGTTTCTGCAAGGGAAAATAATGAAAAATAATGGCAGCATGACAATGGTGTAAATACACAATAGATACCCATACTTCCAGATTTTGAATAATAAAAATAATAATTAGTATTTTTGATTATTATTGACAAATATTTTAGAAAGTGTTGAAAATTCCAAAGTCCATGAGTGGCTTAGCTTACACTATCCGTGGTTAGATTGTTCATAGGCATATTCATGAAAGGTTGCTGTTGCTGTTGTGACCACGGATCGTAGTAGAGCGATTGCTGATTGCCGCTTTCCATTTTGAGGATAAATTTGTGTTCACTGGAATTTTTTAAAAATATCAACGCAAATAAGTAAATGTGATAGGCATTATCTGAGCCGACTAGTAATAGCATAGGAACTTCGCGTAGATTTAACCGTTCGGTTCAATATGCGAAACTATAATTGCACAAAAATAATGCTTATAGCAGAGGTCACTGAAATTGTAGCCAGGGGCATCGCTGTTTTCGCTACACAACTGGGATCATATTCCATGATAAATGCCCGATCTATTGCTTTTTCACAGACTAAAGGAAAAAAACAAAGGTATCGCATATAAGCTCACTAAAAAAACTTCTGCTTGTTTCACTTGCATGGTATCATGCCGAACTAACAGCAAATAATATTACTAAAATGTCGACTAAAAATAGATTCTTTAATTTTCCAAAATCATCGAAGCTTAACCTATCACTTTCTACAAAAAATTCATTTTCGTAAACCTTGATTATGAGTGGTATCTTAGCTATATACATTTTCGAAATAATCATTTGAAATAAGATAAAATAGGATCGTATTTTTGTAGTCGTGTTAGCAAATATACAGACTATAATAAGTTTGAGAGGGACAAGTGTGTCTTACTGAAAGCTCAGTGAGCTTATACTACAAGCAATCTGAGAAGGCGGAAAATGTTAAGACAAACTAAATTTATTAGTCTAATCAATTAAGGGCGGAAGCCTTCAAAACAAATCAAGTTATTAATAACACGCTTCATTTATGTCCCCAATCGCTTCTGCTATACATCACTCTCACAGCGACTCGTTTTAACACGCTTCCTTTCCTTAGTTGGCTGTTATACTGTTTGGCAAAACGTTAGAATATATCTTAATAATTATGGAATATTGATATCATACGAATGTTTATGCGTTCACAACGAATAGCCTGTACCACTCAGTCGTACTTTTTTTACATTTAATAAGTACAGTGCTTAGTAATTCTTCTTACATTATTAATAAGAACATGTCTATTACATCTCCGGCAAAGATCTGCTGAATTAGGAATTAACTTTTTTTTATATTTATTTACTTGAGATTTAAGTGAACTAAAGGAAAAATATCGGCTCGCATCTGTTTCCCACGAAGTGTTGGCAGTCGATTGACAATTGACTGGCTTAGAAAAACTAAACAGATCAATCGAACGTTTTCTGCCTAAACACATAGAAACCGGAAAATGACTAATTTCGAGTTGCTTAGCCCTCTTCTTCTTGAAAATTTTTAATCCTTTTTCGTGCACTTACATGGATGCCAGACAAAGTTCCGAGAGAAAACGTTTTTGTTCGCTGTTAGGTGCACGACATTAAAAACCATGGACAAATTTACCCGCATTTACAAACTGCCAGAAGCGATAACATTAACTGCAAGCTTCTATTTACCTATCTGTCTCACTGACTGCCACCCATATATTGCTCGTTTGACGTGCAACGGGCAACAGATGGGTCCGTGTACTTGTGTACACGAGGCCAGCAGACGCTGTACTTGTGAGCAGAGTGAATGTTTGAATATTTGGCGCGAAAAGTCATCCAACACATTGTTTTCTTGTAAGCTGTCTGTGAATTTATAATACTTGTTCCAGAAATTTTAGGGAATCTAGCAAGGATTGCGAGTTAAACTTCTCGGTTATGATGTTTCTCAAATAATATTTGCGCGTCTTTGCAATACCATATGTTTAACTCGTAGACCAAGAGCAAAAGTTATCTATTGAACTTCCAAGAACTCTTCGGAAAAACCTGTTTTGGTCTACTTAGGTTGTTGTTAGGCTAATGTTTATTAAAATTATTAAAGGGTTTATTACAGTCGTATCCAGTTTTGAAAAGTAAAGTTTACTGTCCTGAGAAGTTTGAAGGTGGCGGTATTTCGAAACTAGATATGACAGATGAATACCTTGAGGTTCTGAGAAAAGAGGTTTAATAAAAGAGAGCAAATATTTTTTAACATATTCGGAGTTGACTAGGATCTTGGGAGAGGCATGTTCGCATCTAGCAGGCAATATTCAAATCTATCAATTTAAGATCAAGCCCTGTTTGAACATGGCTACGCACTAACTTGGACTATCATCGTTCACTAATCAAGCGAAGGACAAGATTAAGTGAATCGCTAACACTGATCATATCAAATAAGATACTACAGAAAGCTAAAAAAAAATAAACCTGATACTATTAAATTCCAAAAGTACCAAAACCTTACCCTTGCCAAGTGCTTCAAGAGTTATGCATCCAAATAGTTTTCTACATTTTATTGTATGTCGGTTCATCTATAAGTTGTGGAACAGTAGCCTCTCAACGTTTAGATGTTAGATCAATTAGTTAGGTGCAGCGCACGTCACGATAATCGATTTCACAGTTTACAACACTATTTGAATGTTTTATTAGCAAAAAATTGCCACTGTCGGCTTTGCTAATCTTTTTCCAGACAGATTTCTCATAAAATAAGTTAACTGATATTCTCGAGTTTTAAAACAAGTCATACGCACTTTATTGCTTCGCTAAATGCATCTTCAGCGAATAGGGTTTTTATTTTTTATTCTTCTGGAAACAATTGTTTGGGTATTATCTGTCCTATATTTCTCCAGTGTGCGCCTTTGACTGGTCACGTTTTAGGCCCACAGTTCAATAGCAGCGTCCTCATTAGCACCGAGAGTCTGGCGGCCGACCTCTTTTTGAGTCGGTAGCGGCGACGGAACTCTTCGTGTCGCTCTTTTTACCAGGAAGCTTTACATGAGGCTTACCGTTCTGCGTCCTTCGCCCGGTCCTGAATGGATGCATTGCTTCGTTCGTGCGAATCGTTTTCGTCGTCCATCAGCGCTCTCTTTTTCTTCCACTTTTGGCCTACGCAGCAAGCGCGTGCTGACGAGCCACATCATTTATGTTCTCTCTATGCGCCACTTGCTTCAGCTCTGCGCACAGAGTCGAAGAAACAGCGGTGACCGGCTGATGGCGCATTCCGTGACGTGGTGCGCGCTGTGCTTTGCTGTGTGGCACGAAGGCTGTTATGGCAGTAGGTTTGAAGAGGAGGACGACGGCGGCGAAGCCGAAGCTAAAGGCGAAAGGGAGAGTGGCAAGGACTTGGCACCGCCAAGACGCCAGGCAACCCGCCAGACAAACAGGCAGACAGATACACAAACATCGGTCCCACTACCATGTTATGGAGTGTCGCATTGAAAGGAGGCGGAAGGCGTAGCACACGAACTGGCGAGTGAGTATCTGTTGGTTAGGCAAGCGTAGATGAAGTGGTGGGTGGGCAGTGCAGCTGTTGCCTTCTGCGTGCTGTTGTGCTTATAACGCTGATGATACTTTTTTGGGAATGAAATGACAACAGGGCCGCCCTGTTTAGCGGACGGCGGCGAACAGGGCGAGTAAGAGAGAGAACTCCGCCTTCCTATCACTGCTGCTGCTACTTACGTACACATTTCTGCGCACCTATAGTGAGCTTTGCCTCCCTATTGCCTGCTGCCTTTAGATATGCTATGATGATAGCGACGCCTCTTCTGGTCTATATGTGTTCATGCATCTCTTAGCCTACCTACATCTGTGAGACTGAGTCGATGAAGTCTGCTGCTCCTGTGGCGTGCTGCTAGCGGTAGCAGCCGCATCAGCAGCAGCTCTAGAACCAACAGCATCAGCAGCCATTATCACCGCCGCCAAACAGTCCTTCTTGTAACTCTTACAACGATTTACTGGTTGTGTATGCAGCAGCAGCAGCAGCAGCAGCTTTAGGGCTGAGCTGAACTTTCCCCTTCTCTTCTCTCCGCTGCCGGATTCCGTACGTGTGGCGGTCTGCTGTGGCTTGCGCCGGTCACCCGCTGCCTGTTGTCTTTGCTGCTGGTTGGGCGCACAGTGGCATCGTTCCATAGGGACGGTTTCGCTGTGACGTGTTTATGCTGTAGCTGTGAGTGCTACTGCTGTTGCTGCTGCTGTTGTTGCTGCTGCTGATCTCTACCGGAGTAGTAGTGGTGGAGTGGCGACCGTGCTGCTGCCGTAGCCGCTGCGAGTTTTGCTGTGAACTCTCAATAGGCACCAGCAGCAGCCATACTACAGAAGTGGCTGTGGATGCAGGAGAGCTAGTAGCCGTAGTAATAACAGAGGCTACCGCCGTCGCAGGCGTGTCGGCTAAAGAGCCAGCCATCAGTCTCGCAAGTCTTCGACTGCGATGATGTGCTGCTGCTGCTGCTGCTGCTGCCGCCGTCGTCGCTCACCTAAGCAGCGCGTACAGTGAAGGTGAAACCCGGTGGGTGGTAAGGCTGAGTTGTCTGCCCGCTGACTTGTTTCTCTCTTTGTAGTAGTTCTGTTCTGTTTGCTGTATCGTCTTGCGTGTACGTGCGTGTGTGTGTATGTGCATCTACGAGAGTGTTGAATCGGGTGCTGGGCTGGCTGTTACTGGTGTCGCTCTTTGCGTCTGTGAGTTCTGCCAAAGAAACCCTCTTTAGCAGTAGAAGTCCCTACGGGACACGGTGATCAGTACTACTGCCCGCGACACGCAGGGCATTTGAACGGCAACAGAGTGGTGGAATTGTGAAGGAAGAGGAAGACGAAAATCCATTAGTACCGTCGTCGCTAGCAGCAGCAGCAATAACAACAACAACGAACTACGAACAACAGCGGCACCATCGCCCTACAATCAGTGTTGCCCCGGTCTGATGTCCGCAGACAGTTGATAGTCTGGTCCGACGATTGTTGTGCTTGACTGGCCGTCAGCAAGCAGCAACCATTAAGTCTGTTGGTCTCGTTGAGCTTTAGCTGTGCGTAGATCTCTTTGCTAAGTTGCTGACTGTAGGAAAAAAAGGTGGAGGGTGTCTGTGTTTGTGCAGAAAATGAAGTCGATGAATCTGTGGAGAAGGCTATAGTATATCGATAACAGACACCCGAATGGACACAGGTTGTTTCTTTTACGCTTTATATGAGTGAATATTTTTTGCGTGTCTGCTTCGTGCGTGCTGTGAGATGTGCAACGTCAACTGACTAACTCTATTAGCCGTACGGAGTGTTGAGATCGAAACAGGGCGTACGGGCTACGGAAGGCGGAGTATCACCACTGCCGCCATCACCATTCAGCCCACGAAGAATAGAACAAGCAGCGTCTGGCAGGGAGCTTGAGTGACGAGTTTGTTCGAGCTACTTGCTACTGTTGGCTGCTATCGCCACTCTATGATCTGCATCCGTTTCATTGCTCCTATGGACGGCGAATCTTTTAGAGTCCCGTCGAATCTCGGAGCAAATAAATAACGAGTTTGACAGTAAATAACGCTCGCAGAAAAACAGCGAGAGCCAGCTGCTGTCAGTTCTCTCTCTCTCTCTCTTTTCCTCTCATTTTTCAATGTATGCGTGAGTCGAGCAAACCAGCAAGTGGTCGCAACTGCTTTTGCAATATTTACTTCTTCGTTTTATTTATTGGTTTCCCCTAAATGAGGTGCCCTTAAATTGAGAACTTTGCTGTATAAGAAAGTAGTAGTCATCAGCTTCAGTCGTTGCTATCCGTGGCTATCAGCTATAATAGTCGTACGCTTCGCAGTGTCCTCGACAGACTGTCAGATAGACGGTGTATGGCAGCAGACAACGAAATATAGAAATTTGCTGCTGGAAGATCGTATAAACGAGCCACTGTGTTTTATATTATTTCTCGATTTCTCGTGGTGTTATTATTGTGTATGGATCTGCGCACATTATATGTCTTTGACGGTAAAAAAAATACGCATTCGTTTCGATTGTACGAAGTCGTTTAGCAACAAAGGAAAACGACAAACGGCCTGTACACTCGTGTCGACGTTGCAGACACACGAGTTTTCGTATCCGGATTGTGTATTTGTCGTGAAGTGATGGTGGCGCTCAGAGATCAAAGAGTGTGAACCGTGAGGAGTAGTGCGATCGTTTCATTGTTATTACTATTTTTATTATTGTTTTTGTTTTCTCGTGGAATCGGTCCCACCTCGCTAGATTGTGATTTCGCTCTGACTGTGATGCGGTTTCGTCAAAGCTGGGATCCGCTGCGGCCATTCTCAATGTTTTCGTCGTCCTGAGACCGCCGATCCTGCACAGGGGGGTGCCAGCCAGCGGCCAGAAGGCTGGGACTCCTCTGTGAGTGCTGGTCGCAGGTGGTACTCCTGCCTGTTTCTGTGTCTGATATTATCGTCGATCGAAGGCAGTGGTGTACGAAAGGGGTCGCCGTTTCGTCGGCGACAAACATCAACTGTAGGCCGGCAATCGCGCTGGTGGTGGGCGAACGTCCCGCTGCCACGTCTAATTGATAGCTGCGATGAACTCCAAGGTTCCATATTATTATTCGGAGCTGACACCGCAGGAGCGGGCCGAACGTGCCGAACGAGCAGCTCAACAACAACATAACGGGGATGTCAGCAATATCCAATCAGCGGACTCAAACGCTAACCAGAATGGCGGCAATGGAACGGAGACGGGATTTTTCAATCCACTGCTAAACATAGGTTAGTCGTCTATGGTGTTTTGCAGATAATCTTAGCAAAAGTCATAATAATGATAATAATAATAATACCGATAACAATAGTCGCAGAAGATTGTCATAATTGTTGAGGATCGTTGCAGGCTTACTTTGTTCTCCTTTTATTTTTAGCCCTCTCATGCACTAAATTAACCGCATTACTTCCCTGTGCAGCTGTCTGCAATCAACTAGCACCCAACCCAGCAAATCTCACCCCGTAATCCATTTCGATTCACACACACCCACACTTCTATCTGAGCGCTGCTCATAGCTTTTATTTTTGATTCGTTGCTGGTTTTGTGCTATTTTTGTTATTGTTGTTAGCGTTCCTTGAATCGCCTGCGGTGTATAAGCCACAGCATGGCTGAGCGTGGTGTCATCAGACCGCACTACTTTTCTCGAAAAAGAGACCGTACCTGCACATTATTGGATGCGCCCAGTATGCAATGGATCATTCACATAGGTTGCACTGGTTTAGTTAACGGATTGCGTTAGGAATAATAGCATATTTTGTCAGCTGTTGTTCTGTTTCTTAACTCACTCAATCGTGAATCCATGCAATCCTGTCTTTCTTGTGTAGTTTTTGAAAATCTAAAGATACTTGGCGATGGGAACCGTTTGTCCTACTGCTTCCCTGGCCCGTACTTGTTTCGGAAAGTTGTAAACGTCGAAAATTCGCATTGATTCCCGCCATCGACATATGGTACACAAAATGTGTGACTAAGTAAACAGAGGCGTAAGAATTCGCGCTCATTGACTGGATTTTCTTAAGTAATGAACGAAGAAATGACCACTTCGCAACTATAGAACAAACGATAACACATCTAGCAGAATCATAGAGTTGAAGTATTCTACAGAGAAGTCGCTCTCCCGTAAATCTGAATATGCAAAACGAATAAAGTCAAAGCAAGCATCCCATTTGCCGTGTGTATACGCGTTTCATCGACTATGTCTAGCAGTAACTTGTAGGAAAGTCTTTGGACGGAGTAATTTGAGAGGTTGTGTGTACAGTGATAACACCTATTTTGATGGTTTGATCAAATCAGAGCATCACTACTATACGTGTCACAGATTTTGATGGAGCTACAGCAGATCTACCTCAATCCGATAGGTGGATCACTTCTTTGGTTCAGTGTTTTGGGTTTGCTTATTTAGAACAACCTTTTTTTTGTTAGCTAGGGAAGATGTTTTTGCTGGTATTTTTTTCATGTGCTGTGCTCTCTGAAAAGAACTGAAGTAGCTTCGAAAATTACGCACTGCTGGGTTTTTCTTAGTTGACCTCCTTAAAATCTAATTCCGGTCGCCAAAATGGCTTTTCTATAGCTCTAAGGCCTTTGACTGACTTTAGCAGAGCTAGTCGTTCTTCCTTCTCGAAGACGCCTATTCCACATCATTCAAAGGTGCCATAATAGGTATTCATTGAACTTTTAACTACTTATCCCGCCATTGCATATATTGAGTCGAAATTTTAGAGACATCGATTCGATTTAAGATAAGACGAACACAAAAACAAAACTCGAATTTAAGCCACCTCTAATATTTACCTCGACGAAATCTCATTTAGTCATTTTCACTGCCAGCTATTTAAACTTTTCTTTACGTTGTTTCTGTTCTTCAGTTCCAATAAACCTAAACTACTAACGATATACATCTCGAGACATGCTTGTATAATACACTATTGACATCCACACATGTTTCTTTTCTATGTCGTCACCATAACTAAAACGAAGCCGTAATCTTCTCACGCTACAAATCCAATACGTTCTCTCATCATCGTCCAAATTTATCTTACGAAACACTTGACCTTTCATTGAAATTGACCCTATGCCACAAAGAATACCACTAATGTAAGGGTCTTGGAGCCAATGATGTGTGCGATACGAGCCCAGCAGACGCAGCAGCTGAACTCTTTTTAGCCACCGCAGTTTTGGCATCCAACATTATTGCTTTGCACTTCAGTGAATGGATAATAACGCCAGCGATGACTACTCCTCATCGACCTGAGTTCTGGAAGTTGTAGTTGTTGCTTTTTCCCTTTCACCCTGTTAACGGAAACTTAGTGCGTTTCCGACGGGGCTTGCTAGCAACATTTCAAATCGCTGGAATATTATGGAATGTCTACGAGAATGATGATTTCATGCACGCAGAATGAACATACGCGTGGATTTTTCTGAAGTTCTTCATTCTTCTCGCCGTCGCGACTACCGCGATTCTTCTTATTCTGTTTTGCCACAAGTGAATAAGAGAAGATAAAAACAACGTACACAGAACGATGTTATGAGCACAAAAACATAATGTATTGACTGTGTGTCTATTTGATCAATTGCTATTATTTAGTTGAATCTTTGAAAAGCGACTTGCGAGTATCGAAAACGTTGAGTTCGTGATGTTTTTTTAATCGAATTTTTCTAGTAGTCCTTGACAACCTTTGTTCCATGCTCCGATTCCATGTAACTGATTTATGTGCAAGTGTTTTCATCGATAGGATCTTTATTGCCAGGCTTATAATAGACCATGCTGAAGTGTTTGGCTACTCCTACACGTGTTCATTATGCATTGGCATTTGGCACTTCGCACTGAAGCAAGTACTTTCTAAAAAGGTCAATCAAGACTCGAAGAGCATAGTTAATTGCTTTAATTAACTATTACTTTAATTAATTTGGTTTTACATCCGAAAAATAAAGCAATACGATCAATTACTGTAATTACTATTATTTTTCCTATCACAAACTAAATTTAACGCTAACTGAAGCACGTACATTGCATACCTTATTTTCAGTTCGACGACTACCTGTAAGTCGCCGCTGACATCCCCTTGTGTGGTCGGAACTTCACTATACAGCACATGCTGACAATAAAAAATTTTATCTAATTAGCACTTTTTTATTATTAGCACTTTTAATTATTTAGAGACCAAGCTATCTTTTCAGATAAACAGTAGCTATGATGTATTTTTATAGAGTATTGAGCAAGTGTTACTCCACTCGATAACAACGGTGCGTTAATGCATGCGACTGAGAGGGTTGCAGGTAGACTGAGACCTATCCTTCACAACCAATGTGAAGTGAAATTAGTATATTTATCGTTTCCGTTTCCATATTCAGTGTGCATATTACACCTGAATATATAGCCTATTTGGTAGGTAGAACTCTCTAAAATTTACGTGTATAATGGCCAAAATTCAGAAGATTACAAACTTCGTTACCACCCTTCAATTTGCATTACAATTTGTAAAAAAAAACCTTCCTATACCACAGAGAGACTCCGGTTACGTTACAAAATTACGTTGATATCACTGTTGTCTCCAGACAGCCCGGTAGTAGATTCAAGGCGAAACACTGGAGATATCGTCTAAAATGTTCCACTTAATTCCACCTGATTTCGTGAGGAAACGATAGCGAATGGCTATAGGGTATTCGCAGCTTTTAGTTCATATAGATGACAATTGTTGTCTTTGGTTGGTCAGGCACTTCAATTGCGGTGCAACAGTAGCCAGCATATGTAACTGAGCAACGTTTGATCCCTTTGAAAATTGCGGTTGAAGGCGCAAATATTCGCCCATTGAGTCTGCGTACGTGTACATATTGTACGTAAATCTTTCTGTTATCTCCAATATGGGCAACGAGGACAACCAATGTATCAGTCTTTAATAGCAGAATTCAGACGCAAGGAGTGTCATGAATTGAACGGTGAACGGGGAGGGCCTGTAGACGGTGCTAAAAAATGACAATAGTAAGAAACGCACGCGGCAGACGATTCAAGGTGACGGCTCCAATAACATAATCTTAAAAGGTCCAATGATCTGGCCTGGCATCCTTTTAAATACGCATCAGTAACAACTGTCGTCTAATATCGGAAGTATTACATATTGCAAATAAAATATGCATAGTGCATGTACCGTCACACTCTAATATGCTAATGTCCATCGCAGCTGCACAAACCACTAGTAATGTTAATACGGGAAATATGGCAGGATCAAGTTGACGTCAATATACTGAGACCAGACGGTTTCAATAACTGTCCTGAGGCTTTGCCTTTATTGCGTCTAATGCATTTATTCCAAAAAAGACACTGCTAAATAAGAGACCATGTTGACTGAGAGATGTTTTGTAATAGCTGATTTGCTGTTTGCGCCTGTACCTTTATTACCTTATTTTGATGTTGAGTGTATTTGTTTGCGCCGATGCTCCCATATTCCGGCATAGCGACAACTGCCGTTTACCTTCCTGCTTTTAATGCTTAATAGTTGTTCAATTTAGGCGGTCATAGAATTTGTTTTTGAATTTTCGTTCGACCGCGTTTGTGGCTAGAATTTATTTGCACGCGCTTGCCATGGTTATTGCCAGACTTAATTGTGGTTTTATTGCTAACGCAGTTGACCTTATCCTCTTCCTGCTTCGCTTTGCAAAACACGCTGAGATTCTAAATAATGCAAACAAGACTATTCAGGATCGACACACGTGCTAAATGGCCACGTGCCAGACCGGAAACATAAGGGCACCAAATTCGAAATCAGACAACCCATGCAGATGGGGTGGCTGCACATAAGTAATTGCTAGCCATGCGACAGCAACGGTATCCGAGTTTTTCACAGAGTTAGTCGAATTTCGTTGAGTAATTGTTTGTATTAATACTTCTAATTTTTTATTCATTCTTATTCAATCATTTTTAATGCTTAGGTTCCAAGTGCTAAATGCCAGCGATCAAAAATGCATACCCAAAAATATCGCTTTAGTTAGTTACTTGTTAGACTAATCCTCCTGTGTTACCCAGGAGCTGATAGTAAAGCTGTCATTGCTCTTAGACCTTTATGAATGTATAAATAAAGATAAGAGATGCACGGTTGCCTTTTAACAGACAGAATAAAACTTGTCAGAATAGTATACTCTTTGTAAGATTTCGTTTCTGGTAAAAATCTTAAACTAATAAAATATATTATAGGTTTAAGCCCTCTTTAGACCCTAAGATTTTGCTGCAGCTAAAGAAAAAATAAATGATTCAGATTATACGAAACTTCCACGATTTTGCAGGATTCGTATTTTTGGCGCGCAAACGTTCCTTTTGCTTAACTTAACATAAAGGCACAAAGGATATGCATGATTAGTTTTACCGAAATAATTTGAAAACACCGGGCGGGCCAAATATAAGGTGCTAGGTCACCGGCACCAAGTTTTAGTCGGTGGAAGTTTTTTGTTATCTCGACGAACACTCTAACCGTGAAGCTCTGTGTCCATAACTTATTTTTTTCTCCGTTTTTAAAAAACATGCATGAGTAGTCTGCAGAACACACGTACATGCATAGCGCCACGTGCACTATACGGATACGATCAACGATATTAGACATTCCTATTGCTTTCATTTCCAGCATGACCCTGCTACCATTGAATTACGATCCATTAAGCATAATTGTACGATACATGCATTTTTTCCTTGCTCTAAATAAGCAACAGAGTGAGTCGGCAGCTACGAATTGTATCCTTTTTATTATAACGATATATTTTCTTCGGAAGCATGTATTCCTTAAGCCATACAAGACATCTTTATTATTTAATCAAAATTTTTTTAGTTTTTGTAATATAGTCACAATACTGGAAGGTGCGGAGAAATTTTTACACTGTTTTAAAATGATGATTCTGTTCCAATCACTACGAATCTAAACAAGTGGCAGCCTGGCATTCGACAACAGAGACAACTTTTCTTTTTCCTTCTTCGCTCTATCTGAACAAATTCGTTTTCCATGTGATGCGGAATGTGCTGCAATTTCCTATAATGTCATTAAGGTATATTTTTTGCGCTAGTTACAAGTCATCTATAGGTTTCTTGGAGATGTTGCGAACTTTGCATGCAGCATTTTTGAGTGCATCGCACTTCAAGGCACCCTTCAGTTGCTCAGCCACCGATCTGCTATCCATCTGTTTGTCATAAGCGTACTACCAAAATAATATTGCAAAATATAACAATAAGCACTAGGGCGAAGTGACGACACCTTTCTAGAGCTGCAAGCTCGCGCATCTCACATGTTTGATATATTCGCTCTGGACTGGCCGTTGCTAGCCGATGAACAAACAGAGCATGATGATACATATACATGTGTGTGTATATATTATGAATGCCGTTTACAGAGCCCGACACTTCGGGGGCACCGAGTTCGCTGACGACTTCCAAGACTCGAAAGAAAAAATCTCCGGTGGGGCCGGGCAGCCAAAATCAGCCAAACACTGCCAACACGCAGCCTGTATCGTCCGTAAATAGTCCAACCAAGAATATCTACGGTACGAAACGAAGCAATTCAGCTGAAATTAGCTGGCTGGCTGGTGAGGTAGTTGCCTTCCACAGCCTACTCACTTCACTACACAATACAGATAGATCTATTCAATGCACAATACAAAGAAAAAGGACTCTTAAAAGGACCTTAAAAAAGGACTCAGAGATATACATTGGTTACCCCGACAATATCGCATTTTTTCCTAACGACAATAGTAATAATTGTGTGCTGTGTAAAATTTTAAGCAACGTTGGGCTTTGCTTGGGTTTCGGACACAGAATATTTGTTTGTGGAAAGTTTTTTTTTGTATGAATACTTAATGCTAAGTAGATTAAGTATAGTATTTGCTGTAACTTACAGATAGAGCTGTTTGTCAATCTATATTATTATGTTTAACTACTGTTACTGTACAATATGCGGAAGTTTGCCATTTAATACAGCCAATCACGGAAATAACTCACATTAGGAGGACTTTTCGAGTTATTAACACAACATTCGAGCTGAACGTCCGTGGTAGCGGTGGCCGTGGTAAACGTGTGGAGCATTTACTAATAATAATAATAACAAAATGTCCGGGCAGACGCGCTGTGTATAGATCGGTGACTCGTGTCAAAAGCTACTTTGTTGATTTCGATAATTCGATATTATGCTTACGCGCAGTAGAAGGAACTATATTATAAGAGAGCTGATAAAAACCTTAGAGAAAATTAGTTTTTTAAAAAAAACTCATGATTTACTAACCGAATCAAACCTATTGTTGAAATGAAACAGACTCTTTGCTCTTAGAAACAGATAGCTGGCCTGCATAAATTTCGTCATAAAGCTTGGTAGTTGACGACTACAAACAGTATTCATTCCTAAAATCATCTCGGCCGCGTGTTTATTGGTATTGTTATGTAAGGATCATTATGTTGTATAATATCCCTTAGAATTTTTGTTTACTTTCAGCAATTTTGAGACAGCCATGTATAAGTCTATCTCGTAGAATTCTTATATATTGTAACGCAATAAATATATGGATCTAATGTGATATATTCTCAATTTACCTTGTACAAATAACACAACTAATCCAACAAGCGAATGATCGATTATATAAAAACAGGCATACTAGATTAAAAAATACAGGATATACCACAAATTTCCGGCCAGTTTAAAAAAGTCTTTCATCAAATTGTTGCAGGATCGTTTCGCATCTATCAGAGTAGAAAAAGATAATAAGTTGTGCAACTTATTGCAATAAACGATTCAACGCCGTACTTGTAATAAAAGCATTCTTGTTGAAATGTCCAAAAATTCTTAGCCCATTTAGTGTACTAGCGTATTTAAGCTACAGAAATTCAGATGTGCGGTTATAGTTGATTTAAAAAAAAGTATGTCTGCCTAGTCTCGAGAGTCAACATTTTCGAAGCACCAATTGATAAACCCGCTTCATCTAAACGCTGCCAACGATTATAGGTACGACGGCTGCTTATGCGAAGCAGCTAATCTTTGGGAGCAAGGCGAATAAGAACGGTTCAACGGCGGCGGCGGCGGCGCCACCATCTGGTACAGGCGGAGGTAGGTTTGTTTCCTTTGCCCTTATAGCCACGTAATCAATGGCCTGTTCTGAGTAAAGTTCAGTTGGGTTTGTTTCTCAGCGGATCGGATATGGTTTCGACACACATTTGGAGACTACGCGGTTAAGAGGCCAAGGTGCATACCTCACAGTCTTTATTGTGCTGTCTAACGAGACGCTAAAAGCGGAAGTTGTCGGGCACTATGGGCCGAGGGCAGGCAAAGGAAAAGAATTGCGTTTCTTTTAGCTTTGGTAAAGGGTAAATAACGTTTTTATCGGATAGGCGAACATCTGTCAATATAAATACGAGGTACGATGGGAAAAAAGTTTGACAGTGATTAGAAAATAATGACTATGGCATGAATTAGCAAGGTTTTCAGTTTATGAAAAATACACACAGCGCACAGTATACAAATAGGATGTGTGTTGATAGCACTACTGTTGTTGTTATTATGGTAGTGTCGTTTGGTTAATACATTGCGATCAACATAAGGATTGAAAACCGATAAAATGGCGGCTAAAATATCGGTCGTTTTGAAGTTTTTTTTTGAACATTTGTCCATATCTTAGTCGATTGTTAAATAATAGTATTACGTTGCGTCTAGGGTATGGCGGTGTAAAGCCAAATTGCAAATCTGTAAGTAACATCGCATTCAGATATTTGCTTTTACATTTATCTGATGCGTTGATAGCTTACAGTGCGGTTCGATAAGGGCTACACAATCGTTGAGATTTTTCCACTGAGACTATTTTCTAATTTTCATGCCATGACTGTTGCTGCAACAGCATAATGCATAGTCGAACTAGTTGTTTAAGTTAGAAATCACATTGATTGCGCCAAGGCAGGATGCAAAGATATCCGCGTGATAGTATAATGATAATGTATTTGCCCACTAAACCTTGGGACTCGTGGTGGTCTAGGTTCGAATATGGGCGTAAAGAAATCTTTTTTTCGTGGTGGGAATTAGCCGTTTGAAGCCGTGACTAGGCTTAAGTACTGGGCATAAAACTCTTAATATTTCATGTGAGATGCAAAGGCATATAGGCCATTTTCACAAAAAACCTATAGTAACAAGGTTAGGCTTAGCTGGTGTAAGGCCTTTCCAGTAAGCGACCGTTCTTCAGGTACCTCTGGAAACTGCGAGGTCATGGAGTACCGCATTCGTTTGATGAGGGGTGTTAATCGGTGTTTCTTTACGTACGATGACCTGCAGGCGGAGGAGTTGGTGGCATGCGGCACGCTGAGAGCTACACATCACGACGGAACAGCTCGGAGCCGAATATTTATGAGGAGATTGGCTCCAGCTGTTATTCGGAATACGGCCTGCCGCAGATGCTTCAACAGCAACAACAGCAACAACCGCAAGCCAATGCAGGACCGCAGCAAGGTAAGACATCAATCATGTTTTTCATAGAATTCTATCAATCGGGTTCTCGTTATAACTGTTTAGTATTATCTAACCGTTATACTGATCCGCTCCAATTGATAATATTCATTCATATTACAAGAACAAGTGCGTGAAGGTTACGTTATCTCGAATGACTTGGTAAGTTTAGTTCAGAACCTGTGTCGTACTTTGTGGAACAAGCGTTCAGAAAGAAGGTATATATCGAATCTACTTGCAAGAGAAAGCACAACGCGCGGGATATATCTAGATGTGGCCCATGTGGAAATGTTGGTTCGTCTGGAGGTTTGATTTGCATTCGTCAACTGCCGAGACGATTGACGAGACATTAGGGCAGGGGAAAGCTGAAGCCAAAAATGATAAGAACTAGCAAATATTTATTTAATTATATATAAGCAGGTAGGATTGGCTCTGTGCAATAATATTTGTTTGAAGATGTCGCATCGCCTATTGTAGACGCATAAAATAAGATTGCACGTATTTTGAAGGGACTGACAAACAACACTGGCGATTTTCTCACTAGGTGTTTGCGCTGAGGTCAGCCGCGTTGAAGAAAGCCATGCGCACATTTTGGAGAATCTCAATCTTGAAGTGGAGTCGATGCTTATGCCTCCGGCTGAACAAGCTGCCCATCTAAAGGCCGCACCGGCGAGTAACGGTAGCGCAGGTCTTGTTAACGGCTCGCAGGCAACGACACCCAAAGAACAACGTGAAAACAATAGGGATGAGGTGGTCAAGCAGCATAGTATGCCAGTAACAGGTACGGTCATCGTCGAAATCTACGTATACCTACTGTATTTATTAATCTTGGTGCTGTCTGCTTAATATTAGGTCCTTTTTTTAGTAAAAGTTTTGTTCGATATTTATTAGGTGTATATCTGAGAATGTTATAGCTGGAGAAGTGGATTTTCTCTTTGTAAAAATTTTGGTTTAAGGGTTGTTTTCTTGACCGAATAGTATCCTTTTTTCACAAGAAAAGTTATATACTGAAGGGTTTCGGTGCCAACTGAGGACTTGCGATGAGACGAGTCCAGATACTTATCTTTATTTTCCTATACATATCTCTACGTTTTCGCACCTAAAAGCGAGACAAAGTCGACGGCGTAGACACGCAAAGCCAGTGCCACCTCGCCGTTGTTAAGCAATATTATGATCACAGCGACGGGCAGTGTCGTACACGTCTCAGTGCATTCTGTAGTTTAGTGGTACAATTTCCTTCGCTTAAACAGTGTACAAGTAACTATTGTTGTAGCAACAATTAAACGGTACCCTAGCTAACACACATGATTTAAACTATTTAATGCCTGTCTGCTCGGCTGTAGCGTTCTTCATTACAGTTACTGTGACTGTAGGACGAATGATTCACTATCCTAGATGCTATTGAGAAGCTCCAAGCTGCAGATAAGCTAGCTTTTTGTGGGAATTGTTTCGCATAATTTGTTCTCCTGACGGTATTCTGTTTTTTTACATTGAACTCCACGTAGGAGCCTTCGCTCATGCCACTAATTCAGAGCAACCTGCTCAACAATATAATGACGGTAGTCGGCAGCATTGCCATAAAGGTTGCCTCATTAAAATGTGCAAATTGATGAAAAGACTCTATGCAAACGTACCAATATGTATAATAAATATTTTAGGTCCATTACTAGCTTTAAGCATTGCTTTAGACGATCCAGCATAAATATGTCGGAAATTAGATTGCTACGTGCCGTAAAGTTTATCGAAGACTGATCTGTACATCATCACGAAGACACACAAGTATACAAATCAAATGTAGTAGATTGGTCCTAGTTAAAAATATCTTTATTGTCGAGCGAAACATTGTTTATTTAGTTATCCTACCTACATTCTAACTCTAACAGCAACTTAGAAGGAAGAACCGCTGCGGCTAAAAAACCAGAATGTGCTTTTGAAGTCTGAACAGACTTTGCTTAAGAAGTAGTCTTACATAGTATTGCTTGTTATTACCGGTACATATAGGAAAGTTGTTGACGAAGCAAAACGCGTTGTCAAACAGCTCCTCGTCAGGAGCAGACCATGTGTACCAATTATATGATGACGGACATAAGGATAACGACAACATCTACGAGGAGGTAGACATTTACCAAAGGCAGTTAGGCCTGGGTATGGCAGGAGGTCTCGGTGGACTAGGTTTGGCCGGTCTTGCAGGACTCGGACAGGGGGTTCCAGAACACAGCCTCACTAGATGGTTCTCGACGAGAGCGCGAAAGGACTCCAGAAGGCTGGCTTCTCAGCAGAACCTCAATAACCTTCAGCAGCCACCCGGCCAAGGTAAGTCGACAACAATGGACTAGACAGTGTTACGTAAGCTTATTAGAGACGTGTTCGGATAAGTTATACTGTGATTATTGCGCCAGCTTTGAACTTAACGGTGTTTTGTGAGCGTATCGTTACCTCTATTACTCTTTCACCGTTTCATACTTCGCATCTTGACATATCGCTATCTTATTTAGCAGAAAGAAGCGCATTTTTAAGTGCAAAGCGTTGTGAAGTTTTTATAAAGCCTAGCATCGATATTTTCCTGTAAAGTGGCTTAAGCGCACCCTAATAAAAATTACGTACTACCGCAGATTAGCTTGAGCGCTAGTTGATATTATCTGATACATGATAACACGCCGTTTGTGTCATCAACATCATATAACGCGTTCGTTTTTTTGTCCACGTGAATATTTTCTGGCAATTCTGCAGAAAGCGGCTGCAACGGTGGCGCAGGCGGAGGCGTAGCTGGCGAAGGGGGTGGTGAATATGAATGTGACCCTCTGTGGACGGGTTCAGGACCCCGCGGAAGGAAGCAACGCCGGCCACCTCTCAGTCTTCCGCCTATGCCGCAAGGTTTAAGTCCGGAACAGGTCAAACGACGTCTCATTGTGAACACGATTGTCGAGTCCGAGAACTGCTATGTTTCGGCGCTTCATAGGTAATCATGAAGTGCGATAAACACTCTAAAAACGTAAAAGATGCCTGCTACCTGGGAGATGCTATATTGAAATAGCGAAATCCGCGCAATTTACCTTGAGTATTTCGAAGGTTGGTCTTCGCCGAGGTGTTTTGCAAGTGTTTCGTCAATATGGGACACAGTCGTCTGATGTGGACTTCGAGTGTAATATCTAAACGTAACTTATTCTCTATAAATACAGTTAATCTTATACCCTAATAAATGGAAAGATTCTTTTTTTAGGTTAATTGTCGATTTCAAGCAGCCACTGCAGCGATGTTCGCCACCATTGCTATCTGCTCATAAGGTATGAGAATGACTGTTATACATGCATATATAGAGCGGAGTAAAAATAGGGTTACAGGGCAAAAAGACTTGAATGTACAACTATGGAAAATTTTAGCTTCGAGTCTCGAAGAGCATCGACTTACAGTTAGAACAGAAGTAGGTATCAACTGGAAGCTTTTTCTCCTTTGGAAGATAATTTTTTTTACCTTTGGACGTACGTTATTCTTCCCCTTAGGCCTATTTCTGCCACACTCAACAATATTTCTTACAGACTAAATGGTAGAAGATTATACATCGGGGTTCAATTGTTCTGCATCTAATCCGCTAACAGAATCGCAATTCGTCATTATTAAATATTGATCCGTATGAATGTCTTCGTCTTTAAGAAGCTTAAAATTTTACAAAACTATCAAGTTAGAGCGTGTTATAATCCATAATAATTTTAGTTTGATTAGATCTTTCCCACCGTCTTCCTTCTATGGTAGTCATGGATACTAGAACAAACATCGACATTTATGGTTAACTATATTGTTCTAGGTGGATATTATGTTCCATCGGGTAGAGCAGATCCTTCAATGTCACACAATTTTCGGAATTGCTCTTACGCAGTGCGTTTGGGAGTGGGACCAGAAAGTAAGTCGATGGCGCATCAAAACCACCCCAACCAACTTATTTACAGCCATAATTAAAAAGATCTAAGACTACGTTGCCACACGAAATGTGTAAAATAGCTCTTTATAAATAAAATAGGCCATTACATGACCAATATGATATTATGTAAGGCGAAATAGTTTGTTTTAACTAAGCATTCATAAAAGGTCTTCAATACACTTGTCCTTTTATCTAAATATTCATTTTTGTCGTTTTCATACAATTCTTTTATCGACATCCTTACATTTGTGTCAACTAGGAAATGTTAGGAGACGTTTTTCTTGCGGCCTTTTCAAAGAACCACGTCCTCGAAATTTACTCGGACTTTGTGAACAATTTTACGACAGCTATGGACACAGCACGTCAAGCCTCTGCTTCAAAGCCCCAGTTGGCGCACTTCCTTAAGGTAAGCTGACCGAAGAAGGTGACCTCACAAACAAACGCACAAATCAATGACAACAATTCTCTATGTCAGTACCAATTTCGATGCTTTGACGAGCGATTAAATAAGTTTATGCAGAATTCACTGGTTGGCGTTTTTCGTATAACATTGAGATGAAGCGAACATTCACTGGTATCGTTCGCATTCGTTAAAACATCGAAGCTTTGAACAACGTACTTAGTATCTTAAACGTAAAGTCACGTTACCGTGCTAAACTATATGATGCGTGATTTAGTGTTTGGCACATTTTTATTTTTAATATTACTCGTGAGGCATTGGTTCCAACTCGTATAGCTGACTATGCGTGCAATTCGGTATGTCTACACTCCGCTGATGTCTCTAATGATGGACTAAACTCATGTGCGATGTACATAATTATGCCAATGTGCACGATTTCCAATCGTGAGATCGCCGGTTCCCGACTCGTATCTGTTGATTAGTTTAAAGTATCTTGGTTATTTGTTATTTTTTCGTACTCGTAATCGATGTGGACAGCTCTAAGAATCGAACCAAACATGTACAAGGTTTAGTCACTGAAAGAATATTTAACTAAAGATCCACAGAGACAGAGAGGCACTATTGAACAATCTGTCGGGTCTGACCACTTCATAGGCCTTCAAGCCAACTATCTTTCTGACCTATCTGGGCTCTCCTTCCACTAACGCTTTCGGTATGTCTATCGCTTTTCTCTCCTTGGAATTGACACAACTTCCTTTTACGTCTAGGAAATGTCCTTATTCTTGAGTGTAATATGCTCTTTTTATGCGCTTCATTATTATGGTAAACGGATAAGTAACGAATACTATGCTGTCATAGAAAAACACTTATGTGTTGATTGGGTATAGACCGCCATGTTTTTGGTAAATACGACTGGACATTTTTAGGTAGCTAAGAGAAAATACACGTAATTAAATTGCTCAAACACAACTGATTTGTTTTAGTCGTAGATAGAGCCTAATCATAGGTAAATATAGCATAATTCCAAATCATAGCATAACTTCATGGATCAGAAAACCTTGGAGAATCCCCGACGCTGGGAGTGCCGTTCATTTCCCTTCGCGCAGCTCTACGGGTTTCTAGACTAAAAGCTAGGTACGCCGATGTTATAGACTCAGTCATCTGGTGTTACTAGAACTACGACGTATAATTGAAAGAGCGTTGTAGCATCGTTCTTTGTGAGCGCCTGTCAGGCGACCTTGTGATCAACACGTCTGCGCCCGCTAAATGGCGCAATAGCCGTGGTGCACCTTTTTCCGTTGTTGTTTATTTCTCTGTCGTTGTAGGCGCCAACGTCGGGGCTTCTTCATGATGCCAGCCTCGCCGTGCACGCGGGTATTCCTCACCAGTATCGGAAGGTAACCGAAGCAAATCCGAAGTTGCTCATTTCCCCCAAACAGAAGAAAGACTTAGAATACTTTTGAGTAGTGATCGTTATTTGTTTTTGAGTATGGGTGTGAAAATGTTTTTTGTGTCTGTGTGGATGCGTGCCCGGCGTGTGGTCTATATATGTGTATAAATAACAAGACGTAAGCTTAGGACCACTCGGTGGCACGTGGTCATTACTTTTTCGCCTGGTCTGCTCATCGAGGATCGCGCAATATGGCTTGACTTCAGTATAACCCTAGTGAAGATAAATTGATTTCCTGGAATGAGCCCTATTGGAAATTAATGTTTGGTTGTCTGCGTTTTCAAATAAAGTGTTCATTGATGTTTGTCGACTTCGGTAGTTTAGTAGCAATAAACAACGCAGTAGAAATTAGGTATACTGATGTGTTGCTCCTTCTCGACAAGGGAGCGTTTTAATTCAGCGTTCTTGTTTACGAATAGGTATTCAAATAGTATGTTGAGTAGAAAAGTATTTGTTGATTACTTTAATTGCCCTAGGGCAGTTGCTGGTTTCGCTTGATAGCGCACGCTTCCATTCCACTATCCCTCGCTGTGTTGTGCATGTTGTATGGGTTACATATGAATATATGCATGCTCCATATATAGACACTTCATTTTTTTTTTGATGTAGCTAGATTCGTAATAACATCCGGCTTACGGAGTTCCAACAGTCGATAGTTCCTTCATAATGTGCTTTAATAGCCGCATGCCGATAGCAGAGTACTGGCAGCTTTTTGCATGAGCCTCGGATAAGTAGCTATAATACGACTTAAGGGTGAAAATGTACTAGCAGCCTTCTAGTGATTTTCCGTGTAGCACAATGCGAAAATTCTGATACAAAAACGTTCAGTTTATTCGGCTTACTGTTATTTGCCTTTACCGGATATAAATCTAATGGCGAAATGATTAATACTTCGTTAGTTAGTACTAATAATTAGTTACGATAAATTTTATTCTGTTCTAGAATGCCACTGCATAAAGATGTTTCTTTAGATAATAAGCCCTTTTCTCGAGTTCTGCAGCATGTCAGTTTCCAATTAACGCGCTTAATAATCTAGGTAGATAGCATGAATACTTTCTGTTAATGACGTGTGCTTTTTCCGTTATATCAATGTATCAGACTGTACGTACAATATCTAACACGTTAATTTATCTTGTCGTTGACGTTGCGCTCGTCACCGCGTCTTCTGCCCTGCTCCGCTTCGTCAGATGCGACAGGTATACAGTAGTGACCGATTGGGCTTTTACGGATTGATGGTGAAACCGGTTCAGCGGTTTCCGCAATTTATCTTGCTTCTACAAGATCTACTAGCAAACACCCCAAGCGAGCATCAGGATCGGCTTAGTCTGGAGCTCGCGCTCACACAGCTTGAGTGTCTGGCTGAGGCACTCAATGAGCGGAAACGGATCTGCGAGCAGAATCAAGCCGCTCGCGAACTAGCAAAATCGCTTGGTAGTGCAAAGGTTCGTATAGAGGCTTGTCACGTTGGTTCAAAACGAAACTCAATTTCAAAATAGAGCCTGCTGAGGTAAACCAACTAAGTGTATCATCAAACAAACAACAGATGGAGCGACTAAAGTTTGTCTTAACACCCTATTGATCTGAAGTTGATATTGTATATGAGGAAAAACTAAACTCGCTGTCCTTTATTCGATAATCCTTAAGGGACTATATTGAGTTTCCTGCTATCATGTGTGTTACTGGTTGCTTTGACCTTTGTCGGTCTCTTTGTATACGCAGAGAGCGAAAATGGCTCTATAAATTCAACAAATTTGTTTTTACCCAGATTGGATCAAAGGGAGTGGAACAGCTGCTGGTACGACAGGACGACGCGAGTCAATTGGAAATGGACTCGACAGGGTTGGTCGTGAAGACGAAGGCGAGACGCCTACTGATGTTAAGCGATACGCTGGTGTGCGCCTCAGGCGACGGAAAGAACAACGTCAAGTGGAGCGTGCCCATCGTCGAGGTAAGTAAACGATCTTCAAAAGCTACTCTACTATCCATATCACTATCTCTGTGGCTAAAAGATTTGTTGACTATAGCAGTTAATACTTGTACGTCGTTGGTTATGCTCGATAATCTAAGATCATGATCAATTGTTCGCATACTTTGCAACGATCTATGAAAATAATGACTGTAGAGTCCATTGAGCATGAGAGCCTGATTTTTTTCATTTTTAAAATGATCAAGGGGTTTACTATCTAACTTGTTTTCCGCGCTGTTTCGACATACGCAGATTATACAGACTATAATAGACAAATAGACATGGAAAATATTAGTCGGTGCTTCCCCGGTGTAGCGGGTCGCGTAAATATTTTGATTAGATTATTTCGGTTCGGTGTTGGCTTTTCAAAACCTATCTGCTCCGTGTCAGATTGTGACCGCACAGAAGCCCTCCACTGTAAAAAAATATGGCTATAGAGTTTTTAGAAGGCGTAGAACACGGATGAATGAAGTTCCGGTAAATACCCAGGCATAACGTTTGCATAACTACAGCGAGCGTGTATAATGTTTATCACCAAAATAAACATTGACTACTGCTTAGAAGCTAGGCTTGACTTAGCTACGGTTTCCTGTGACGTTTGATGTGATTTCAACGACTTTCAATTTTTTGTTTAGACCAATGCTCTCTCGGCGGAATGGGCTGAGAGCTTCGTTTTGTTGCTGAGGGTCATTAATAAGGTGGATAAGCTATTGGGTTACCAATGGTTAGAAAACAGCGTCAGTTGAGAATAGAATCGGCATTAAGGTAAAAAAGAATAGAGCCATTTTGGACGTTATCGATGACCAAAATAGAAGAGACTCCCTCAGCTCCATGTCCAATTGAGGTTATAATAAGGTCTCAGAATAACTTGGTAAAGGGTACACGCGTTCTATTTATAGCCTGGTTGCCAACTAAAACTGTGTCGCTTTTAGCAGCTTTGGTGACAAGTGTGGTGCCGCTATACTCACTTTGACAGCTGCCTGAACAGCTGCCGTTTTAGCATTACTGGGGACTGCCATGTTATGACTAACGGGTCTTGGGTTACTTCGAAGTAACCGGCTCCTCACATAAAATGGTCATCACTTTCGATTCAATAATATTACGAGTGAAAGGACAAATCGTAAAGCCATGGTCGTGCTTAATTTACTACTGTTATCGTAATTCGCTGGGCCTATGAATGAGGTTAACCTATAGTATCGTTAGCGGACACTGATCTCGTGAAATCGAAGCTAAAAACAACTTAAAAATATACATGAACGGTTGGTACTACTATAACGAACAGTTATATTACTACGCATTGAAGCTGTTCTGAGTTAGTTAGTGACTTTGAGGAAGGTACTTATGTTCGTATTTTGTCGAACCTGTCTGTGTCCTAGAGAACCCTGAATTCATTAATGATGTAACCACTGTCGAGGTGCTGTTACCGGGCCAGCCTAAAACGAATGCCGATGTCAACGATCCTTGAGCGGTTTCCTCTATTGTCGAAGTACGTACAGTTAGTTATGTTATGAATCTCTCCTTAAGCTTTGGGTTGGACAATTAAGATGACTTGGTGTCGCTCTCTTCAAGACGCTATTGAGGACATTTGATAGGGTGGGGTAACTATTAGACGAAAAAGTATATTCAATATGTTTGGGCCGGGATGGGTGAGCTCGTGAGCACGGCAAATACCGATGGCTTTCGATGTTTCGTTGGTGTTCATGGTGCAGCTTTTGCTGCTGCTGATGCTGTCGTTGGCGTCGTCGTCGTTGTCGCCTCCGCCTGGCGAACGGAAATAACCCTGGAAGGCAACTGAGAGACAAGGGTTGGTTTGCTGGTTGACGAGGGTGATAGCGTGGTTCGAACGTTAGATATTGTCCTCGTTGATCCTCGTAACGGTGATGTTCTCTGAGTATCCGACGTTCTTGATATGCGCAGTCTTCTGCCCTGTGCTGTTATAGCATTTGTACTTTTTCCGTTCGCCATTCGATTTGTCACTGTTTTACTTGAGCTATGGAACGGTGACCGAGTTGTTTGTGTGTATAACCTGCCGTGAGCAATTACTACCTGTAGGTAAAAACGTAAACGAAATTCCTTATTGTGTAATGCGCTGTCTGATCCTTACTTGTGTATGTATCGACATAACATAAAAGCTAGAGATTTAAACAAAGTAAGATTTATTCGCGAGAACCTATTTGGAATCCAAAGTCTGTCTCTGGTCAGTATAGATGTGCTCAAAAGATACGGCATAGATAACCTTTTGAAGCGGACTCGGGTATAATTGCAGTATCCCACTAGTTGGGGGTGTCATCACTATTACCTTCGGTAAGCATCGATGAATTCGTTGATACCTAATGCCGTTGTTGAGAACTGTGCGTATGCATTTGACTATAGGCACATAGGCCGTAAGGCGACCGTTAACTTGGTATGCATCCTCTTTCGGAACGGTTATCTGTACCAAAAGAAACAGTTGACAAAGAAACACACTTTAAAACGTACTGATCTACCAAATAGCAACCATCAGGTACTTCGCATATTACTGATACACGCTTCACCTTTGAAGGCTCACTTCGGTTACACAAGCAGAAATGGCAACGCATTAGTGAGGGCTAGTGCACAAAGGACAGGGATCAGTGACATCAACGCGGTTATATACAGCACATTCTGAAGTTTGACAAACCGAAGGTTTCAAACAGCGCGTTTCAAACGTTTGCCGGCGATCTATAGCAGAATCCGCAGGGCTTTTTAGAGTACGGCGGGAAGTCTTGTCCTGTTGTTTATACTCATTGGAACTTTATCTTAACCGCTTCACAACATAGTTTCATCATTATATTCACTGTTCAATCTTACCTGAATGGTTCCGTCGGGCAAGACCGTACGGCGAAGTATCCTAGCGTAGTGACGTTGCGGGTGTCCCACTTCACAAATGGCTATCAAGCAAAGTAACAATATCTGATTCCACGTAATTTGACTGTGACGTTCCTGAGCCATGGGGGCACCGACTTTCTGCCCGTACAGGTTATACCGTTTTTTCGAAGTGACGAAATTTTATTTCAGATAATAACAGCTAATAACTTAGAAGATAGTAGGTCGCTGATCACGATCGCTTATTAGTCTTTTGTTCTGAAGATACTTTACACAAGCAAGAGTCAGACAAAGCCTTTCCTGAACTAATCTGCATCATTAAATAGAACCGTATGTGGAATTGCAGCATTGAAATAAGACTTTCGATACGATACATTGTTATATTTGTTAATCGCTCTAAATAGAAATTCAGAACCTCGCGGCCATGACCCAATCATGTCCCGGTTGTTCTCTGAATATACATGAGTTCGTATTCCGAATCGAATAAGCCTAGGATTACTAATGAACTACATGCAGGCAATAATAGCAATTGATTAAAAAGGCGAGTTAACGTAGAAAGTGCCCATCAAAACTGCATTTTAGTTTGCCGAACAGCTTAGATATCAGGGGCAAAACTCGAGGTATCAGCCCTAATTGTATTTGATATTACAGGTACAAGTTATTTTTCTCTTTGTTTTTCTTCATGAACTTGATTTGCCACCTATAAACCACTCACCACCCGACGATGCTCTTGGCTAGTTACATAAGACAGTTTTATAATTCGAATTTAACCGTTATCCTCGCAAGAGGTCTTTGGCCTACTAAACTCCCTACTATCGTTGATACTTCGAACGAACCTTCGATAACTGTCCGTGAAGTTTATTGATTATCGGAGCTCAGTTCTTCTAAGAATGATATAACCGCCCTTTTCTCTAATCGTATATCATCCAGACAATGGCAGACGTCCTACTGTCTTGCTTGAATGTTTCGATTCAATTTTATTTTGTTTCGTTGGTAGTTACAGATCGCTGGCGATTGCAGCGCCGATATTGTCGTAAGCATCCAGTTGATACAGTTATTGACAGTGAGCTTCGATTTCAGCATACCACATAGAGCATCATTCTAGACTACTGTACTAGCAGCAGCTGAACTGAAAGGGGAAATCTGTCAATATTGACAACGCTGCCTCGACGGCAGCATCTGTCAATTACCTACATCTCTATAGGCTTTCTGATAGACACAAAGGACAATAGGGGGAAACTGAACGCTTTGGGCTGGCAAGCCAACAGTTAATGTCAATAGAGTTTACACAATTGTTTAGGTAGGCGTTAATAATAACAGCATTATCTAATGCAGTACAGGCTCTGAACTGAAAGAATGTCTAAAAAGCTATACTGAATGAAATGGAGGAAAAATAAACTGTTCCTCGTCAATTGACAAGGTTGATCAACCTTGGTTTTTCATTTGGTTTGAGTAACCAAATAAATTAGAAAATTGGATATAACTATCGTGCCGTACTCGGCAGTCGGATTAGTGGAAAGAAACGTCGTTCAGGCTGACGCCAGATCAATTTTTATGAAGCATCATTTTGTGTGTTGGCGTGTTTGTTTACTACTCTATTTTTTGTCCGTATGGGAGCAGAAGATGTAGATAATGAAGTGGAGGCTCCTTCAGAATGATTTTGCCAAACATACAACGCTGCCGTTATGTCCTCATTATATATATATATATATATATATAGCTGCGTTAGGCTGGCTTGCATTAATGTATAAAGATTTTTTTGTTAATCGTAGATTCTGATTTTCTACTCTAACGTCAAAACACTTTTCTCTTTGTAGCCTCGGGGTTGGCAAAGCGAATGATTGCATTGGACTTATTATCCACTGAGGTATTAATTGAACACTTCCAGTATTCAGAAGTCAGCAAACAATATGGACCTTCAGTGCATTATTAGAAATGTCGTATACACCAAAGTTTAGTCCACAAATAGTATTTGTTTGATCCTGTCATTAGATGTAACCACCGTCAGGTGGATAAGGTTTCTTATTATGGAGCTATTCAGCTGCTTCTACGCCCGTTGTAGAAAGGCAAATGTTGCCCAAACATAGCCAAATAAAGGGGTTCCTAACATAAAAAAACAGCAGTCTCAAAACATGAGCTCCCTATTGCTGTCATGCTTTATAGTATCAACGGCAGACGTAGCGACTGGCATGCCGTCGTCAGATTTTCAAAAACGTCCATTTTGGCTTCCTCTGGGGGCTGACATATGAACACAAGTTAGTTACAAGGTGGAGGGCACACGAGCTGTTCTGTAAACGGAACATAAACATGCTTTGTTCATTTTCTCGCTTTTATCATGCTGCAGTAGTGATAATAGCAGCTATAACGATAAAAATAATACTAGAGTGTTGGAAATGATTAATTTAGGCTAGAGCAGACGTGCATAGGGTCAGCGTCGCTTTACTGACCTCCTTCAATTTAGATCAGTTCTAACTTGCATGGCCGCAGTTCCCTATTCTAGCAGCAATTATTTGTTGCGGCCATTAAATTTTATTGCCATAGCGTTATGTGATCGAAATATTTGGGAGATAAGGGAAAGAATGACAGCGCGTTTGCCTCAGAGCTTAGCCATTCTTCTTATAGTGTTCGTTCCTATTGTTCAGCGATTCGATATATTCCTTTCATTTAGTCATCGTTTTAGCATAGGATCAGGCTATGGAACCGTGCTGCTATAGTCTGGGCACGCACATTGTTAAACATTGTTAAAACGGTCTCAGGCTATCATTTTTGTGTGACTGTATGTGTTTGCGTGTAGGATGTGCTAGAAGTAAACGCCTTGGTGACGTGTTTAGCTACGTTCATGTTAACCCTTAGGTAACGTCGACGTTCCAAGCTTTGTCGTTAGTATTTCCTTTTTTTTTCTTAATTTGTTCCAGGTGGAAGTTTTGGAGGACCTTTCAGCGCGCAGTCTGCTAGCAGGACGCGCGGCACTTGCGACGACGCCGCATTTTCTCATGCCGCATTCAGACGATGCGAAGCAGGCCGCTATTGACGAGCTGGCCGATCTCGTACACGATCTCGAAGTGATGAACAGGTAAATGCGCTGTTTGACACGTTTAGACTTTGCGACCGTCCAGAAGCAGACAACGCGGAAATAGCTGAACGCCTTACCATTACGCGCTTGGCCAATCTTCGTTTCGCTCGGGCTTCCTTTAAGTGTTGCAACATTAGAAGCGTCATCAATACACTAGTTTCATATTTAAAGTTACCATAAACCAGCAGTGTTAGGTCAGTAACAGAATGGACCTTGAACACGTTTTGAAGAGCCTTGTGCTAATGAAACAATAAACTTGAGCTCCTATTGAAAAGCCGTCTGCGTTAGATTTTAAAAGCCAGCGAATAACAACTCACAGAAGTTTGCAGAACACAGTGCTCTTACGACCTATAGTATTATTCCTATTTCTCTTTCCACGTATGGGCTGCCTATGATACATCAACGGATTCAACATCTGAAATTTTCCGTGTTTAGAGCACTCCAATAGGGTTTAAAGAGAAACATGACATAGAAAAATAAGTTGGCAGTTGCAAAATCTTTAGTCAATTAATTTGCCTAAAAATGCTCATTTTAGGTTCCAAATGTTAGGTGACATTCACTTCACTTCACTTTACTGTATTGTTATTATTTATGATAATTTCAATAAAGTAACTATTACATGTAATATTGCATTATCTGTACGCCTCCGCAGAGTTTGTGGATTAGTAGCGACGCTGAAGCGGCCTCCGTCGGCACTGCCACCGGTTGAAGCGCTGTTTCAGGCAGCCCGATGCATTCAGGAGGCGATCAAGGCCAAGGAAGAGGAGGTGGCGGCAACAGATAGCGCCTGTCTCCAGCTGTGTGTGCCCGTCAAGGGATCAATATTCTTTCAGTTCTGCAGCTCGACGACGAAGCGGGACTGGCTAACGGACCTGCGGTTATGCAAGATGTGGTTAGACTCAGATAACCAGCCGGCATGGGAGACGCTGCCGACGGCGCTGGCCAACGAAGCGCAGTTGGTCGTCAATAAACACCCGCTACTGTCGAAAGTGATGCCATTATTCCAGGCCACCCAGGCCACCGAAGTGAATTGCGGTTGCTACTACACCGCTCTCTCGAAGCCCAACGGCGAGAAGAGCTTCCAGCCACCCCATTATCTATGGCTGTGCAGTACCGACGGCATCAATTCGCACATGGTCATTCTTCAGCAGGGTTTATCGGGAGGGCACTCAATGCGGCCTGTCGGAGCATTCGACCTGCCGGAAAGCCAAATAACGGCCATGGAATGTGCGCCTCCGCCACGCGAATGGTGTCCTGCGGGCCAGGCCCTCGAAGATGTGGCGGAAACTGTCTGGATTGCGACGGAATCTAAAAGGTGCGGACGAAATGTAGAGTTGCACCGCTGTGTCAACATGTGGTGTTAATATATAGCATTTGCATGATCAGTCCGTGATGGAATTTTCTGTTGCATCTTGATTTGAGTTATTGCTTTCTTAATTAGTATATATTGTACAATACCTTTTTAATGTGCTACACACTTCTCCGTCTGTGCACAGATGTCTGTATGTGTATATAAAGGTGTGGTTATTAAATCTAACTGGCTAACAACTGCACAACTGAGAGTTGTATTGCAGATTTCGGCCAGTACGTATCTCAACAACGCCAGCTACCTGCTCATTATAGTACCCACCAATGATATACTTCACCAACGTGACACCCCATTCACATAGACACCACAAGGAATTCCACAGTAATAAATGCCCACGTACATACAGAATTAAACTGAATCGTTTAATTAACTTTGTTTACCTTTTCTCTTTACGCTTTCTTATCACTATCATTATTGTTATCATCATCATCAGGTTGATCCTCTTGCTGGCGTCGTGTCCGGACAAATGGACTGAAGTTGGAAACACGCTGGTCACGTCGCCCGCTACGCAGATCAAATACTTCAACGCTAATGTATACGTGGCCCTGTCGAATGGGCAGATCTACGTATACTCTCGGCTATCGGACGGCACAGGTGCGTGGGACCTTGATCATCCGATTGTCGTGACACTGGGTGCTGACCCAGTAACGTCGCTGCTTGCATGCGCACGCCAAGAGGCGCTGCTGGCGGCATGCGGGCCCAAAATTTGGCGCATTGATGGCCACTCACAGCAGGTGCTCGACGAGCACGAGCTTCATGTGCACCACGGACACAGCAATCAATTCCATCCCGACCGGGAACGTCCCGAGCAGGGAGAGCACGCTAACCTTATAGCGGCGGCTGGCACGGGATTATGGGTAAGTCAGGTTCTTTTGTTGTCGAGGACCTTTGTTTTTGAGGAGCGACGAAATTCACGCTGTTCAATTTCGGCTGCCACGTTCTCAGTAGTAGCTTAAACCGGGACTAGACGGACTTCGTTCTCTGTCGGGAGATGTTTGGAGCAACACTTAACGGCAGTGATGCTGTAAATTTCAAAATATATATTAGTAGTAGCAGTTATCGCTGGTGTACGATTGTCTTGGAAATGGCTAGGTAAATAGTCTCATCTATATAAATAATGCTAATAAAAATCGTTATCCTAATTACATTGTAATATTATGCTAACGTTCGTTGCCCGACTTAAATAGGTCTCAACCGTAAATTCAAGCCTGCTATGTCTCTACCATCTGGAGACTTTCAAACATCTTCAAGACATCGATGTCTCACCACCAGTCGTGCAGATGCTGAAAACACCAGCTGCATCAGTTTTTATCACATCGTTACAGGTGTCACGGGGCCTACTCTGGGCTGGCACCAATGTCGGCGTTGTGGTTACCTTGCCACTGCCAAAACTCGAGGGTATCCCCTTAGTGCCCCGTGGTTCAGTGTCTGCATCTTACCATGGCCACCAGGGCGCGGTTACGTTTTTGATAAGCCTCGGTCCTTCAGATCACCCTTCGTCAGGGATCTCAGGGGGCTTACCTGGGCTACCAACGAGTGGCATGGGCGTCAGTCAACCAGCACAGACGTCAAACAATGGCCAAACGGGCGATGGCGAATCGATCTATGACTTGTACGCGGACTTGATGCATCTACAGGAATACGAATTTTATGACGAGTCGTCGGAGCGCCTCAATCGCTCGGAGCCGGAACTAATCCAACTGGCTGACCCTGCAAGTCGGCCTCGGTGCGTACGACATCCCCTTATTACCAAAGCACCTTATATAATTTACGTATTTTCGAAAGTTATTACACTAGCCGTAAGACCCTAACCATATAATTAACTGTAATTGTTTTTCATTCTATCCTTTACCACTTCTATTTCTTTAACGATCTTATTAATTACGTCTATACTAGGTTTCTTTGAAAGCAGTAAGGCATTATCTTGATTACTGTATTGTTATTGATCGTCGACAGGTCGTGGGATATGTCCAGTATGGATGTGTCGGCCCGTGGCAGTGAAGCGGACGATACTGAAACCTCGCAGCAGAGCGAGACGCCTTTACATCCAGCTCCAGCGGCCACGCCACCCGCGCCCGCTGCCAGTAACCTCATATCACCATTGGTAAACGTGGCGGCTAAGACCTACGGAACTCTCCGAACACTTAAGAAAGGCAAGACCAAACAGCGGCCTCCACCGAATGCCGAAACATCTGGGAATATCGCCAACACCCCACCGAGCGTCAGTGGTGCCAAAAGCAGGTGAGCATTAAGGGGGTGGAGAAAAAAATTAATCGTCGAACAACGCGCTGTTTTCCACTGAGCTTACTGCCGAACTAGTTGTTTCAGTGTCAACACTTGTTGACGAGCAAGAGATCATTCACTTGATAAGCAGAAATTTGAACAAGTCCTGTGGATTAGGCATGCCATATGCATGTATCTACAATGTGTTTAGTTGTAGAAGTATGCGTTGTATCGTGTGATCACCTGTTATGTACTGACATGAATTCTATAGCATGAGGTCATCTTAATGTGACTCACTTTTTTTCCTAAGCTATGACTATTTTAATCCAGGCATATTCATAGGTCTATCTGGGTAGTCCTTGATTTTGCCCTTGAACTAAATTTGGTCTTGCTGTTGGTTTTACAGGAATCAACGACGTCGTACGGTACTTACTTTGACCGGCGGATGCGGATACGTGAATTTCAAAAAGGGAGGCGCACTCACTGGGGGCGGTGGCGATGCATGTGTCTTAGTGTGGGAGACTAAGGTTAGACAGGCCTAAACGAAGGCCTGCTGCAGGCCACTGCAGTAAGACTCGACAACAAAATCTGCTCAGTAAGACCTGCGAGCGACCTTCGCCTACCCTAATTACCGCCTAACCTTTATTATAAAAATCCTATATATATCTTTTCCTAGCCGGCCGCCTAAGCGGTACAAGCGACTTGAGGCTGGCCTACCGATACCGTTTCTAGTAATGATCCTCTGACAAGATCCATCACCTATTGCTATTATTTCGCGCTCGTCG